TGTATCTCTAATTTTATAATCTAATGATCTCCTTAATTAATACCTATAAAATCATCTTATTTAAGAAAAGGAAGTTTGTCTCTTTGATTAACTTGGATTAACTGATCATATTAAAAGTCAACATCTTCCTTATAAAGATTATTGTCTAAATCAGTTGTCATATATAGATATATTTATTGATTTATTTATTTATTGTTTATTATTATTTATATATTAAATCAATTTTTCCACATTTACTTATTGGCAGTCTATCTCATGAATTCTCTGACTGTTTCTCTCATTTCAGGATCATCACTTTCATAGAATCCCTTCAACATACCTAAAACTCCTTTAACATTTTCATCTAGAGGTTGTCCATCTTTTTCATATTTCTTTTTTTCTTTCTATTCTTTCTTTTAATCAATCTAATATTAATATATAAATTTTACAATATTTTCTGTTGTTTTAATCTATGTCCATTATGTTTGATCAGGTATGATTAATGTTATATGAATATTATTCTTGGTAACTTTATAACTGCTCATTTTATCAAGAAATCCACCAAATGTTTTATTAATTTGTAACCTTTATAAATAATTATATTTATATATAAACCTATGATTGGCATTATTATAGCCTATGACTCGAACATCAAAACAATTCTTTCCAAATTCCACTTAAATATTCTTTTATGGTAATTCTCCTATACCATCCATATTGATAATTATTTTTATTTTATTCTCTTCCTATTCAAATGCATATTTAGTTATTTTCTCAAACTTTAATTCATCTATTGGTGGCATCTTTTACTCAATCTACTCATCCTTCTCAACTTTTTATGGTTGAAGTATCTTAATAGAATCACTTAAGAATTTAATCCTCTTGTTCAAATACTCAATATTATTTGGTTTCTTTGCTATCTTCAACCATTCTTGAACTTCAGCTAAGTCCTCTTAATATTATTCTAATTCACTCATAAAATAAATTAATTTTTATGGAATCTCCATTTCTAATTTGGTAGATATATAGGAACCACTACACTGAATAATTACCTCACTTAAGCAAATATTGCATAGCTGCAATTGTCACTCTAATAGTTGTTATTTCCATTATAATGCTACATCATGTTCGCAGTCATTTCTAAATAGTAAGAAGACTTCCTAAGAAACCCAAGAATAAAGAAAAGAATGTTACTTTCAACTTAGACTTGAATCAGATCCATTACTATTATTGATTAGTATTTTCATAACCTCTTTATTTATTCCTCTCACTTTTATATTGCTCCATTTATACTACTCAATCTCAATCATATTCACTTTTGAATTGCATTCATTATCCCAATCAACTTTAAATTTATAAACCTCTCTACTATTTCAAGTCACATCTTTACTCTTTTTTTTTAAATAAAATTCCATCCTCTATATCCTTTTTATTATTTTCAGAAAAACTATAGAAAAAAAACAACCATGTAAGGATTTTACTATTACAAATTCATAAATATTAAATAAAGATAATTTTAGATTCATATATATCAATAAATTTCTTTTTTTAAATCCATCCTATTTACTTATAATTTCTTTTTACTAATATTAAACATCCTTCTTTTCATTATTATTTTTCATTCCATTAGTTTTTCATATTTCTATTCCTAACTTATACAATGAGCTTATACTTTTTGTATTTATTTAAAAATCTTTGAGAAATTCTTTACAAATCACAATTTACTTTATTCAAATTTCTAATTCCTAATAAATTCCTATATTTAGACATCATTTTAGAGTTTTTAGTTTTGTATTGAAAATTCTCAAGCATATTTTATACTTCTCATTATTGAATTTAATATTAATTTATAATTAATATATATATTATGAGTGCCTGCATTTACTGCTGCTTGTTTTATTTAATAGCAGGTATCATTTATCCAATTAGGCAGACTTATTAAGCTTATAAATTAAAAGAAGAATTATCAACTTGGATTTTATATTGGATTTTAATGAGTTCAATATATTTATTAGAATAAATAACATTTGAAGTCTTATTCATGTATTTATTGTTTAATTTTTCAAAGGATTCCAGGATATTCATTATTGAAGACTTTATATGCAATCTGGCTATATCACAAAAAAACTTAAGGAACATTACTTGTTGGCACTATGTTTCATCCTGTATTTAAGAAAATAAAAGATATTTTGACTCCATTTTAAGAGCGATTAGAGATTTTTGAATAAGTTAAATGAATTATCATATCATTTTTCAAAGAACCATCATATATATTTGCCATTCATCTCAATAATTTTAATTTTTATCAAAATGATTAACAATATATATTTCAATTTAGATTATAAAGGGATGAAAATGGCAATCATAAAAAGAAAATCTATTCTCTTTGTATGAATTTATAATACTTGATTAATATAATTATATCATTAGAATTAAGAAATTAAATTTAATTTATAATATCCAGGCTCATTTATCAAGAGCCTTTACAAAGAAGCAAAATTTACAAATTATATCATGTCTGTTTAATTCAATCTTAAAATAGAATAGTAAACATCTCTGTAATGTTATAATGAATAAATTTTCATGCTTATCAAAAGCTGTTTTTTCAAACTAATATAGTTAATAATTTATAGAACAATTCAATCAATTCTTTATTACCAGGTTTAGTAGAGTAGACTTTCTAATTCAATTTTGATTCCATTTCTTTATTCAATTTAATGTAATTAGAACATTTCAAATCAATGCCAATTTCCTCATTTCTAAAGTATTTCTACTTATGAAATGGATGTTCTTAAAATATTTTGCATGCACTAACTATAAAAGTTGTCAATATAATGGCTATCAATATGGACCTCATTCTAGAGAATATTATTCTAAATATCTTAAATTCAAATCAATAAAAATTATTGGAAATCTCCCCCCTCAATAACATCAAATTTATATATATGATGAAATTTATTAGTTTATTGTGTTTTTATAATTTAAGTTTACAATAATTCTTAGTACTAAAAATAATATAATTATTATTATTTATAAATCTGTTTATTTAGTTAGATTATGATTTTATAAATATTTGGTTATATGTAGTTAAATGAAATAAAAATATGTACAATCATTGCCATAATTTATTGAAAGAAGTATTATTGAAACTTTTTGATGCCCAATCCATCGTTAACATCTAAATATTAAATAATTAATACAGTTTTTTAGTTAAGATTAGGTTGGAAGGTAGGCAAATATTTATTCTCAAGTTTTTATAAATTTTCTTGTTTTTTTTATTGATATTCAAGTAATCTATCTTCAACTTTAGCACTATTAAAATTTTCGATATTTCTCTTTTAAATTTATGGTTTAAATGTTAATTAAGATTGCATGTCTTTATCTTTTTTCATTTATTCAGTTAAAATATGTTCATTTCTTTTTTCTAACCAATTTATTTAAGAATTAGCAAATTCTTCAACATTAATTTCTTATTACATTGATTTATTTTAATCCTTTTTTTTAGACCACTTTTATTTTTCTTTTTCCCATTATTCTTATTCTGCTCTAATAGATTCTTCCTCCTTTTGCTTTTTTTATTCAATTTAGGACTTAACCCATTCCTGTTTTTTTTAAATAACTTTTTATTAACGAATATGAAGTGGGACATAATATTAACATTCAGTTTTCATCCTTTATCCTTAACCTTCCATAAATTCTAAACGTTTTTGTCTTTAATTTTATACTTTTTTATTTGGAGTATCCTGAGTTGCAAATTAAGTTGTTTACTATTATTAAGTACCTTATTATTCTTATTATTTTTTGATAGTATCTCCAATTTTATATTTAATCTCATTAGTTTATACTATTGCATGACATTAACCTTATTTATATTATACATCTTCAGCAGGATCTATTTGTTCTACTATTACTTCTTCTTTGATAATTTATATATCTTATCCAATAGTGATTGACTTTTTAGCACTATTCATATGTATATAAATAATATGATACTTTATTTAGAGATAATCTTTTAATTTTGGTAAATTAGGCAATAGATCGACTTAAATATCTATATCCTTAAATTAATATATCATTTTATAGTCTTCCTCTTCATTTACTAATTGTTTTAATTTTCTCTCTAACATTTTACAACTCTTTTCATTTATCATAGGTCTTGCACTCATAATTTATTTTTCTTTATTTTTTTCCTCTTCCATCATTTTATTTAATTACTTTAATCTCTATTTTTCATAATTATACAATCTATTTACTGTTTCTTAAAATACTAATATTTGATATTGATTATTATTACCTTCATCTACATCTTCTTATGCATGTTCAACTTTACTCTATTTCATTTTTTCTTCTTTTTATTTCTCTTCTTCTCTCTTTTTTTTCACTTCTTCTGCTTTCATTTATACATATTTTATGTTTTATTATACCTTATCCATTTCTAAGGATTATTATTTTAATACTTTTTGGTTATTTTTCTTATATTGATTTTTCTTATTTAGGAATCTCTGCTATAGGTTTTTGTGATTTCTTATGTAATTCTGTCTTTTTTTTATTTAAAGCTTCTTTGAATACATTTTATTAATTGCTATATTTTCCATTCTATAATTTTAATATAGATGTTCCAACTTGAGGATTTCTTTAAGTCTAAACCAATCTCTAAGGAGAGAGAGAATTACCTACTGATTCTGCTTATAAGTATCTTTCCATAGATTATGATTAAGCACTCTCTTTTGAGTCATCTAATTGTTAATTCATTTCCAAATAAATTTTAATAATATATATAAATAAAATTCTGTTTACTTTTCATTTATTATTACATAAATTTAATAATTTCCATGTTTAATTGCTTTTGCTCATTTAGATTAATTACTAATATTCAAATTTTAATTTTTAATTGTTCAAAATAACATTAAAAACTTATCAAATATTAAGATTTTTTTAAGAATATATTTTATTCTACAAATATTATAAAATTATATTTATAGAATAATAATCTACAATAATTCTTAATGGGCCATTTTGAATCAAACCGATATATTTAACTTATTCATTAAGATAGAATAGTAAAAGTAGTGTTACTTTTTCATCAATTTCTCTTATTAATTTGTAAACCTCAAAAAATCAATTCGGTTAATCCATAATCAATTTGACGAAATGATAAATTGATGAATAAATTTACATAACAATGATAGACATACTGTAACAGAATGTAAATTAAATAATCTGCTAACGTAATAATTCTTAATTTTTCTTCCAATTATTTTAATTTCTTGATTTTTATTTAATAATCTAAATGTTAATAATAAGATTATGTTTCAATTATTATATTTTAAGATGTTATTTTATATGATTTATATTTTTAAGACGTGATAATATCTTTATTTCTTGTAGTAAAAATAAAGATATTATATTTTTGACAAACCTAAAAATTTAGATTTTTTTCATGTATCATTGTAGTAATTTGATTTTGATTAATGGTAGTTCTAGTGTAAAATGTAAAGCATTCCAATAAATCATATTGATTGATATCATCACAGTCATTTACAATTAGAATGGATACTATTTGATCATTTCTCAAATCTTGAGATTCAATTATTCCTTATAAATATTTTTAATGATATTTCATCTTTCTAAAAATAACTCAAATTAATTTCCTTTCTCTTAAACTTAACTTATCTAATTAAATATACTTTAGAATCCACAAAATCTATTAAAACTTTTAATTGATCAGATTAATTTAAAGTGTAGAAGAAGGAAAATCAAGAAAGTGGATATTGAATTACAATTTAAGAATATAAAAATAATTGTTTTGAATTAATAGAAATAAATAATTATGTAATTCTTATTAATAATGATATAAACAAATTATCAGAGAAGAATAACAGTGGCTTTGTTAAGAAATGTATATCATTTATAGAAACTTTTGGAAAAGGAATTAAAGAATTTAAAGAAATTCTTTTAAAATTTAAAAGAGGTGTTATAATCAATACAAATTCAATTGAGGAGAAGCATAAAGAAATAAAAAGTGAAAATAAATAATTTCAAGCAAAAAATCCTTAATTTTTGAATACTAAAATTTCATAGATAAGATGATAAAGAATGATAAGAAGAGTCTATCTGATATAAGAATTGGAAGAATCTTTAGCTAGAGATATAGAGAAATATCAAAATTTTCTTTAAGAGTAATAGATTATAAGAGAAAATTTAGTCATAAATGAATTAAAAAAATTTGATATAAAAATATTTTAAGAATTAGAAAATAGATTTAAAATAGGAAAGAATATCATGTGGGTATATAAAGAACTTTAGATTTTTGAATAAGACATTGAAGGAGCATTAAAAGTTTGAATTATTGATGAAATATTATATATATAAATCATAAATTGTATTTAGGATGTGTAATGACTTATTATGATTTTACATTTAAAAATATAAATAAAATAAATTTATGAATCAATTATTGAAACCTATATTAAATTTTGATTTTAGTGAAGTACGTTTTGATGAGCAATAGATACCAAATTATACAAGAGAATTCATGGATCAAATGAAAGATCATATGTACCATGTTAGAAAGTTTGAATAAATGTAAAAGAATCAAATTCCAAAATTAATTCCACAAAGACCAATGAGTGCCTAAACTAAATACTTAATGACTTCTTAAGAAAAACATAAATACTTAAAAAAAAAGAAAGAACCTACCTAAATTATATCAAATAAGAAATTATAAGGTAAAAATACTGTAAAAATAACTAAATTTGGGAAATAATTTATATCTGAAACAATTCCTGTGATTAATTCAAATATTTTCATTTCTGGTTCAGATTTATAACTTCCTAAATAAATTAATAGTTCTAAAGTCTCTAAAAAGTAATCACCAAATTAAAAGTTAATTAATAAGACATAAGAAATGAATTAAAAATCCTTCGATTAACCTATTAAAGATGAGGTATTTGGTCTTTTTGATTGGGAAGAAGAGTTTGATGATTAATTTTATATAAAGGAAGCAATGAAGTATTAAGAAAAAAATTAAATACTCTAAATGATCTAAAAAGGAAATAGGGAATAATTTTTATAAAAATTAAAAATATAAAATATACCTTCAAAATAAACAAAAGAAGATATTCTAAAATAATAATAATTAGAAATTGAATAAAAATAAGTTAAATTGGAATAATTAAGACAATAAAATAATACTTTATAGCTACTTTAAACTACTTAGAATTTAAAAAAAGAAGAAGATGAATATGACAATGATTTTGTAGAAGAATAATAAATTATAGAGAAACCAATAATTCAATAATAATTAGTTTCAAATAGTGAAGAGGATGATGAATATGATAAAGATGGATTTGAAGTAGATGAAGAGAAAAAGATTGTAGAAGTTAATAATAATAATAAAGATGATGAAAAATAATTAAATTTAAAGAAAACAGAATAAATTAATAATAAAACCACAACAGATTCTAAAAGTAGTTTAATTTAAAATTCAAAGAATAGAAAGAAATAAATTATTTATAGAGCAAAAAATGCAAAAGAAAGAAAATAAGAGTTAGAAGGAATGAGAGAAGAACTTGAAAAAAATTTAATAGAAAATGATGTTGAATCTGCTAAACTATATAAATTATTATAAGATTCAAAAGAGAAAGAAAAAATAATGATTGATGTTAATTTAAAAAGACGAGAAGAATTATCTTTGGCTCGTTTAACATTATAGTAATTATCAGAAAAAATTGATTAATAATTACACATGATTGATGTAATAGGAATATTAATATAATTAGGATTTAGATAAAAAAGAACATTATGCTTAACAAATTATAGAAAAGTTGAAAGAAAATAGATAAAAATAATAATAATAATATGATGAAGAGATTGAAAAGTTTTTAGCTTGTAAAGTAATTGCTAGATTTCTTAAAGGAAAGAAAGATAGAAAATTATTTTTAGAATTAAGGCGTTAAAAGTTTATGAATATGCTAATACAATGATTATAATTTTAATTAAATGCCATTATTTATTGACTATCTAGTTGACATAGGTGTTATCGTTAATAAATATTCGATCTAAACCAATAACATTTTATTCTCCCTTTCTGATTATTTAAAGAATCTATCAGCTTCAGATTCTTTTGATATGGCATTAAGATTATATGATGGTTGGAAATTAGAATAAACTAAAAAAAAGAATCCTGGAAATTTATTAGAAATTATTAATAAAATAGCACTTCGTTAACCATTTAAATTATTACAATAATCTTAAAAAAGAAATAAAATACAATTCAGTCCAAATAAAATTGAAAATTCGTAAAAATCTCCATGTAACAAATAATAATCATATTAATCACCAATTAATAAAAAGTCATTTAATTACATGGGTTTAAATGATACTTGTGAGAGACTTTATATGGAAGGAATTGTTTAGAAAGTGAAAAAGTATAAATATAATAACTGAAATAGAGAATAATATGAATAAGAAAAATAACAATTAGAATTAAAGGATTGTACATTCAAACCATAAGTTAATGTTGAGAATATTAGAAATAAAGAAATTGAAGTTTTTGATAGACTCTATAGAACTTAATTAGTTAGTAAGAATGACTTTTCAGAAATTAAACAAAAATAAGAAATTAGTTAATGCACTTTTACTCCATCTATTAATAAACAAGAATAAATATCTAACTTCTTACCTCTTGATAATAAGTAATTAAAATATATTAATTTAATTTAAAGATAAACAGCTTAAACTCAAATTTTTGATAGATTATTTTAGGAATCAATCTAAAGAAGTAATTTAAAATCAAGTTATGCTCCTTATCGAGAATAAAAATAATTATAGGAGTGCACATTTAAACCTTAGATTTCTAATAGATAATTAAATAGAAGTGGAGATGATAGTATATATATATACTATTTACTAGTCTTTAAAAGATTACATAATGAATCTGTGGAAAAATAATAAATTTAAGCTTTTCAAAAACTTGATAAAGAGAGTAAAGAACTTGAATAGTGTACATTCAAACCCAAAATTAATACTAATTGTAATTTTTCTCCTAATGTCTAACCTGCTTTTGATCGTTTATACATGTTATCAACTAAATCAAAAAAAACTCTTTTTGATGATAGTCAATAAAAACCAACCATTAATAAGACTAAGGATTAGTCATCTATTTAAAACAATGAATCTTTATTTGAAAGAATGAAAAGTCATGTAGATAAAAAGAAAAGAAATATCTACTAAATAAAATAAGAAGTTGACAAAGAATTAACATTTAAACCCAATATTAATGTTAGATCATAAAATAATATACAAAGCAAATAAAGTTACAAACATTAATCTATTTTTTCTGTTAAATCAGAACCAAAACTAAAACCTACTGCAAATACTTTATCGACATATGTATATAACACAAGAAAGTCTCAATAAGATAAAGAGAATAGTAATTTATCGATGTATTGTGAAACTGCATATTTTTAAGAGGATCAAAAATTAAAGCCCAATATTTTAGATTTTAAATAGTGAACTTTTTTATCCCTTTCATAAATTTGATAATTCTAAATAGTGTCACTACCTTAATATTACAAATAAAATTATATTTTTCTTAAAGTTATAATGGAATGAATCTTCCACCAAAAAAAATGTCTTCCCTAAAAACTGTTGACCCAAAATTTAGGAATAGTTAATTAAATCAAATTTTAGAGATTAAAGAAATCTTAAGTATTTCCTTATTCTACACCTAATCTGATTGAATAATATATATTGAAAAAATTGTAATTTTTGCCAACTTTAATTAATAAATAGGTTTATCAAATGGTTCTCTGAGAAAAGGAGAGGAGGTTGATTGTCTCTATTAATAAATCACATAAAACAAAATCCCGCATTTCATAATGAATAAGAATTAAATAATATTTGCATTGAAAGAACAATCTATTAAAAATGGACTTTTCTTATCTTTCAAACAGACTATTTAAGGTTAAAGTCAAAATTACTATGAATTAAATCATCTCTTCCAATATTTTCTGGTCCATAAAATAATAGATTTACTTAATTTATTAATTAAACAACAGCTTTTTAGCAAATTATTCTTAAGTAAAACTTTCTCATTAGACATTAATTCGATATTAAATTATTATGATTGTACTTTTAAATTAAAGTTGAATAGATATTTAGATTAGTTATATTTGTTTTGAAAGAAATGGAATGTATAAAAATTTATTAATCGTATTTAATAAAATCTAAGATATTTGTAAGAATATAAGAGTATTTTGATGGATAGAAATAAATATATTTATATAAGGATTAATTGACATGGAGAAGGCAATTTGATTGGATTGTTTAATGCCTTGTTGAAAGAGCAGTTATGAATATTATTAAATAAGGAAGGGATTAATGAGAATGAGTGATGATATTTGATTTGATATAATAATAAAAATTTATAATTTATGGCATAAAATTTAATATCAGCAATAGCTTGGGTTTCAAGAGGTTATGCAATAAAATAACCGAAGGAATTTGATATAGATGAAGAGGAGATAAATAAGATGAAGCAAGATAAACTAATAAATAAGAAGTATTTAATTTAATAAGAGTTTTTAGTTTGACATAAGATTTGGGTAAGATTCAAGAATAAGATGAAGATTCAAGTGGAGATAATCTTCCAGTATTTTGTTAAGATTTGGAGATGCATGGTAAACAATAATTACCAGATGATGGATATCCAGTGGCAATAGAAGATTTGAGTGATGAAGAAAAGGAAGATTATCAAATAAAATCATCAGATGCATTGGTTATAGCAGCAAAGATAGTATAATTAAGTATTAATAATATTAGGAAAATGAATTTTCTTCTTTAGAAGTATATATATATGAAGAAGAGAAAGCAAACTTATTTGTTCATCACGAAATATAATTATCTGCATTTCCTTTAGCAGTAGAATGGTTACCAATATAACCAGGTTAAATTGAGAGTACATCTGCAACAAAAGGAAATTATGCAATAGTTTCATCATTTTTACCAGAGATTGAAATTTGGAATTTAGATGTAGTTAATGTTTTAGAACCATCAGTAGTTTTAGGAGGTGAAATTGAATAGAATTATAAGAAAGTTAAAAATTTGAAGAAATAAAATAAGAAATCTTATAAAGTTGATAGTCATACTGATTCAGTATTAAGTTTGTCTTTAAATTCATTTAAACCAAATATATTATTATCAGGATCAGCAGATCATACAGTTAAATTATGGGATTTAATGTTATAGAAATGTGTATTTACATACAATCATCATAAAGATAAAGTATAAATCTCAAAGTTTAATACAAAAGAGGAAAGTGTAATATTATCAGGAGGAGAAGATGGGAAATTATGTTTATTTGATGCAAGATCTCCCGATTCTATTCATTAACATAAGATGTTAGGATCTTTAGAAAGTGCTTGTTGGGATCCAATAAAAGGATATTAGATAGCATATTCAACAGAAGATGGAAATTTGATATTATTAGACGCTAGAAAAATAGGAGAATAACCATTGGCTAATTTTAATGTAAACAAGAAGGCACTCAGTAGTGTTCATATGAGTACTGGAGTACCAGGATTATTAGCTACTACATGTTTAGATGGTAAAATCAGAGTTTATGATACAGATGCTCCTATTAAGAATGGATAATTATAATTAATAAGTTCATATAATCCAAAATTAGTAAAATATTTAATCAATTTATATAGGAATCACTTTACTGTGGTCAATTCTATTAAGATTCTCCATGGACATATGGATGTGGATCTAGTTAAGGAGAATTATTTGTTTGGGATATGTAAGAGAGCCAATAGATTGTTAGCCATTTTAGTAATAGAGTAGCACCTGAATTCAGACCTAAAGTTGAAGATGTAATTATATTTAATTTAATATAGTGTACCAATAAAAATACAGATGATTTATGTATGAAAGAAAGAGAAGAAATACAGAAGATGGAATAAGAAGATAAAGAAGATATGGAAGAAGGTGGATTATAAGAAGAAGAACATAATAATTGATTATTTATTATTTTTTTGTATTTTAGATTAATCTATTATTATTATTATAGTTATTCATTCTTATCCATTATTATTATTTTATAATTATTGTGGATTCTACTCACTTAAATCTGATTCCTTCATTAATCTTACTACATTTTTTACACATGTCCCTACTATCTTACCATCTGCTGTTGTATCTCTATATAATAATATTGTCAAATTATCTATTGTTGCTCCATAAATAGTTGAAAACATAGCAGATATCTATATATATTTAAATCTATTATTACAAAATAAGAAAATATAAATGAAACCATTAAGAAATAAACTGGTTAATGGATTCCTATACTAGTACTAGTTGTTATAATTAATATGTAAGTTAATGAAACACATAAATTAGCAACTGCAAAACAGTATGTTACTGATAATTATTCACCATGATATTAAACCTGAGTTGTCTCCTTCAATTTCTAATCAAAAACATATTAAGATTGAGCACTCATTAAAAATTCATCATTTCTTAAATAAGCTAATAAATATGATCTTTCATTTATGCATAATATTTATTGTAATCTATCCGATATTACAAATTAAGGATTCTTCTTTTATCTAATCCATACATATATCCTAATAAATAATCTAGGAATCATTAATCCAAATATAAGAATCTCTCCAAATACTACAGAACCAAAATTATTAAATGCATATATTTCAAAAATATCCATTAATGATAATTCGCGATCTTAACTATTTATTTTTTATCTTTTAATTCCCATATGTTTATACACTTCTACTACTTTTCCAATTAACAACATATACTCGCTACCTAATATTGCTAATGTCACTACTATCAATTCAAAAATATGAATAAATCCCATTATGAATGTAGTCCAACTCAACTAAAATGTATTAAATGCATAATATCCTTCTTCTGCCTTTCCTATCGAAAATAGATTACTATTATATTTATTCATTTTACGTTGCCATCCAAACCCATAATGTACAAAATACTAATAAGCAGCCTGCACTACCCATTAATAGTATTAGAATCTCTCTAAATCTAGATGGTTATCCTTCCTATTATTGAATTTCAGATGTTGAAAAATCAAAGAAATAATTTACTATTTAGATCTTTATTCCCAAAGTTTTATATGTCTTACGATTAAAAATTAAATCTATCAAAAAATATACACCAAATAATAAGAAAAATAAACTAGACAACAATATTATAGTTATATTTGATTCCTCTACTTAAATCCTACCTATTGCTTACTCATCTGTTAACATTACTACTCCTGAACTTAAAGGTTCAGAATATCCAGATTATTTCATATAATAAAACAAGCCCAATATTCCTGATAAAAATAAACCAAATATTGATGTTATTGATATTACCCAAATTACTGACTCCTATAATTTAACCATCAAAAAGTAAAAAAGCTAACTAATATAATTATTTCATCTATTCTTACTTTAACAATAAACATAAAGCCAGAGTTGCAAAAATTATTATCTTTCCGTTACTAATATCTGATAAAAAACTAATTATTCCTGATTATTCTAATCCTTCTTAGATATTATTGAAATAACTAGCCTTTTTAGGAAGACAAACATCTATAAATTGTACTGAATCATAATATAACATTGTATATGTGGGATCATCAATAGATGGTCTATTTCTGCATGAATTTATCAGCTTATTTAGATAGCATTCCAATTCTAATGATTCTATTTTATTTATTAATATATAGAACCATCTTCATCATTTTCAACAGCCAAAACTGGACATTCTTTTACACAAACTGTTCTCACTAAATGTTTTGAATCTGTTGGATTTGTAAAATATATAAATTTATATTACTCCAACCCTATACCTACTCCACACACATTCACTATTAACTTATAAACTTTATTCAATACAATTTATATCATATGGTTTTCCTAATTGATCTGGATTCCCAAATCCAAAACTTATTATTGCTATCAAATATACTAATCCTTAAAACAATAAAAAATATAATCCATATTTCTTATCTTACAATTCTTTATGAGCCTTGTGTTCCTCTTCAGCTTCCTTTAAATCTTGCTTTATATATGAACCAGGATAGTTATTTTATTTTGACAAGATTGTTTAATCCATTATTCAAAATAATTTATTTAATATTTATATTATTATTCGTTAACTATATCATTTACCCCTAAAATGTCTCACAAAATCATTTATTATTTATTCATACTCATCTATAACATAGTTTCCAGATTACTCTAATTTTACATAGTAATTATCAAGATATCAATTTTTTCAGAATATTAAGTTAATATCATTAGAATTTTTTATCATCTCTCTATTAATTTATATAATTTTTCTTATCTTCCCTAATAAAATGGCTATTTTATATTTTTTTTATCAAGTTCAATATATTATTACAGTTATAATTTGTTTCAATAAGTTATTTTACCAGGTGAATTTTACATATTCTAATTCGATGAAAAATTTTATTTTCAAATTATTTGATAATTTTTTTCTCAGTATTTATTATCAAATTTAATTTACTCTAAAAATATTTTCTTTAAAACTAATTTAAATTCTTGATAGTTCCATTCAAAGTGTGAAACAAAAGAATTTTTCAATAATCAACTTTATGCAGCGATTTTCTTTAGAGTTTTTACATAATAAAACAATTTTTTAATTAAAATTGCATTTTATTCTATTTAATAGATATAATTAAGATTTGGACATAAAAAATTAAAATTTTTAATGTAGAGTCTATTTAAATTATTACAAACTTTCTCTACTCAAATTAAGTTAAATTTTATAAGTAAAAAAAGTATTATAATTAAATTTCAGTCAATAATAAGAGTGAAATACTTTTCTCATTCTTATGAGGACAAGATTTAGTACTTATTAATTAGAAATTTTTAAATTAAAAGTTTAAAAAGTTAATTGAAACCGGAAATAATGGTTTTTCTTTTTTTTATGAATAAGTTTTTGCTTCTGTATAAATTTTGAAGCCCTATTTCACATATCTCATATTGTGAATTTAAACTTTTTTTTCTTTTTCATGAATAAATTTTCTCTTTCGACATTTTAAAACAGCTAGAGTAGTTAATATTTTAAGAATGCTTTAAGGTTGACTGCTAGACTTTGAGCTATTTCACCTTTTTGTTACAAGATTTAAATTATAATTATTCATTTTTTATATTTAATTATAGAAATTGACAACATTGACAACAGGAATTCAATGAATCAATATGGAAGCAGTTATTAACAAACATATTTTTCCAGAATAAATTTTTTTGTATGTTTTAAAAAATAAGAAAATCAATTTCAGCTATTAATGTATTTATTTTCAAATATTTTCAGTATTTAAAAATTGTTGATATGAACATTAGATTAATTATTAAAAAGTTTTCTTTAATAAATAATTCAAATTCTATATCACGATATAATTGATCCTAAAATTATTTATAGAATATTTTTATTTTTAAAATTAGGCAGTCTAAAAAATTTAGTTGTGAAACATAAATTTAAAAAAAATTTTTCAGTATTTATATTTAAGTAATAATAAAATAATTTCTAACATCAAGTTAAATTAAAAATCAAAAATTATCTCAATTCTTGAAAATACCATATAAAAATTATCTGACTTATTTAGGTTCCCCTATTTATTTATATTCTTTATCTTAATGAACTTAACTTAATAAATTTAAAAATTCTTTATACATATTAAGACAAGTAAAAGGTCCACAATCATACCCATTAGTTTATTATTTACAATCCAATAATTTTATATTCTTGATTTATTCCTTAAAAATTTTTTTAAATATTTTAAACTCAGTATTATAATAATTTTCTGGTTTTTGAAGTGAATCCAATATGTTTAAAGAACTTTCATTAAAATCTATATAAATTAAAAACCAATGAGTATTTAATTTATTGATAACAAAATACACTCTTGAATATAAATATTATAGACGGAAATTAATCGGCTAAAATTCTAAAATGAAGTTTCTGAAAATATTTTCATTCTATTCAAGATTATCAGCAGACATATTTGTATAAAGTTGACTAGGGCAAAATAAATATTGCGGTCTTTCAAGTTTCGAAATTTTATCTTAAACATCTTTAGATAGAAAATATTAAAAATTTTTTTAGGATTCAATATTTAGATATTAAACAAATCCATCTATGATTGAACTAGTGAACCAAGATTGACTATTATTTAAGATATACATATCTTTTTGATTGAATTATTAATTATATTTTACCCAAGAAGTTTATTCAAGTTAAATTTGTTGCTTTTATTAACTTTCACTATTCAAAATCTATATTCCTTGATCATCTTTTATAATAATTCTTTTTTTCAAATGGCTTGATGGTTCTTGAATTTCCTTTTTTTCTTATTTAGTCGCTTTGTCATTCTCCCAAGTTCCTTCATATTTTATATAGTTAGATTTTCCTCCATACAGTTTTCCTTCCCCTGATTTCTTTCCTTTATTAAATTCTCCTTCATATATTTAAAAATTTGGATTGTAATCTTCATCATAAAATACACAATATTAGTATGCTTTACCAGAGTAATCTTTCTTTTTATCACTTACATACATAATCTTGTCCTTATTTACTCTTACATAATTATATAAGATATCCTTATCAGTCTTTAATTCTATAAAAATACTTGGATTCTGATTTTCTTCATCGTCCTTATTTTAAATTTCATCTTATGGTATACATATCAAATTAGCTTAATCCTAACATTATATTTTATCTTCCATTTATTTAATTGATTAATTATTTAATTAATCTTAATCTATTTTCACTAAACAATCTACATCTTTATTGGCTTATGTTTAAAAATTTTGATTTTAGTCTAAATCTTATCCATTTTAATCTTAATTCTGATTATTTTATTAGTTTTAACTGTGTGATTAACTAGTTTCTTAAGTCTAATTTGATCGTTAAGAGGATTATTTTTGTTCATCAATAATTTTATTTTTTTCTACATTATTTGATTTTTAATTATTATCAATTTATTGATTAGTTTCTACTTTTATCAAACAATCTACATCTTTATCGGCTTATGTTTTTAAATTTTTCTTTTAGTCTAAATCTTTTCTATTTTAATCGTAATTCTGATTATTTTATTAGTTTTAACTGTGTGATTACCTAGTTTCTTAAGTCTAATTTGATAGTTAAGAGGATTATATTTGTTCATCAATAATTTTATTTTTTTTTACAGTATTTGATTTTTATTTATTATCAATTTATTGATTAGTTTCTACTTTTATCAAACAATCTACATCTTTATCGGCTTATGTTTTTAAATTTTTCTTTTCGTCTAATTCTTTTCTATTTTAATCGTAATTCTCACTATTTTATTAGTTTTAACTGTGTGATTGACCAACTTTTTAAGTCTAATTTAATTACAAAGAAAATTATTACTATCTGTTTCATTTATTAATTTTGATCTTATGACTAAAATTTTTTAGAATCACCAATATCTGGATTCTATTAGTTTTAATCATTCTTCATTTCTATATGAACTTTAAAATCAGGTTTTTTTAAAATCTTCTTTCTCAAATTTAACTTATCGAAATAATCACCACGTTCAAACACTAAATTTGATTATCGGTAAAAAAACCAAACTCCTAATCCTACAGAAAGAATTAATAAAATATAAAGTTCATACATTAGATTGAAATATATATAAATTTTATTATTTGAAGATAGTTTATGTATTTTTAAAAATAATAGAACCTAATCATAATTCGAAATCATATATTGGAACTAGATTGGAATATTTGAGCTTCTTAAATTAAAGAATTTCAAACTCTGGAATATTTAAAAAGGATTCCAATCTAAGTTTTAATAGAATAATTACTTTTCTTTCAGATAAGTATAAATTTAAAATCTACTAAATTCTAATGCTCTTTCATCATTCACAATTACCTGTTCTTAGAATGTATATATATATAAACAATCCACAGCTTGTCTTTACCCTTCTTGAATTAATGGTTACTCTCCATCATATATATCTATTGTTTTAGGATCAAAATCCCATTTTCCAACAGGTTTAACAGGTTCAGAGGATTCTTATTATTATAATTCAGTAGTCTGTTATTGTGATGCTTATTATGAATCCAGATTGGCTTGATCTTACAGTTATTCAGGTTATTCTTCTACAAAATACGGCACAAGCAAATTGACTACTGCTGTTATATTCTCAAATTAAGTTTGTGGTTGTTTAAATATAAGATTGATTTTCTTTTTTGCTTCAACCATGTCTAAGTCATGCTATGTTATTTCTGGTTTTTGATATTCATCTTCAACAGGTTACTATTCAATTTAATCAGTTTATTATTATTATTATTACTATTCTTCTGTCTATTATGGAGGAGGTTAATCATTTTGTTATTATTATTATTCAGCTTCTTCAGTTTTTATTTTGACTTCAGTTTTGGGTTTAGGCTCTTTATAATTTACAGATTTAAAGTATATATCTAAAAAACCATCTAATAATTTATTTAATATAATTTTTCTAATATTAGGAACATATTATTATGAAACAAAAGATGACCAAAAAGGGGTTTAATTTTTCAATTAATCTATGGTTGCTTTTTTAGAATTTTTCTCAAAGATGTATAAATCTTCTTCGATTTTAGCAAATGCTTCTTAAATGATTGATTAAAGAGATGAATTAACTGTTACATTGAATGTATTACATTTATTTATTAAGATATCCATCCAAATGGTTTAGATAATAGATTCATCAATTTAATCTAATTAATCTCCAGTAATTAGATCTAATCCTTCAGCTAATAATAGAAATAGATCTAGATGTAAAACAACACCTTTTTATCCAATTTCTGAGATTCCTTCTTAAATATTGGCTTAGAATATAGAATTTAATGATTCTGCTTTAGAAATTGTAAGATTGTAAAATGCTCCTCTTTAAATTTCTCTTTTTTCTTTTAATGCTCTTCTTCTTTTAATTTCAGCTTTTCTCTTTTTGCGTTCTTCAATTTCAATTCTAATTCTCTCTCTTTCATCTAATATAGCTTTTCTTCTTTATTATTCTTACTAATAAAAACTTGAATGTTATGATGTAATTGGAGTTTAAACTTCATCTAAGAGATGATTAAAGTTATCAAGACAATTTTAATTGTTTTGACAATTTAATTTAATTCTTTCTATCAACCATGGTAAGGAGTGTACTTTTAACTCTAATAAATGATCATTTTTCAATAATCCTAAATTTTCAAGATCTTTTAGAATTCTATAATTGACTCCTTTGACTACATTTTTAGATAGAGTTCTTGCAATAAATTTTTATTATGACAGTTTCATCTAATCCTAATATAATTTGTGTTATAAGACTCTTCTTTCCTAAGTAAATATTGATTATAATAAAATACTCTTTCTTCTTTTCTTCTAACATAAGCTGCTTCCATTCGCTAAGTTACCATTAATTCAGCATTTCTTTTTTTTTCAAAGGCTGCTTTCTAAATTCTTAACTCTTCTCTTTCTAATTCTTCAATCAATTCCATTCTTGCTTATTCTACTGATTTGCCCACTAAAACTTATAAAACAGGCTCCACCTCTAATATATAATCAAACAAATCAGGCTCATATGATTCAATCTGTGTTTCTACATCTCTTCCCTTAGGTAATGGTTTATATTCAGGAGTTGGCTTGACTATTAAGTTACACATACAGGTCGATCAATATAATAATCTGGTTTTATTTTTGATTCATCATCGGGTAGGTCTGTAAGTTCTTCATATAAATCTTAATCTCTGTATTTTGGATGAGATACTTATGGCTCAGCTTCAAACTAATAAACATTTGCTTATGCTTGCATATTATTTAAATTAATAACTGATGCATATATATTTTCACAAACAATCATTTCTTCTTATAGTATTTTTATACTTTCTACTCACAGATTCCTCTACTTTTATCAATCAATTCATATTACACAAATATTATATAATCAAACATCACTCACCCTTAAATATTATAATTAATTTTATCAAAACCATATAATCTCATTTCATTTCATTTATTTTACTCAAAATCATTAAAAAATATCCATTTCTATTTCTAATCTCAAATATCCTATTTTCATAATACTTTATACTTTCCTCTTTTTACAAAATTTTAATATTAAAAATTTAAGTTCTTCTTAAATTACTTAAACTCCTCATCTATAGAGATATCTAAAATCTAAATAAAAAGATTCAGTCTAAGTATTTTGTTATAACCTTTAAAAGATTAAAAATCAATTAAATTAGTTCATATAAAATATACACTTTTATTATAAAAGTAATCAAAATTTTAGTAGAACTTATATGTTATTATACCACCATAAAAATTTATAAAGAAGAATCTTTATTTGATAATTTAATTATTATATTATCTTAGTTTAAATATTATTATGGATCCCCCTTAATCGAGAAGACCACCTATATTTGCTCCTTTGAGATAAAATAGATTTGATACTAAATGTAAACATTGCAAAAAATGTATTATTGAGAAAATTTTAAAGAATAGGATCCATAATTACTTTAATGGCATGAAACACAGTGTTAAAAATAAAAAGAAGATGCCTTAACATAATTTGTTAATGTAGGAACTAAATTAATAAGAGGACTTAGTTAAGGAATGTAGAGAAATGTAGTAAGATTAGGTAATGCAATCTCCAATGAATTTAATTAAATTGAAAGAATATTTAGTAATTAAGCTAATCCAGTTACAATAGATATTTATTAAGAATAATTTAATCGTTTGCATTAAGAAGAAATAAATAGATAAGAAGTATAGTAACCGAAAAGGGAACCTAACTTAATCGAATATAATTTTATAAATAAACGTAATTTAACTCCTTCTGCTAAGATGTGTAGTATATGTTAAGATGAATATTTTGAGAATGAAAAAATAATAATGCTTTAATGTATGCATAGATATCATAAATAATGTTTGAATGACTGGATTAAGAGAAAGCCAACTTGTCCAATTTGTAAAATGAATATATATCAATAATATTAATAATGAAATTAATATTTTTATTTTTCTTTGCCATTTGTCTGGTATTGGCCTAGGATAACAACGTTGATGGAAATACTAATGGAGATGAAGCTTTGGAAAATATAAAGAAGTTAGAAGAGTAAGAAAGAGATGCAATAAAATAAACTCAGAATTAGAATGATTAAGAAAATTCGAATAATCGAGATAAGACAAATAAAAAAGAAGAAGAGAAGTTATCAATAGATAGTGAAGAATTAGCAGATATTATTGATGATGCAAAAGAAAATATGTTTGATTTATTGGAAGCATTAAGACCATTATTTGGGGTAAATAATTAAGTTGAACTATTACTAGCTTAGATTTGGTGATAAAGATAGAGATAGTGATGGTTAAGTAATTGAAGAGGAATCAGATTAAGAAAATGATGATGCATAAGAGGAATCTGTATATTAGTATGATCAAGTTGAAGATTTAATAAAAGAGGTTGAGTCAGACCCTTTGATGATGTAATGGGATTAATTAATGAATGATTTTGATCCTGAAGATTTACTTACTTTTGAATTATAATCTGGAGCCACAGAAGTACATTTAATATCAAAACTTAAAAATAGATTTTATGTGAAACAATCAAAAAGCCTACTACTATAAGAGGGGCTTATTTTATACCTTAATTTAGAGTGGATCAAAAGATTGATTTCCATATAAAAACTTCGAATAATACATTATTATATTCAAAAGAAAGAGTTTAAGAAGGCATTTTTAAAATTGACATACCAGAAAAAGGAGAATATAAATTCATCTTTACTAATAAAAGAGTATTTTTCATACAATATTGTATAGACGAAAGAACCTTTAACTATAACATTTGCAATAGATGTTCATGATTCTCATTAAGAGTTCCTTAAATTGGCTGATTTAGACCCCTTAACTTTAAGAATAGAAAGATTATCTATGGCTATGAGAGTAAATTATATAATTATTAATAAGGATAATTATTTTTATGATAAAATGGCTGCTTAATAATTTGAAGGAGGATTAAGAGAGGTCTAAAATGCTAATAATAAATTATTGCTTTTTAGTCTGATTGAAGTTATTGGTATTATTGCCATTACAGGATGGCAAGTATTCTACCTTAAAAGAATTCTGAGTAATTAGAGAATTATATGATTATATAATATGTTATATTGAAACTTTAAATTTAATAATTTATTCTACTTAAATAATTATCATTTAATATTATCTATTTTTATGGATTGCATCTTTTCATAATATTTTATTTACTAATCCACATTATATTATGGGTAATAATCATCAAATTAATTAATTTTCTCAAACTATTCTAAGAAGTTGTTCTCTATTGATATTCTTCTATTAAAATTATCTTCATATTCAATTTTACTATTAACCATAGTTTGATTCTTTCTTAAATCTCTTTTCTTAAATTCAGATTGTATATCAGTTTGATATCGTTATAATTATTATATATCATCTTTTTTAATTTTATTTTAATTAAATCTTTTCTTTGTTTATAAAATACTGTCCTAAACTATAGCATGATAATTTAATTAAGATATTTATTAATCTTCAGATTATTATTCAAATCTTTAAAATTTAGATTGTCCTACTTCTTTAATTTCATTTATGAAGACTTTTCTACTACTAATACTACTACTCACTCCTTGAGATGATAAAAATTATTCTGAATCTATTCTTTTAGACTATAAAGTTTAACCACTATGTGAATAATTTATATAAGGAACAGAACTTAGTTCTAATTAATTTATGAAATTATTATTATTCTAACTTTGCAAAGAGTTCGAAGAAGAAGCTAACAATTTTTAAAATGATTCAACTTTATCATATTCTTCAGAATTTGATACTTCAGAATCTTTCATTTGATCATTTTTAACAACTGCAATAAGTTTTCTATTCTTCTTAAGTACTTACTAATTATATAATAAAAGATAGTTACTCTTTTAAAATCAATTACTCTTTTTTACTCTTTATTTATTATAATATTGTGAATTACTTAATTTTTATTAGGTTTGTAATTTACAATTGGACATTCAGTGATATCATGTTCTTTAAAACAACTAAAACATTAAATATTTATCAAAAAATATTTATTTTCTGTTAAAAGAGTATCAATAAGCATTCTATATTTTTAGAATTCTCTAGGACATTATCGGATTATATTTTGAAATTTATTTTAATCTAAAGTTGCTATTTTTGAATATCCAATACTTTTGAATTCTATCCCCTATAATTAATTTTTAAAAAAAGCGATATTATTGAAAATCTAAAATGGAGTTTATATTTTTGCTAATTTAAATTCTTTAGAAGATGATTAACATTTTTAAACAATTCTTATTTATCCCTCTAAAAGAAAATGAAGACATTATTTCTATTTTACCACTTTATTTGGTTTTAATATATCTTCTACTATAATATCACATAACTTTAACAATGTTTAATTTGAAAATGATTTTTAAAAGATTGGAATATTTTATAATATCTACAAATACTTCTCTCTCTTCATTTTTTATTATAAATGTATTGGTAAAGATTTGATATCAAATTTAGCTACTTTATTTTCTTCTTAATAATTGATTATAGACTTCAATGTTTTAGGTGAATAAATTATTAAAGGATCCATTGTAAGTGATTGATAATTAATTACTTATTTAATTTTTATAAAATAAAAAATTAGTAGGAGAATTCTAATCAAATAAATAATAAAATAATAACGTTTTATTATGTTTGGATTGAAAAACAACAAAACAAAAATATTTTAAATATAATTTATATAGTCTTGTTGTTATTCAGCAAACATATAAATAATAGTTTATGCAATAAAAGTAGCAAAATGAATTTAAATAGTTATCATAATCACAAAAAGCTAATCATATTAATTTGAATAAAAATTTAAGTTTTTTATGAAATCAGTAATTTTGTAGATTCTTATTAAATATAACATATAAAATATTCTTTATCCATCTCCTAAATCTAATAAATAAGCAAAAAATGGTAAAATGGTTGATATATCTGCAATCATAGTTATTATACAAAATTAGTTAATTACAATTTGATAAACGCAATCGATTAATTAAAAAATAACCAAGAAATAATGAAAAATATACTAATTGCTAAGTGTTATATTATCACAACCCAATTCTATCAATAGTATAGTCAAATAAAAGACTAGAAAGCATATATAGAGACTATATATTGCTTTTTTAATCATAGAATCCTACTTTATTCTATTAATAATTTATTTTTTTAAAGGAATGATATAGACTGAAGATAAGTCATGAATAATTTTAAATTGCTATTTGCTTAATATTTGTTAAATGAAAAAGTCTAATTTTGTAGAGTACAATAACCTCAAAGATGAGTTATGTGTACTTGATTTATTTTAATTGGATTTTCGATACAGTATTTCATAATCATTTTGTTTTCTTATCAAACTAAATTATTGTGAGTCTTCTTTATTACTTGGTTCTTCATTAATAAGAAGCAAATCTTATTAATTATTAGGAGATATCCTATCAGATGCTAACTATACACTGTTCTGAGTGAAAGTGGGAGATTTTTGATTAGTAATTTTAATTTAATGACTGTCATTTTATACTTTAAGATTTTCTTAAGAAGGATTACGAACTCTCATTTATTACTAATTAATCTATGTCATTATTTGAATGATTGGCTTATGATATGAGTCTTCATTTGGAGGAGTGGTGGTTGAATTTTAAATCATTAATAAATATATATTGAATCATCATTCATCTTTCTGTTTATCATGTATTTCTTGTCAATAGTATCACAATATTTGTAAATAAGTGAGACAACCTTTAATTTTGACATTAAAACAAAGTAATAATAAAAAATACTTTACTTTAACTATTCACTAAATCAATAAAAATTTATAAAAGTAAGAGTTCAGCAATAACAAATATAATTTAAATACTTAGTATATAAAGGAAAAATATTAAACTAGTCTTATCTTTTAGATTCCACATTATATATATTTTTCAGATCCTAAATGAATTTAAATCTTATCTCTTTGTAAACTTTTTAGAAATCAATTTATGTTTTTTAAAACAAAGAATTTCATTCACAGATTATGAATTTGTCCTTTTTTTTGCTTTATTGTGCATACATTACTAGGAAATTAATTCTCTAATTAAATTTTTTTAATTTTTACTAAAAAGAATTCATTATATTTTGGAAACTGCTGAAATATTTTCTTATTTATAGGAATTATCGAAATTGAATAAGATAGTATTGATGTAAGAAATTCTGAATAATTTTTGTGTAATAGTAATTAATTAGTAGATATAAAATATTGAATATTATTTTGTATAAAGATTTATCTCTATTCAATAATTAATATAATCAGAAAGTATTGATATGATGAAAATTTTCTTATAAAAAATATTTAATTAGTAAATATATATTAAAGAATAAATACAATTAATATCTGGTATTCGACGCCGATGAAGCCATATAATTGAACAACATCGGGCTTTTTGAATCCATATTTATTTAGCACCTGTGAGAAATTATTTGATTGATCAAACAAACTCAAATATCAGCAACAAGTGCAATAATAATTATAATGTTTATTTGATTCTTTCATCTCAACTAGTAATTGTACTGCTAGCTAAGACACATAGAATCTTATGGTTTCGGTTTACCTGTGAAGTACGTGAGATGTATCACAACAATATTCACGTTGTAACACCGAAAACCTTAAATAAATTATTTTAATTAATAAAAAATATTTAATCATTTTGGATATAAATGAATAAATGTTTATTTATGGCATTTTAATAAGAGGATAAATAAAATGATTATCATTTAAATTAAAATTTGAATTGATATTATGTGATGTATTTCAAAAATTTCTCTTTCTAAAAAATTTATTATATTATGAACCAAATGTTTATGATTTTTCATATCTTCTCTCTTCCAAACTTTCATTCGGATTAGCTCTTTGACCTTCTGAAGATCTCATAATTCTAGATGGAATATTACTTCCTGGAGATTTTGATTATTGTCTTAAATAACTTTTAGTAGTATGTCTTTCAATAGAACTAGTATGAGTGATATTAGATGTATTTTAGTAAAAATTTAATTTAGATTTATCATATGATTAGTTGCTATGATTTAAATAATACGGGGATTTGAAAGTTGATTATAATTAAGTAGGTTATTGAATATTAGATAATTAGGTTTTGTCGATAAAAGTAGTTTTATTGATACCATTGAAACTTGCCTTTCTAGAACTTCCAGTTTATTTTCTGCAGGAAGAAGGATTTGATAAGATTTCTTTATCTTAAGTTAAAAATGTTTGCTTCCTAAGTTAAAGATGGCATTAACAGGAACAACCTGTTGCACAATTTTGTTAAATTTGTAATAAATCACAAATTTCTCCCATGATGGCACTGATATAAGGTTCATTATATTTTTGATGTTCCATTTGATTCAATTTCATAAGAGTCTGAATAATAGTGTATAATTACTTCTTCTAAAACTCTTTTAAATTGATTCTCATCTGCTTCTTCATTTTTATAAAACTTTATTATTCTACGCTGCAAAATTTTAAGCAAAGAAGTAATTAGTTTATTATACTAACTTTCAAGTTATCTAGTAGCAAATCCTGAATAGACAGACATTAAGTAATATGAAAAATTACAATATTATAATATATCACTTTAATTTTGAAATGGTTCCTTTATTTTTGAGTAGTAAATGAATAGTTTCAGAATCAAATACAAAATCCATAATAAAAAAGTATGAATATTTGATTACTATTATGTTGTATTAATAAATTTAGGTCTATCTTAATTTGTTTTATTTAGATGAACTTGTTTCTTTATTTTATTTTTAACAGAATTATTATACCTAAAATGAGTATTGGTACACTAATTATCATTTACAATTTATCTTTCCGTTCAACAGAAATCAGATAGCAAAGATTAGAAATTTTTATTTTTCTTAAGTAATTCTAACTATTAATCTAAAAAATTAGATTTTAGATTCGGATTTTTTTTATTCAGTTACATTAAATTAATTGTGGTGCTTTTAATATAAATTTTTTATCATTTCATTATATTAAGTGATATCAATTTAAATTTAGGGTATCTTATTCATAATTGATCCTATATTAAAATTTCAAATCTATTCTATCAAATTCTAAATTTCCAACATTTATCGATATTCCTCATTCTAAGATATTAATTTTAATTAATTTTTCCTTTTTTCTGTGTTATTTCTTCAATAATAAAATTAGTTCTTAGCTTCCTTTAATAGTTGTTCCTCATTCACTGGATACTTTTCTAAATCAATATTAATAAATCAAATCATTTTATGCATCATCTATAACTAATCTACTAAATTCAATTTCATCATTTTATTGTATCTTTTTCTAAAAATGTTTATCTCTTCATTAATTATGCTTATTGTTCTTAATCACTTACAACATGATCATCCTCTTTTATAACTAATTCTATATTATTATTGATAAGAATACCATTCAAATATTTAGAATATTTATATCAATTCACTTCTATAATTATATATTATTTATAAGCAAAGCTAAATTTTATAGAACTATTATAATAAGGTTTCTGTTAATTATTCTACCAAACGACATTCATTGATATGAATCATACTTCCAATATCTATTCATATTATTATAATAATTGTAAGACTCTCTTTGTGTTTTTATTCTTTAATTTTTTAAACTTGCTTATTCATTCTACAAATAAATCTGTTATATTAAAGAATCTAAAATATATTGAGTTTTTTTGAACTACCTGAATTCTTTTCTAATTATTTCAAATTTAATAGCTTCATATTTATTATTTTAATTTTTCATCTTTCTCTTACTTATAATAATTCTTCTTCTAATCCTTATTAATATTATTTAGTTATTTGAAATTGTTTATTAATCATTCATTTTAAATAATGATAATAAGATCAAAATAGGTTAATTATTATAATAATAATAATAAAACTTTATTTTTAATGTAATCTCCTCTTAGATTATATTCTGCTTCAAGAGCATTTACTTGCAGAAATATGGAAACCAAACCTTCTTTTTTCATTTCCAAAAGTACAACTTTTTATTCAATATCAAAAAAGAAACAAAATTATCAAAAAAATAGAAAGAAATCGATAATTTAAATGAATAATTATTAATCGTCAAACAATCCAATAATTTAATATTCGAAGAAAATAAACAATTAAAATAATAAATATTGCACTTGGAGGTATATATTAATTTGTATTTAGAAATAATTAAATAAATAAGAAAAGTTACTCATTTTGAATAAATAATAAAAAAATGAATCTAAACATAGTGATTTAGATCTTTAAATCAGAATGAAAACAGAAGAAGTATTATATAATAAAAATTTATTAAAGTCATGTTCTATTATTGCATATCAAAAATAAATCAAAGATTATAAAGCCAGAGAAAAATTTAATTAATAATAAATTGAAGAACTTAAAAGAGATACAAGAAGAACAAAACTTTAAGAATGCTAGGTTAAGTTTTATTCCTATTGTTTAAGATAGAATGTAAAGTTATCAAAGAAGAATATGATAAAATGAAGTTTAAATATTAAGCATTAATACATTAGATGTATTAATCAATTTATAATTCTTAGTTAATTTAGTTAAAAAGATGAGCTATTAAAAGATAACATTAAAATTAGTTAAGAATTACTTACTTCTATATAAAAGCTTTAAGAATTATAATTATAGTATAAGAAAATTTAGCAGGAGTTACATCAATCAGATTTTAAAAGAATAAGGAGCGAAAAATTAGTACTTGATAAGGAAAAGGAATTATAACTTATATAGTTTGAATATAGCAATCCAAAAAAAACAATTAGTGATTTAAATCGTTAATGGCAAATAAGATTAGAAAATTAAAAATTAATTCAGCAACAAATAGAAGAAGAATTAAGATTAAGAAATGAAAAAATAAATCTATTAGAAAAAACATTAAAAGAAGAAAAATCTGCTTATTAATTAAAAGAAGCATTTTACAAGAGAGAAATTGATAGTTTAAATATTTAAATTGGATAATTAAAAGAAACAATATAACATTTAGAAAGAGAATAAATGATGGAATAAAGTTCTGATGAATAAGAGTCATAATCTGAGAAATCAGTTAAATAAACATCGTAAACTTTTAAAAAATAAAATACTTAATTATTAATGAGCAGAAAAAAGATTTAAAAAGTAAGTTCTTCTGAAGTAGAGATAATTGGTAAAGAAATTGGATTAAAATTTTAATTAGCCTAAATACCTTTTTCCAGATTGGATTAATATATTTATTCTAAATCATCAAAAGGTATAATAAATCTAAGTGAAATAAATGAGATACTTAAATAATATCCATTTGATTTACCTGATGATTAATCTTTATTAGTAGCAAGATTTCTTGCAGAACCTGAATAAGAAGAATGGATTTATTATGATAGTTATTAAACAAATGATGTTGTTATTGTTATAAGCATTTTTAGAAATCTAGTTAAACCTTTTGAATTGCTCAATCCTCAATGTTATGATAAACTATTTTAAGAATTAAAATAAATTTTTAAGTTTAATAAGAATAAGTTAATTGATTATCTAATGTTAAATGGAGATAATTGTGATCTAACTTACTTTAAGAAAGCATTTGAATATTGTGATATTCCATTGACATAAGAGTAAATTATTATTATCGATTTTAGATAAGAAACTTATATTTCTATTAAAATGTATGAGAAGTATAAGAGAATCGTTAATTTAAAATACTAAGAAATAATTGATTACTTCAAATGATAATAATTTAATTCAAAATATTTAACAATTTATACAGGTTTCTGAAGAGCTTTCTTTTCTTTTGTTTTTTATTTCTTCTTATTTAAGTATGTTATTATATTTTCCTCTCTTAATTTCATAATGATCATCTTCAATGAAATCTTAAGACACGGAAGATAAATTTTATAATGATTTAGTTCCTATTATTATTCATTTAATAAATTACTATCCATTATTGAAATAGAATCATTCTTAGATTTAATTATGGCAAATAGTTTATCTCTAAATTCGTCTATTAAGTTGACGATTTCAGAATAAGATGAAATTTATTTCTGAATTTTAATAAATTTTTAATCATTTATGATATCAAAGAATGATTAATACAAAATATTGAATCTTTCATTATTTAATGATTTTAATTATTAAAACTATTATTATAGATTTTCCACTTCATTATGATAAATTTAATGCAATCTAAAAATGCATATTCCATCAAATTCACTCCCATGATAGTTTACTACATCATTGATTTCATTAAGTTCTGTAATTTAATTAAGTTTAAGAATTATTTTCTTTTGTAAATTTGCTACACTTCTATAATAATTATATATAGAATATACTCTTTGCTTTCCTATTGAATCAACAGATGACTCTTTTTTAAATTTGATGATCCTGGATTTGTAGAAATGTCTAAAGTGAAAATTAAATCCTACATGATATTATTTATTTATTTTAGCTATATTTCTAAATAGAAATTACCTCTAGAATTTTAGAACAATAGTTCTTAATGATCTTTTCATCTACATTGTTAAATTATTGTTTTATGAGATTAATTTTTTCCTAAAATTAAGCTAGGTCAATATATTACATCAAGTTGTTCCTTTAGATTTGGGTATATTGGTCTAGATTCTTTTTTAAATGCTTGAACATTATCAAACAATGATTCAATGTCTTGTTTTAGTTTAAGAAGCATGAGAGTAATTTAATAATAATAAATTATCTTTAAATTTTTAATATCTATAATTTATATATATATTGAATTATCCAACTTCCTTCTAAAGAATTCTAAAATATCATTGTGAAAAGCTTTAAAAAATATTTAATTAATTTAAATAATTTCATAATAAAATAATATCTTTTTCTGATACTTTGTTTTTTACATTATATACAGATAATAGAACTTTTGATTATCCACTTCTTATTTAAATAATTTATCTTCAATATTCCTACCATTAACCAGTTTTAATTTAATCAATTTAACCATTGAAACCCATTTTGTTTTATCTAGGCTCAGTTTATTTATTTACAATTATTTACTTTCTCAAAAAAATAATTTAATAAGGTCTGATATAATTAAATAAATATAAACTACCATGATTAAAATTCCATATTTGCCTTCCCTATATTGTTGATTAAAGTATTTAATTAGCTAAAAGGAAAAAATTGAAAATCTTTAATAAAGTGAATAATTAAAAACATTTGTATATCTTATATAGAATTACTGCATTACCAATGTTTCTACATTCTTCCTTTATCATTCATTTCTACACTATTGATTGTCAGAATTTCAAGTTTTTTATTTTTAATTTCAAAATAGTACCTTAAATGCACAAGTTCAAAATAATCTTATTTAATACATATAAGGGATGATAGTTTAAATTCTAATTTAATTTCTGAAACATGAACTAAATATGTGGATTCTAGATTATAAGACTTTAATTAAAATCATCTTTTTAAGAAAATTTTATTAAATTAAATCCACCAATTCTAGCAAATTTATATTATTTCTCAATGTCTGAATATATGAATTAAGATTCATTTTTAATCTTAAAATCACTCGTTTATTATTTAGTTCTTTTTATCCTTATTTTTTTATTTTTATTACTAATTTATCTCATAAATTCCTTCACTTCATTATAAATTTTCTTATTAGTTTCCATAATTATAATTATAGAGCATATTAAAATCTTCTATTGATAAAGATAGGGAAAATTTTGTTAAGATCAGAAAAAGTAATAGTGAGAAAAATAAAAAAAAGAATGACAGGCTCTTGAGTAATTTTAGATCATGAATTTAATATTTTATTTTAAATTAATCAACTTGAATATCATTTATATGCTAAGACTTATACACTGATAGAAAAATTTCCAGCTGGGAAATTACCGTATCTACTTACTTCTATGATTTTTCTCTCATCAAGTGTCAAAGTGCAATTATCACTAATTACTGACCAAGCATTTTGGTCATAAGGATGTCCTGTTACTTTTGTTATATCTACCTTTGTAAATAAACTCCAAGTAACTATATGATCACCACAACAATTTCCTGATTATGAACAAATATATAATTTCACTTTTCTAGTTTAAGGAGGCAAATCAGTTAAACACAATTAAGTAGTATTTGCATTAATTGACAAATTTATTGGAGCTTAAAGTAAGTTCCATCCATATTGATTTTACATTAAAAATTAAATCTTAATATTCTATAATAAGTAAAAACTATTAATATTCTAAGTTAGATACTAGTATTCTATAAATATAGGTAATTTAAATAATGAAATTCTATAAATATGAAATCAGATATATTTATATAAAGTAAAAAGATTAATAACAATTTTGAAATCAGAAAAACAATAAGATTTTTTTGAATTTAATCATCAAATTAAATCATCTTTAAGATTGATTAAATATAAAGCAAATAAATAGATATTTTATAAATTATTTTATAATTGACAAACAGAAAATAGAAAACAAACCTAATCTTTAAGTTAATTTTAATCATAAAAAAATGATCATTCAAACAAAATCAAATTATTTTTTCTATTCATAAAGTAAATTCTTAATTGAAGCAAATAAAAAGGTTATTAAAATATCCATCTTTTATTTTTGACAAATTGATAATTATTCAAATTATTATTCTAATATGTAAATTTATAAGTAAAAATCTTATTGCCAAGAAAAATTGAATTAATTAAAAAATAAATAATCATTATTATTATTGTTTTTTTTTCATTTTTTAAAGTTTCAACTCTAATATTTTATCAACTGGTTCTAATTACTAATCAAGTTTTTTAGTAGATATCTTAAAGTTTTCAATTTTTTCAATCAATTATTTTTATTGTTAAAATAATTTGTCTCTAAAATATTCATCCATTTCATCTTAATATTTAATATATTCTTAAATTCCTTTGCTATTTGAACGCTATTCTTTTGCATATTATTTTAGTTTTATATTATTATGTTCACTATTCTTTAATTACAATTTATTTCGATATTATTTTTGTTTAAAATAAAATTATTTTTCATTTTCTTGACTATGAACTTAAGGTGTTGGATTAGTTGATTTTTCACACATTTATAACTACCTATATTTTCTTTAAGAATGAAATGAAGTTATTGGTTTAATTTAAGGGCTAAGTTCTATAGTATGCATTATTTTTTATGGTTTTCGTATGGTTACAACAGTTAGTTAGGAATCATTCATTGAAATTTTTCTATGCTTTTCAAACTGATTTTAAGAGAAATCTATTTCATTTGGTTACTAAACCATCGAAGTATTTGGTCTATCAATCTAATTCTTTACAAACCTTTATCTAGCTTTATTTGCTTAAGATAGTCTATATTGAAGAATATTATTAATTTGATCTTTAGTTTTTTCAATGAATAAGGATTGAAATATAGTTTGTGATTATGGAGATAATTACATTAATTTATATTATTACATATAATTGTAGAATACAACTAAATTTTTCTTCTTTTAAAAAAATACTCTTTCTATCTATTCATTATAATTTGTTCTCCTTTGATAATTAATCTAGATAAAAACAAGTTTTAGATCTTGTATTATAGATAATTTATTTAAAAAAGTATGAAATAAAAATGTTAAAATGAAAATTCTTAAAATGATTCATCTCTTTTGCATTTAATGATTAAATGTGTGAATAATGTGAATTTCTATAATAAATTTAATTGTTTAAAGATCTTTATTAAATATAAAGTTAAATAAATTAAAAATAAATACTCTTTATCTTTTAATGTATGAGATAAAAATAGAAAATAAAAAAGATATCAAAATTATAATGATTTGTTTCTTTTTTTAATCATTTTATAAGCCTTAGTAATTAAGGACATTTATTGTTTTATATAATTTAAACTATATATTTTGGATGTATAATTAATATAATTTATGTAGTTTTATTGAAATAATAAAACATTGATAATATTAATAGAAAAATGATTTATATTTATAGAATGTTGGATAGGTCAGTTTAAATGCTATTATGAATAAATATTTTGATATTATTTATTTTTTAATTTAAATTATTCTGCAAGAAGAGCAAATGTAATGAATATTTATATTTTAGGTTGCCAAAAGGATAGTAAAATATAAGATAAATATATTTATAGCGCTTTTATTAGTAATATTGGAATGATATTGTATATTTCTTGTTGGATGGCATAATATTGTTATCAAGCAAAAGCTTATGATATTGGAAATTTATCAGGAATGGATCATTATTAAACATGGGTGATATTGAATATAGCAGGGGCAAGTTGTCTCTTATTAGGCTTGTTGATTAGTTTAGCCAAGATTGCTATAGACTAGGCTGCCTTAGGATATGGATCATTAGGAATCAGTTTAGTTGGTTGGATTATTATTACTGTTGGTATGGGAATAGGATCAGACACAGATCAAGTTTTTATTCAAAATATTATAAGTTCAAAAACACTTCCCTAGATTATAATATTCCAGTCTCTAATTGGTTTGCAATTACAGGAATTTGTTTCCAAACTGCTTTTAATGGATATGAACATTCCATTCAAGAGGATGATAGCACTGGTTAAACAAGCAAATAAGTAGAAATCTGATTATTAAAATATATCATAACATTCATAAATGTATCAATTATTTTACTATAAATATTCTAGAGATATATTAAATTAAACCATACTAATAAAGAAATTCTTCATAAATGAATTTTGTTAAATATTATATGCAATTTTTATTATATCTCATCTTATCTCATATAATAAAGAAAAAATAAGATATAAAACATAATGGTTTTTAAGAGACTTACAATAATGAAGAACAGATCTAAAGAAAATAAATAAATTGCAAAAAAGGTTATTGGGTTAATAGTTGTTACCTTTTAATATCGAATGCTATTATCTTAATAAATTTATATTAATTATTTTATTAAAATTCTTATAATGAGTTCTTGAAAAATATTTTGATTTATAATTAGATAGTTGAATAAAAGAATAAAATCATTTAACATTTAATAGTTAGTTATATATGATCATGATTTTTTTTATTAATTAACTTTCCCACTTTCTTTTTTTCCATCTGGCCCTGTAGTTTCTATTTCTAAGAATGATAATAAATATTAAAATACTTTTAGGAGATTGTGTATTTAATTCATTTTTATCAACAGCATGTTATTAATCCTTTTGAGATGATTTCATTTTATTTTGTGCAGAATCTAGTCTTGTATTTTATGATTTGTTTCTTTAAGGTTATACTTAAATAATAAATAATAGAAAATACATTTTTCTTAACTTTTGTCTTTTGATTCCTTTTCTCCAATAGATTATTTTCTTTTGATTGGTTATTTGACATCTTCAGTTAATTTTTATTAAACCACTTAATTAATTAATATAATTAAATTACATTATTTTTTATCTCTTTATGCTGCTACTTTTTAAAACTCTAATTTTAAAGCTCTTAATTTAGAGTTCATTTCTGTTTTTTCTTCTGGCATATCTAAAAAATACATCAATCCTTATAAAGTCTTAGAACTTGTAGCATCAACTTATTAATATTAGTCTTCTCTTTTTTCAAGTGGTCCTTCTTCTGAAATAACTTAATCTTTTTTTAATGCAAGCATATCGATAGTCTTCATATTATTTTAATATTTATCATTTAGTAAATCAAAATACTTTTATCCCTTTATTGAAATTCTCAATAATGCTTATTAAAATTCAATATAATTCATTCCTTTTGGTGGCACAGTATTAAAACCATTTTTTTCATTCAACTATTATTGTTATCTCTCTCTCTCTCTAGTTATAGATCTAAATATTAACTATGCATCTTCAGGAGTAATTATAGCAGGATATATACTAAATTAAGAAGCAAAGTTTGTAAATCCTTTGAATTACAATAACTCTTTTTCTATTCCTGCATTTTCTATCTTCCAATCAGTATATTCTTAATAAGCATGATATATTGCTTATAATTATTTTTCATATTTTTTATAAATAGATTAAATGTCCTAATTTTATTATAATTATAAAATTTTAGAATGCATTTATTTTTCTCTTTATCTTACTTCCTATTCCTATTATAACATTATTTCAACATTATTTTTCCATTCTTTCATTTCTTCTTTAACTTTTTATTCTTTCTATTTTTCTTATTATTCTTTATCTTTAAATTCTTTCTTTTTTTATTCCAACAATTTTGTTACTTCTTGTTTTTATTTTTTCTAAAATTCTTCTCTTTATTTTCTTTCTAATTCTTATTTCTATTTTTATTATTCAAGATTCTAAGCTTCTTTTATTTTAGATTCTTCTGCCATCTTTTCTTTATATTCTCTTAATTTTAACTTTTTATCTTCAGCTTCTTTTTTTAAAAATTCTTATTATTTTTTTTCTTTTTCTGCTTTTTCAATCATTTCTTATCTTTCTTCTTATTTTTTAAGTTATTCTTATTCTTCTTTCTCTTTTTTTTTTCTTAAATATTCTTATTTTAATTTTTCTTAATGTTTTTTTCTTTTTTCTTCTGCATCTATTTTTTTTTATTCTTCTTCCTATTATTTTTATAATTTATCTTCAATTGCTCTATTAATTACTTTTTTTTATTATGAATTATCCCTTTATTTTACTTAAACCACTTATTCTTATTATTATTATTAAGGATTTGGTTTTACTTTCCATATAATCCTGACATCTGATAAAGGTTCAACTATATTAGTTTTAAAAGTTTCTGAAATTAATTAATTTATTATTTCATGACAATCAAGCCATGCATTTTCAATTCCTAATATAATCTATTATCTATATTCAAATCTTTAATTCAATTATTTTTCTGTAACTTTTTTAAATTTATTAGGTACAGCAATATCTTAAGTTTAAAGTTATTAATTTAATTATTTAATTAAATCTCTATCTGGATCAATATTAATATTGTCTGGATCTAAAAATATAAGATGATTTTCATCTAATAATTATATATTTTTATATACTTTTTGATTTTGCTATTTATCCAAATCCTTACATAAACTATTCTAAACATTAACCAGCAGGTTTTCTTTAAAATATATAACCTTCATTTTTCATTGACAGTTAAGCTAAGAATCTTTCAAAATTTAATTAATCTAAACTAAATTAATCAGTTCTATTATCTGAATATTTCTAATTTATAGCTTTAACATATGCTTAAATTTCTTCTTTTGATAAATTCACCTAAAAATCTTTTAACATTCTCATTATATCAGATAATTAAATAATCTCATATTATTCTTAAAGTTCACCAAAATATTATTTTTTACTAGCTTAATTAGTAGTATTAGAATATTTAGAAAACAAATATTTCATTGCTTTATGATTCTTTTTTATAGCTATACTCATAGATTCATAATCATGTGTCTCATGATCCTCAAGATCTATTAATTCAACCTTCTTTTCATCAACTTTTTCTATAACTTTACCTATAGTTCTTTTTTGAATTTCTTATTATGCTTTTTTTTATAAAATTTCAATTCTTTTTCTTTTTTCTTCTTCTTCTTATTATTTCTTTAATAATTCTTCTTCCTTTTTTAATTTAATATTAGCTATATTTTCTAATACTTTTGGATCTACTTATTAAGGTTTCTTCTTATTTTATTATTACTACTAAACATTTGGTGTATGTGCTATTGGTTATTTTCCTCTTTCTAATTCTACTACTCTTTTTTTAAAACCAACACCATTTTATGCTAAAAATTTCTTTTCCTCCTCTAATTCTTTTTATCTCAAATCATTGAATGGATCAATATTATTTTATTTATTTTTCTCACTCTTTATTGTCTATGGAGTTTACTCTATAAGTTAAAATTATTAATTTTAAACAAATTCATTATCTATTATTGATTATGATTATCTAAGAATTTCTTCTTATTCTTATTTTTCAGTCTCCCATTATTATTTTATAACTGATACTATTTTTTCTGGATTACCAAACATATTTAACAATGTTATCACTCCCTTATCCTTAATATTAATATTTTGTCTAATTATAAACAATAATATAATACAATTCAATATAAAAATGACATAATAATGGTTTTATTTATTCATTCAATTCATCTTATTACATATTTATTATGAATTTAATTAATTCAATTATTTATGCCCTTTTTTATGCTTCCAATATTTCATGGTCATTATTATGTTATTATAATGCAGTCAAAATAGATAAATCATTAGTTTTAACTTATTATATTTTACTCTTTAAACTACCATAATGTAAAGCTAAGCCTATTTTACAAAGTTTAAAAGCATATTCTCTTAATAATGGTGATTCTGCAAAACGAGCTAAAAGTACTTAAATTGGATTTAATGATAAATGAGACATTGTCACACTATTTAAATAAATTTTAGCTAACAAATCTAATAATAAAATTGCCAATCTTATTTTCATTTTTGGATGCTTACTAATAAATTTAAATAACATCATATCTGTTAAATTTACTAAAGAATCATTTAACATAACCTATTTTATTAATGGTTCTAATAAAATATCAATTGGTATTGATGAATATTTCTATATCAAATACATAAAATTATTTAACATAAATTCCCTAACATCAATTTCATTATAATTTTCAATTAAAGTAAATGTCAATTTCTTATACAAAACTGCTGCATATGGATTTCTATCTGTTGCTAATTTATCAAGTAAACGAAATAACATATTAAGTGAAAAATATTTCAAATTATTTGAAGAATCTCTTGTGCCTTTTTTCATTAAAAATAAATATTAATTTGGATAATTTTAATCTTCTTCAAATTATATTGGATATAATAACCAATTTAATGTTAAATATTTTAATCCTTACATTTTTATAGTTAATTAATCAGAATCTGACATTTTTAATGCTGCTTATGACCAATATTATACAATTCCTTATTAAATTAATTCATCTTTAAGAGTTTTCTATTAATAGAGAAATTCAATCAAAGAATTTAACATATCTACACATTTATCAGCTAATTGTTTCTTAAATTAAACAGTAAAAAAATCAACCATATTAAATCTAGATACTTAACTATATAATTCACAAATTTAACTCAATAAATTTGGATGTCTTTACATACATAGAAAAGTTGCTGCTAAACCACCATTTTCTTTACAAAACCATTCATATCCTAATTGATGCATTTCCATTTCAGATAATTCAAAATATGTTCTACCCATTATTCTTAAAGTCCAAAGAGTAATTTCTTATTCTTTTGATAATAATCCTGGTTTTATAGTTGCGAAAAAATAGTAAACATTTGAATCTTGTTATTCTAGAAAATTAAATACTCTAGAAATGTTACCATATATATCACTTAGCCAATTTATTAAAGTTTCAAATTCTCCCTTTACTCCTTTTACAAGTAAATGAGCTAAATATTTATTACCATTTGATAATAGAGATGCAGCTTATTAAGGTTTTAATGTTAGATGTTTAGATAATCCTGTTATTAAAAATTCAAGTAAAGATTTAGATTCATTTAATGGTTTTTTTGTATCTAATTCATCTAAAATTAATTCATTATTATTTCCTTAAAAATCATATTTTGTTTATGGTAATTTTGATGCTGGCCTACTTGGAGGTTTCTTTGAAGTTTCAAAAGAAGAATCTTCAGAGGATCTAACTGATCCTCTTGTTTATTATTTTCTATTATTTTGATTATCTAATTCCATCATATCTTTTAAAAGTTCATTCATCATTTCTATGTCACCATTTACAATTAAATTTTTAATATCATTATCTAAAGGTAAGTTTATTTTTTGAAATGCATCTTACAAAATATTCCAATTAAATAATTTTACTCCAGGAGTTTATTAATTTTTCATTTAATCACTTAAATTTGGAACATGCTTTAAATTAATTAATGATTTTTACAATAGATCTTGCTTCTAGCATTTTATTTAATGCTTCTCCAAATTTAAGTCCATTAATAAATTATTTACTTTAGTTCTCATCCAATTCTACTTTACCAGTGTTCTTCACTTATTGAGGCTTAACAATAGTAAGTGATAAAAGCCATTTATAAACATCATGATCAAGTGAAACTTTCATTAATATATTTTATATTATTATACCAATATAAATTGAATAATTAATTCATAGTTTTTAAATTTATACTATTTTAAATATTTATTTAATATCAGATGACCTCAAGAATTAATTTGTTACTTATCATATTTGAGCAACCTTCATTTAATAACTTTATTTTCATTACTTTGATATATTTACAAGTAATTGCAAGACTATTTTTAAGTCTTTTTTAAAAAACAAATAAAGGCATTTTATATAATAGAAGAAGGATATTGAATATTTAAGATAAGGAAATCCTAGTATTTGCAGGATGATGCCTCTATACTTATATGAAATTTAATCATTAATATTTATCTCTGAATTCAAATTTAAAATAGACATGAAATACTGAGAGAGTAAATAAAATCGATTGTTTAATAATAAAAATTAGATAGCATTCATTTCCACACAAGCATCTTTGAAATAGTTGAATTAGTAAATAAAGTTTAAAAATATAAGCTATTTGTCTAAAAAGTAGTAATTACAAAATATTCCAAAAAATAAGTAATAAAATAGGACATTTATCGAAAACTTATATTTTATATATTTTTAATAATGAACACATTAATATTTTAATTTTAAATAATTTCAAGTGATTTAATAAGAAAGTAAAGTTAATCGATAAGAATTAGATACTTGGCAAAACTTTTTTTGAATTTTTAATAAAGAAATAAAATTCTTATAAAGAAATAAGCAAATTTTGAGCAATAATAAAATATTTACATTTAAAATTTAGAATCCTTTTATATTAAATAAAGATATTAATATTATTTTAAACAGGTTTAAATACATAAGATTATCAATAAAACCAAATATAAGTGATATGAATTAATTCTAATTTATGGTTTATGTATAAATAATAATATAAGAAATAAAATTTATTTATTATCGAAAAAGAAGTAAGGAAGAATAAAAGATTATGATTAATAAATTGATTAAAAGATATCTACTACACAAAAATGAAAATTCAAATATATACACATCAATGAATTAGAATCTACATTTCGATTCCTTGTTGTTCTTAATCTATATGACTAGTTTTTTAATAGATAAATCCGATAGCAAATAATGCTCCACTCATAATGACACTAGTTTTATCAAAACCAACTTAATCTATAAATATTCCTCCAATGATAGGTCCAATTAAATCTCCTAATGACCAGCCAGCAATTAAAAGAGTAGAACCAATTTCAGCAGCTTGATCTTTATGTTTATTTTTTTCCATAATTTAAACGATTAAAGGCATTATAATAGCAGGTCTATGAATAAAAATAAATGATTACGCTGATCCTATTCCGATTCCTCTTATAATATCAGCAAAACATATAATATAAATTGATTTAGGCAATCCTATCATAGATGGACCATATAGTATAAGACTTATAGATCCAATATAAAGGCAATAAGTGTAAAGTTAATTTAAAGTATAATGTTTTTATTCAGCTACATAATATGCTCCAAAGAAACTTACAATAGTGTAAATCATAAATAGGAATTAAGAATTAGCATCATCTAGATTATAAACTTCTAATAATTACACAGACTAATGTTAATTTATATAAAATTACTAGATAAGTACGTAATGCTTAAGCAGCTACTCCTAAAAAGAAATAGGAAGTAAAGGTCACATTAAGTTCATGAATCTTAAATACTTCATAGTAATTGATTTAAACATCTGATTCTTCTTAATTGAAGTTGAATATCCTTTCATCAAGAAAGAATATTACACAAATAGTTATTAAAAAGTATAAAAATGCCACTAAATATAATGAGTATTAGAAAGTGTTAAAGTTATAGATATCTGCTAAAATGTATAGAAGACCACTTATTAAAGGGCCACAAACTAAACCAAAATTACAAGCCATTTCTAATTTGGCAATCTTCTCTGAAACTTATTCAGAAAATAAATGTCCAGTTATTGAATATGATGGAACCTATATCATGGTGTTTGACTAAATATTTACTAAATTATTATACTATTCCTTATAAGAATCTTAAAATTGATGATAAAACAAAGAATAGTGCTCCATCCAAAAAATATGATATTCCCAATATTATGGATATCATCAATTAACCCATTAAACCCTATAAGATGATTTTTTTTGAACTATGCATCTTACCCAACTTCCAGGATGCTAATATACTACCAAGAGGGTAAAAACACATAATAATTCCTATGCTAGCTTCAGTGAATCCCTTTTCTTTTATTAAAGGAGGGAAAAGTGGAATCATCATCATGTAACTAGCATTTGCCATCAATATTAATATTGCTATGATGATGAATGATCTATCTCTGTTTTGTTAAACAGAACTTATGTTTACGTCAATCATTTTGTTAAATTTAAAAAATAATATGTCGTGATTTTTAATAATACGCCCTAAATTACGTAAAATTGCACTGATTATTTCTAATATATAAATAAAATTAATATAATTATAATTAAATAGCATAAAATTAATGAGTGTTATTGTTGATTTTTAGATTTCATTTTAAATATCAAAAAATATCAAATCATTATACATAAGGTATAATTTACTTATACAATCCTAACACTATTCTCAATAAATTTAGAAAATTTATATTTGGCTAATTTGTTTATAAAAATGCGAATTATTTATTATTAAATGAGCAAAATCATCTCTTATGGAATAAGCTAAACTTATTAGGACTTATTATTTTCTTATGATAATTTCTTAATAAATTTCAGAATCCCTCCTTAAATAATATATTTAATTCAGCTTATTAAGTTAATTTTTTGAATTGAAGTTTAAACAACTATAAATCATAATATAGAAAAAAGAACTTAATAAATTGATTAGAATCAAATTATTTTCGATATCTTTTTGACAAAAGAATCTATAAATATTTTAATTAAATTAAAATGTCGAAGTTTTCATAATTTTTAGAGGACATCAGTGAATTCAAAGAAAGGCCAGTTAAATTAAAACAAATAAAAAAGGTTCTTAAGATTAATGAAAAGAGCTTTCCTCCTTGCAAAAATATCCTAAATTATTATTTCTAAGAATTTTCAAAGTAGATTATAATAGTAAAAAGTAGACGTACAAATGAAGAACATCGAACAAAATGGCATAGAAAGGATAAAATTTTATTTGTATGGACTGTGTTAAAATATTTTGAATTCATAAATAAGAATGATTTAAACCCTGTATTATCAATATAATAGGATAGTCTGAAGAAGATTGGCATTATTTATCAAATGTGTTAGGAGTAACAGAATAACTATTGAATTTAAAATGGATTAGTATGTTAAAAACTAATTTGAAAATGGCGCCTTGGAATAATGAGGAAGATGAAATATTATAAAATATAATTACAGATTAAAATGAAAACAAAAATTGGACTTAAATTACAATAGATTTCAATAGAATAAATCCAGCTAAAATAGTTAGACATGCTAAATAAATAAGAGAAAGATGGAATAATTATTTGAATCCTGAGTTGAAAAAGTAAAGCTAAATATTTAATTAGATCTGAATGGTCATAACCAGAATAATTATAACTATTATTATTAGTTTAGGAGATTGGTAAAAGATGGTCACTGATTTCGAAAAAAATATCAGGAAGAACAGAAAATTAAGTTAAAAATCAATACAATTCGATGTTGAATACTTATCGAAGATAAAATGTATTCAATACATTAAATTTTATAGTAATTGGATAATGAAGATATAGCAATTAATAAATTATTGGCAAATTTATAAGGAAAAGATTATGAAGGTCCATTACCATTAACTAGTAAACGTATAAGAAAATCAGTAAATAATAATATTAATATAATTCACAATAATATTAATAATGTTACAATAAATTAAAGTATTAATAATGATTAAAAGAATATATAAATTGAAAGCAATGAAATAAAAGAAGAACATTAATAAGATTAGTAATAATTGTAATAACAATAATAATTGTAATAATAATAATAACAATTATTATCAATCTAATAACAATAATTATTCAATTAATAATAATTATAATAATAGTAGCAATAGTAATCACTTATGCTAGGATTACCTGTCTATTCTCCTATGATGCCTTTCTCTCCAGTACATTACTTAATCTGTATATATAATATTTCTATTTTATTAAGAATCAAGTCCAAATAATATATCCTCACCTTATGAAATTAGAAATAAGAATTATTCGAGTTAATTATAATTATTTGATGATTATTTGAAATCTACAAATAATCTTGAATAAAGTGCCCCTTAATCAGAAGTTCCTTGTTTATTAAGATTGTTTAATTCGCCTGCATTTAATCATTAAGGATTTCCTTATGCAACAATGCCTTACTAATAACCTATTCAACAATAGCCTACATATAATACGAAAAAAATTAATAAAATTTAAAAAGAATTGTTAAAATTTGATACAGGATTAAATAGAGATTGAGCTTTTCATTTTATTTAATAAAATTTATGATATTTTCGATCTAAATCTATATTGTGAATAAAATGATAATTTATTTTTAAGATTTTTAATTCTTAGATTCTGTTGATTTCTTAATTATTTGATTAAAGAAAGGTATTGACTTAATAAATTAAAATATATATACTCTCAATAATTTGGAAGACAATTAAAATATTTTTAGTATGATCAGAATAAAAAAAAAAAGTCATAAATTAAAGATTATATTAACCTTTTTATTTAATTTTTTAAGAATAATAGATCAAAAAAAAATAAAATTAGTTTGCTAATAATTTATTTTGACTTAAATTATATTTTGTTATTTATTAAATTTAATAAGAGAAACTTGCAAATTGAAATAGATAAAATTAAGGGATTTAAGTAGATTTCTACAAAGTATAAAAAATAATATGAAAATTAATAACCATAGAAAAATAAAATAAATGTAAGAAAAAGATAGAATTTATGCAATTTATTTATGTTATCTAATAGAATTAATTAATTTTAGATAAATTGAACGTTTTTATAAATTTAAAGAAATTTAAGTTTAAATGAATAAATCAAAAAAAAAATTTAAAAATAATGCTCACCCAGAACTATCAGCATCACTGCTAAATGAACTGTCTCCAGTGTCAGGTTATTTTTATTGAGCGACTGGTTATGGAGCATAGTTATAAGTAGTATTAGCTCTATGAACCTAAATCATATAATAAATTTGAATACAATTCTATCAGTCTTATCTTATGCTTTAGTTTCTTCTGCAACTTTTTTACTTTGTTACTTTTTTAAATATTCTAATTTAGTATTTACATATTTTTCTAATTATCGAGTTTTTTTAACAGGTAATGTGTCTATATCGAATTCTAATTCATCACTTTATTCTTATATCTTTAAACCATCAGATACAATTTCCCAAACTCCTCTTAAATGTTCAGGTGGTAAACTGTTAATATTATAAACTAAAGCTCTTTTTTCTTACATATTCATAGGTTATTCCATTAGACTTGGTTATTTTCTAAAAGATCTATAAAAATATGATTACACTGGCTTCTTATTATTTGTTGATGTTTATTATACTGAAGGAGGTTTCTTTTATTATTTATCTACTTTAATTGGTTATTCAACTGTTTATTTTTATGGATATGGTTTATCTAATTCTTTATACAATTCATTAAAATGTTACTCAAGTTCTTAAGTCATGGCATATAATTAAGAACCTTTGCTGTTCATTGTATAGGACATTTACCAAATTTTCTTGATATCCACCCAAAATTAAGTTGGTGTTTAATAAACATCTTATTATTTTAAAAAGATATAGTTACTATTTTTAAGATTCTATTCAACAATTTATAAATCAACATATTCTAATTCTTAAGGATAATTAACATTATCAAGTTTTCTTAAAAAAGGTGCAGCTAATTAATGTTTTTTTAACTTTTAGAGCAAATTCATGCATTTTTTTATCTCATCTGTATTATCTGCTCGATATGGTGCTACATTAGTCTTTTTAATGACTTTATTATCTTCCTCTGATGATATATCCTATTGGACTTTCTAAAATTTTATAATTTTTTTAATAAACCTTAACATCTCTTTTTGATTATCTACTTAAATTAACACTAAATCCTGGTGGTAATTTCTTAGCAATAACTCTAGCTTAATCAGAGGTTAGAAGAACTTAAAAAACATCATCTATTTGCTAGAAATCAAATATAAAAATTAAATCGTACACAAAAGGTAGTCATAGCTATCGTAATGGTTTCTGAAGGAAGAGAGGTTCTTTTTAAACAAATTATTTTAATTATTATTTTTTTGTTATTTCCAATTTAAAATGCTAACAAAAATATGACCGGGGTATTAAAAAATCATTAAAAAAAATTTAAATATTTTCTAGAGCAAACTAATATATATTCTTAGACATAAGAGACATTAGACATACTTTTTGAACACAAAAGTTTATTATTAATTATAACTGCATTTACCTTTTTGTATTTTATATTTCTAATTAATTTCATCAATAATAATATTACAATTTTATTATTCTTAGATCAATCAGATATTCTTTCTAATATTTTATTCTACCCTTAAAATACTCAAATATAAATTTAGTATTCTTTGCTTACATTTTTTGTTCCATAAGAATAATAAGGAAGTGTTAGATAAAAATTTAATATTATAATAATAATTAAAATAATGAGAAACTTAAGAACATACTAAGTTAGAATTCATATAAATATGAAATTAGCAAAAACAAAATTGTATTAAATATTTCATAGCATTTTCCAACTATTCTTATTTGGTATTGAAATATTTGTATTATTAGAATATGAAAAAGAATTTGAACTTTCTTAATCTTTATTTAAACCTAAAATCAAATATATTCTTACCAGGTGAATAATTCCTTATCTTTTATCTTAAGTTTTAAGGATTGCAAACATGACTACTTTTGCATTTTTAATCATCTTTATAAAATTGTTAATTAAAATATATACTTTTAATTGCTGGTGAGAATGTTCTTGTATTCACTGTTGATGGCTTTTACACTAAAGTTATACCTACAGATTAAATATTATCCTTTCCTTTACTAATTATTCGATTATATAAACATACATTTGTTTAATGCTCTAAGTTTTTTCTGTCAATTCCTATAATACCCTTATAGGTTAATTTTTTAAGAATTATGCTTAACTTTTTGTTAAACTTTAAGGTGATATTAATTTTTTAAGATGATTAACATCAGAAACTAATTCTTAAACTGCTTTTTGTTTTATTTTAGAATCAGCATCTATATTTTAATTACTATTATTGTTAAAACTACTATTATTCTATACTTAATTTGCACTTTAGTTTAAATATTTATCTTAAAAAGAATTATTTGGTTTCTACTAATTTCTTAGAGTAGATGCAGCTTATCTTCTAGATTACACATTCCTAAGATAGATTTAAGAGTTTGATTAAGGCAAAGGAGGACCATATTAATGCAACTTCTTAATTGGATCTTTATGAAATGGTGATTAACTCTCTTTCTTTTATACTGTATTATTGTTTTTTTATTAATCTTTAATATCAGCACTATTAGGTCTATTTTTACTATCTAATTCTTCTCCTTTTTTTATTAGAGAATTATTTCGATCTTAAATTTTTGATATATTTGCAATATTAATATTACTTATTTCTGTTGAATTTTTATTAGTATTTTATTATTATATTTGAGTTGTTGATTATGATTGTTTATTTTGATTTTTCATCTGTAATTGTTAAAATTTTTAATAGCTTGATTACAATTATGATATAGATTAAGTTAAGGTTTTTTATATTTCCGAATGTTTTGTTGAACTCATAGTTGAAATCAATGTTGGACTAATTAATTAATCTAATTTATTCTTTTGTTAAGAATAAGATTAGGTTGATTATTATTATTACTATTTAGAATTAATTTATAAGTTTGAAATATTATTTTAAGATTATTATTATTATTATTATTATTATTATTATTATTATTATTATTATTATTATTATTATTATTATTATTATTATTATTATTATTATTTTTGTTGTTATTATTAGAATTAAATAACATTTGTTAAATTTTTATCGATATTTAAAATAGTTTCGGATTGATTATTAAAATAATTTAATGATTATTAAACTTAATTTTTAAATTCTTAAAAATTATTTAAGATTGATGGAGAGGTATCTTTTTATTTAACAGAACTTGGACGATTATTTGTGAAATCAATGTGATTTTTTTTTTCATCATTTTATTATAAAGATGTACTTCTTACTCCACTTGGTTGGTTTATAAGTTAAGGATTTTATATTGATTCTGATGATATGAGTTAAGTCTTTTTTTCTTATTATGAATTACACTTTTATTTTTATGTACAATTCATAAGAAAATTTTAAAAGGATTAATTATTGCTCATTTATTATTGATTTTATTTAAAAGATTCACATTCATCTTATTAAAGTTATTTACAATTATTTTTATTTACATTAATACACTTTGTAAAACTATGTTAAATTTATGGTTATTTTGCAGGTTAATTTAAAGTAGTTTTTTAAACTCCCTAATGATAATGATAAAATTACTTTTAAAATAGATTAACAATCATTTTCTTCTTTTATTCTAATATCAGAACTAGATATAATATCAAGGGATCCTGTATAGACTAAAGTGGCTAATTGTGTATTTTCTATGTTTAATTAATCCTTCCATTTAATTTTTTGATTATAAATTTTTCCTAAGACTTACTATAATAAATATTGATTTAATACAATTTTAGATTATAAATTAGTATAGATATCATCAACAGGTCCATTTTAAGAATTGAGAAATGTATTTCTTATAATTAATTCTTCTTAAAGCTATTATGGATTCTATTCATCTTAAGTTAATTCATTCCATGAGGCAGTTCTTTTAGGTCCAAACTTATTCATTTTGGATTCTAAAGCATTTAATTAATAAAAAAAAGATGCTCTAATTTCAAGATCAGGTCTACGTGAATTTAAGTATTCGAGTGTTTTATAGAGCGTCCATGAATACCTTATAATTTATTTTAATTAACAAACTTTTTCATAAAATAAGCAGCTAATACACAACAAGATCTACTTTAACCTCTAAGTGAATGCACTAAAGTACTTTCTCCTAATTGAAAACACTCTTCAATGAATGTATATATTTTATTTACATTTTCATTTTTTTCATCAAATAAAACCTTTATCTATTAATGGAATGTTTTACTTCATTATCTTATTCAAGCCAATTAAATGTAAGATATTTAACATTCATCATAGTCCATTTATTTTAAACTTCTGTACCAGAACAATTGATAATATGTGTTACTTTGTTATTCACAATGAATTCTCGATCCTTAATTATAGAAATATGTAACTTATGATGCATATTCATCTCCAATAAATAAACCATCTTTAATTTTAATAGCTCCAACTATTACATTCTAGGTCATATAAAAGTTTTCAAAAATTTATTTAATAATTTTTATTTAACATCTCATCACAAATTCTATAGGAAAACTCTTTTAAAGAAAGTCTTTTTGGAGTTACAATATTTTTCACATCTAATTAAATCTAAAAATTTTACAAAAAATATGTATTCAAAATTAGAAATCAATTTCTTTAGTGAACTATCAATTTCTATAAATTGATGCTGATTAAATAAATAGTTAAACGTATTTTTCAATTTGATTGTGAATAATGGCATTGAATGTAATTTAATATTATGATAGTATTTATGATGTTAAATAATAAGAGCATTTCATAAATTAATTTAATATTAATGAATAACACCCTCTAATTACACTTGCCCAAATTATAGCAATTCATTTAGAATTTTACAGAAGACAATAGTTCAGTTGATCTATCAAAGCTATAGAATACACTCGAATTGAGAATCCAATAAACAATAATAACTGTTAATGAAGTACTCCACTTTTATGAATATTGCCAATCATAGTAATTGAGTTTTTTACAAAAATATAGGGAGTTTTTAAAAATGCATAGCTCTAGAAATTGGACAGATGAAGAATGGAAAATACTATTATGGGTAACGTTATAGTATTGTTCATTAAATTTAAAAAGCAGTGATGAAATTGTAAATCTTTATTAGTTTACATTAGTAAGGATAGGATTGGAATAATATATCTGAAATTATAGCATTCAAGGACTCATTAAATTGTCAATTTAAATGGTTTTCGCATTTAAGAATTATTCCTTCAAATAAAAATTGGCTTCCTGAAGAAGATAAGTTGCTTTATAAAATCATGACAAAAGAACCTAACATAAAATGGTTTGAAGTGTAATATGAAATGTTTATTTAATCATAAGGAATTTATTTTAGAAAGGCAAAACAATATAGAGAGAGATGGAACAATTATTTAAATCCTTAAGTAAATAGGTAAATTTTTAGGTTTATTATCTAAGAGGTATTTGGACAGAGCTTGATGATTATAATTTATTGTAAATAACATTAGTAGAAGGTTTGAGATGGTCAAATATATCAAAAAAATTGAAAAATAGAACAGAGAATTAAGTTAAAAATAGATTCAAAAGCATAATCAATAAAGAAAAAAAAATAGTATAAATTCCTTCTGAGTTACAATAAGATCACTTAGATGACCCTTTAAAACATGGATTAGATAAAATGACTGAGTTTTTAATTCATTCAATTTTAAGTAGATTGAAACCGGTGGATTAAAATTAAAACTCGAATAGCAATCAGTAAGAACATTTAAGCTATAACAATGAATAATCATTTTCTTAAATACCATCATATCCTTATATAATGGGACCTTAATCATACTACTATTAACAATTCTCATAGATTCCATAGATCCCATAGATTTCATAGATTTCATAGATTCCATAGATACCATAGATTCCATAGATTTAAACAATACCAATAATGCAACCTTAATTATAATAAAGCAACCCTATTTTACCTTGTCAACAATAATAATTATAAGGAATGAATATTTAGATTCCACAACACTAATCTTTAATTTCGTAGTAGCTTATATAATAATAATTAATTTAATAATAACAATAATAGATGATTCCTAACTTTTATTAAGCTCAATATATTCCATAATAATTTATTTAATAATAATAATAACAATAATAATAATAATCGTAATTTAAATTTAATGTATATTCATCATAATAAAATACACCAACTAATTCTATTGGAACTTTAAGTTCTTAACGTTCTGAAAAACTTATCTCAGATTAAATTAAAGAAGAAGAAAATAGTGGATCATCATCAAACAAAGAACCCAAAGTTTAAAAAATGGTTTGTGTTTCTGCTTAATCATCTATCAATGGTTCAACTAGTTCGGTGAATTCATTGGATGCTATTAAACATAATTTCAATAATATGCATTTAGATTCTGAATAAAATAGTCCAGATCCTATTTAAAAAAGAAAACATTAAAGATCACAATCAGGTGCATTCGATGTAAACAATTAAGGAAAAGTTAAAACTAAGAGATCGAGATTCTTTTATGCTTCTAATGATGGTTGAATTAATTTAATTAATGAATAAAATTTTATCAAAATCATTCACTTAACTTCGTTGTTATTGGATTTCAAAGTCTTATAATACTTCTTACGAAATCTAAATCTGCAGTTCAAAGTTAGATTTAAGTCGTGATGATTTACAACCAGATGAATTGACTACTTTAATATGTACATAATTAGATCCAACTAAATTAATTGACATCTACAATAGATATAAACATATATTTACTGAACGTCATTTATTGTAGAGTTTAAAAATCACTGCCAAAATGTAAGGAATGTATAATTTGCCAGTTCATAATCAATATTTTAATGAATCATACTAAGCTCTTATAAGACAATTCAACTAATATATTTCCACTCTAAATAATTTAGATCTAGGAGACTTCATATATTGGTATAAGAAACTCTACTATGATAATCTTAGTCTTGTATTCTTAAATGCAGTTGATGTTAAATAATTGCAATAAATAATTAAAAAGTACATTGAAGAAAAATAGTTTCTACCAAGATAATTAAATATGATTTATGAATGCGTTGAAATGATTTTCCCAAATGATGATTACTTAAATAAACAATACATTGATTATGTCTTTTCAAATAATGATATCACTGTTGTTTAATTAATGTAATTTCTTACTTCAATTAATAAAAAATTTATTTTAAAGAAAAAGGTTGATCTCTATTCCATATTAAATGTCTTAAACTATTCAAAAAATGTGGGTAATAGTTTTGATGTTGATTAATTTGCATTTATGACTAAGTCATTTATGAATATGAAATTAAAATATCACATTACAGAAAAATTGTATCTCGAATAAATTGACGATAAATTTGAAGCAACTAAATAAAATGTTAAGTATTTAGAGTCATAATCTATAATTTCTATACTTTAAAATTGTAAATATTAAACTCATGAAGAATCAAAATCCCTCTTGATGCTCATTCATGAATAAGTTTTATAAATGTTACAAAAATATGAAAATAATAAAGGTCATTTAAATTTTGATTTCTTAATTTAATATTTATAGAATTTGATAGAAGCTGATTACGTACATGACTAAGATATTTTAAAAATGGAATCTGTTTGTTTAAAATTGTTAAAAGAAAATTTCAATATATCTAATATATATTAGATGTCATTATATTATTTAGAGAAAAAGACAAAATGTGAACCTTATGCAGAATATTTGAAAATGATTCTATAAAACCTAACCATGTAGAATATCAACTTAAACATTAAAAATCTTTTATATCTTCATTTTATTTGTGAAATTGATATATCGCAATTTTTAAATAACCTAAATAATTCAAATGTTTATGAATAAGCAGAAAATTATGATGACATCTCATTATCTAAAACATCTATACTTAATATAATTATTTTGTTTGATTATTATCCTTAAGTACCAATTCCTGATTTTATTGCTAATTAGTTTTATAAAATGAGTTCAATGCCATTATTATTATCATTATGTAATTGCTAATTCTTCAGCCATAGAATTAGATAACTTTACACTTAAAAATTATAAAATTTAAAAAACGAAGGAAGACTTGATAAACGTTTCAGATAGAATATATTAGAAGCTATTAAAAATAATGATGATGCTAAATATTTATTTAAATGGTTTTTTTAAACGAGTAAATTTTAGTTAAATTAAGCTTTACTTTAAGTTCTTAATTCAAATGAAAACAATAATGTAAATTATATAAAATGATTAAAGTTTAGATCACTAAGTCTTAAGTTTACTTTTTATATTAAGTAATTTAAAGTTCTATTGATGTCTTGGATATGGAAATTATTATAAATTAATTAGTTTATCAAACTAGAATATTCAATTATCTATTAGAATTAGATCCGGAAATTATGAATTAAATACTTGAATAGTCATACAAATTTAATTAAGGATAAGGCACAGCAATTATGATATAATTACTTGAAGCAAAATGTCCAGATAATTTAAAATAATTTAAAATCCCTTAACACTTAATCCTAAACTATCAAAATCTTGAGGAATATGATACTAACTTTATTTTAATGATGATTAAGTATCATTGTTATCCACTTTAAGATAGTTTAAAGATTTTCAATAATTTAATTAATTTCTCATAAAATGAACTAAGACTTTTCATCCTCTACTTAGAGATGAGTTAAAAAATAGGATTAGAAAAGATGCATTCCTATATTTTAAAGTAAATAAAAAAACTCAATGAAACCTATATTATATAAATATAATGATAAGCTTATAATAAAATAGAAATAACTATTTAATTTTCTTCCTGATTATCTTTCGTAATCATATCTTTTTTATATTACCCTAAATTTATTTAAAGCCTATCTCTAAGAAATTTATTAACAATTCTACTTTTTCTTATTTCTCTTTTACTACGAAATTTATAATTTAATAACAAACAGCAGTAGCAGAATTAGTGACTACTACTTTCTGAGGCTCTTAAAAACTAGATTTCATAAAACAAAAAAGAGACACCAATATTCTAATACTAAAAGTTCTAAATAAATAATTAATTTATTATAAATATCTTTTGGATATAAATCATATAAATTGAATTTATTTATTTTAAAATTTTAGTAATTTGAAAAAATAAACTATATGAATATCTATTAAGAGATTGTTTAGTAATATATATGAATATTTTAATGTTAAAAACATAATATAGTTTTTATTAAAAATATTTTATGGTTCCTTTTCCGTTTTGTTTTATTTATTATTATAAAAAAATAAATAATCTGTTATCCTTAAAATCAGAAAGTTTAAACTTTGAAATTATATTATAGTATTTGCATAAAAATATTTAATTTTGATTAAGTTTTTTATTAAAAAATATTATCATCTATCTTATTCTATTTCTTCAGATTCATTTTTTATCATAGAACTAGTAAGCTTAATCTATCTCATTTTTCTTAATTCTTCTATTTCTTGACAAATTCCAAATTACTTCACTTATACATCATTTTCATTTACTAATTTAAAAGTAGTCACATTTAAGCCACTTTAATTAAGTTTTCCTATAGATTCCTGAGCTGAATTTGGGGTTGATTGAGTTTAAGACATTGGTTTTTAACTAGATAAAGCTTACATTTTGGATTATTGTTTTTATAACATTTCTTATTGCTTTTTTTTTTTTTCCTCTTTTTAAACTTTTTCTTTTTTATTTTTTAATAAGCATCTTAACATTTTCAATATTTTTTCTCCAAATTTATCAGATGAATCTTTTATATTTTCGCAAAAATAAATTGCTGACTATCTATAATTATCTTCTAATTGTTTTAATTAATATTCTAAGTTAGAAATATCAGATACAATTTCTTCTTTTAGTGGTTATAAATGAGCTTTGACTTAATCTTCTTTATCTTCAGTTTAAAATTCTATTGCTTTTGTTATAACATTTAAACCTTTTTTAATTTCAGATAAATCGATTTATAATTAAGATATAGGTAATTTTTCAATTTATTCTAAGTTTAAGATTGCTTTAATAAATATAATAAAAATAATTACTTTATTCATTGATTATTTCTTTTTTCAATATATTCTCTGATAAATCTATAACATAATAAAGTAAATTTTCTTAATTATCACTAGTTTTCATATCTGCACATTTTTCTATAGCATCAATTTTAAATCCTTAAGCATTTCCTCTATTTGTAGAAGCTATTTATTTTTTGAAAAATAATTACCATTTAAAAAGTTACCAATTTTTAAGACTATTTTAAACAATGTTTCTAATTCTGGCATTTATCTTACTTTAGAAAAGCATTAATTAAGTATATTAATTTTTTTATTTAAATCTGTAACTTATTCTTTAAAACTAAGTTAAAATTTGATTGCTTTTAATCTATATTAAAATCCGTGAACAGTTCTAATAGAATCAATAAATAATTCAGGCTGACCCAATAATTCTTTTTCACCAGTATATTCTGCTAATAGTTTGACTTCTTCATCAGTTGGACAAATTGCATCTAAACTTTCAATGATAGCAGATGTAAAAATTTTATTATCAAAAGATTTTAATAACTTAATAAGGATAGAATTAGGAAGTTTTAATTTTCCTAGAACTAATTCAATATTTTTTGATCTTTCAGATGATAAAAGTGTAATTTTAGTAATATATTATATAGTATTGGATTATTTAATATTTGATTCTTTTGGTTATATTTTACTGAAATTCTTTTCTAATAATGAATAATCTAGATCAACTTATTCAAGACCATCTGAGATTATTTAAAAGATAGAATTATTTTAAATCTAATTATTGATAACAATCCAATTTAGATTACGAATAGGTACAGATGGTATTTATGAATTGATTTAATTTTATGTTTAATTAAGATTATTTCCAATAGGAGGAGGTGGAGGTAGTTATTGATTAGCTCCAAATTTAGGAGGAGGTGGTGGAGGTGGAGGAGCTCCATTTTTTAATGGAGGTGGTGGAGCTCCAATCTTGGATGTTGGTAGTGGAGGAGGAGGAGGAGGAGGTGGTACACCATTTTTAGATGGAGGCGGAGGAGGTGGTGCAGCATTCTTTGGTGTAGGGGTAGGTATAGGAGGTGGAGGAGGAACCTTAAAATTAGGAGGTGGTGGTGGTGGTGGTGGAGGAATTTAAGTTCCTACTTTTTGATTAGCTATATTTGTATTAGAATTTATTATTGAAGAATTTTGATTATTTTAATTAGTGTTTTAAAAATCTAGATCATCAGTTTATAAAATTTTATTTTATTTCTATTTTTTAAAATTGTATGATAAAGAAATTTAAGCCTATTAAATCTGTATATTCTATTTTATTTGATTATTTTATTATTAAACTATCTATACTTATTATTATTTATTATTATTTATTTAATTTAAAAGTTCATTTTATTAAAGTTTTTCAAGCTTAGTAATTTTATTTTATAATTCAATTATTTTTTCATTAGATTTTATTAATTATTCTTTAAGTTATTTATTCTCTGTCTTATAATTTTCATTTTCATTCTATATATTTTATAATTCTTGGTCTTTTTCTAAATATAATTCTTTTTCATTTTTTAATTATTGTTTATAATCATCTAATTCTGCAATTAATTCTTCATATTATGAAATAAGTTAATTTTCTGAATGTTTTGATGAATCACTCTATTTTATTATTTTTGTTGGAGATTCAAAACTAGCTCCTCTTTCATTTTATTTCAAATCGATATATGGATCTGATAGTTATGTAGAATTATTATCATAATAAAAATCTGTTATTTAAATTTCACTTGCAGCTCTCAGAAAAGAATCTTAATTATTATCTAATAGTTAATAAATATTTAATATAGCATTTATCCATTCTAAAACATTTCTTTAAATTCCATAAAAAATAGAATCCTAACCATTTTCAAAATAATAATATTAATCATTCTTAAAGTCTTAATTAGAAGATTCATGGTTAACTATTTCTGAAACAACCTCTTACAAATTTATTTTCTCAGAAATATTTATATCTTATGTTTTAAATCTATGTGTTAATAATTATTCACTTCCTTCAGATGCTAAGGGATGTTAAAATTTTTTAAGCTCTTTTCTTACTGATTCATATGTACAATCTTCTTTTTAATATAATTTCTTTTAAATTCTTCCCTAAACTAAACGAAATACTTCTCTAACTTTTTTATCATTAACTTTTGAATCAAAAAATTCTTTAACAACTTCATCAACTATTTCATTATCCAACGAATATAGAAATTTGAATAGGAATTTAATATTAATAAAAACCATGATTAAATTCTTTGAGGCATAAATTGTTCTTATAATGATATCAAATCTAAATTTATAATTTCATATTGAACCTATTTTATAATTAATAAGTTTTTTAAAACTTATGCATAGCTTCTAAAATCTTTTAGACACAACCAGGTTACCAACTTAGACCTTTACTACCAGATAATATTTTTAACGTAATTCCTGTTACTTTAGTTTCAACTGGATGGAAATTACTAAACAGAATTCCAAAAAAACCATCTACTAATAAACACTCTCTCCCAATATTATATTATATTAAAAACTCGAAAAATTCTAAGATAGCAATCTATTCTCTAAAATTTTTCTATATTCTTGATTATTCCTCTAATTATTTAAGTTTCATCAATAAAGTTTGTACTACTAAGTATTATTTAATTAATTAAAGCTTATCATGAATATATTAATATGATGCTTAGTCTCTTAAATTATTAAGTAATGCTAGAATTTAAATTAATAAATTTACCATTTAGATGAAGATCAGAATACTCCTTAAAAAGTTTTATTATTAAAGATTTACATTCTTCTAAAGCTTTTTTCATTTTATTTTATTCATTTTATTAATTCTACCTTTCCTCCTTCAAAAATTAATTATACAATTAGCATATCCTAAACTTATATTTTGAATCAAGTTGTTTTATTTATTCTAAATCTTTCTATTCTAAAAAAATCTTAGAATTATAGAAATTATACATTATTAACCCATTCCATAAACTATTTCTCAATCTCATCTTTTGATGGAGGCTTAGCAAAATTTTTTCCTCCTTATAATTTCTTTGTCTCGATAGTGAAATTTTAACCATTTTTCATTGTAAAGGTACGATTTGGAACACTCATAAAGTTGTTACCCATCTTCAATAAAAATAATAAATAATTAAGATGACGAAATTTATCTAAATAAAATATTAGTTTATTTCAATCAAATTATTGTTTATTTTGTTTAATTTGATCTAAGCAATATATATTGGATATAAATCTATTTAAAAAAAAGGATTATAATATTATTTTATTTAAAACAAATTTTAGTTAGCCTGAGCAATTTTATTGAACCTTATATAAAAAAATAAATTGTAAAATTATCGACTAATTTGTGATTTACATATTATAAGACTCTAAATATAATTATATAAATAAGTTATAGGTGTAAATAAAGATGATATAAGATGAGAAAAGAAGTTCACTAAAAAATCAATTAAAATGATTTATACATTTATAATTATTCAAATCAGATGATTCTAGGTTTTTTATTTTAATATTTTGAAATCAGTAATTTAATTTGATTAATATCATTTAAAATAATTTTTTGTAAATGCTAAAAATTGTGATTATATGCTCTTAATAATTGATCAAATTAGTATTAATTAATTTGATTTATTTTTACCTTAAGCATATCGAATGTTTAATCATATAGATTAATATTTGGATCCTTTTAAATTTTTGGAATATTTCCAAATAGACTTTCACTAAGTTTTAATTGATTATCTTCAAAAAATGATTCATCCATTAATTTCTAAACAAAACTTTCTGATAATTCCTGACTAAAGCTTAAAGAAAAAGAATCAGTAGAATTTGGTTAAAATACTAAAAATTATGGTATTTGGTCTTGCTTTTGTTGATTATTAGTTTATTAGGTTTTGGATTAGAGACTTTGTAAATTTGAATTAGATATATATTCATTCTCATCAGGTATTAAATCTTATTGAATATATTTTACTATGGGTTTTAGCTCGATAATACTCTGATTATTTGATTGGGTTTTTATTTGAGAAGGTTTGAGTATATTTTCATTTTATGTACATTTTTATTCAGGTAGTATTTCTATAATAGAAGGTTATTCTATTAATTCTATATTATTTTCTGTTAGAGGAGATTAATTATTATTTTAAGTTAATCTTTATTCAGGGTTATTTTAAATATTAGACAATTATATAGGTTATTATAAGTTTTGATCTATTTGTTAAGAAATTTCATTTATTTTTTCATTTTGTAATTCTTTTATTTTAATAGTTCTACAATCAATTAAGAGATTTGAGCTTACAATTTTTACTTATCTGTAATTTTTCTATTTTTTAAAATGCATAACAAAATCTTTTGTAAATATTTGTTTAGTTGTTGGAAAATTAACATTTAAAAGTTATAACTCTTCTAATAGGCTTAAATTTAAAAAGTTTCCTTTCCATAATTACTCTAATTTTTTTTAGATTTTCACTTATTCATTCAAAGGTTTACGACCTTTTTTCATAGGCAATCAAATTATTGAGTATAAAAAATGATAAAAAAATAAAGGCAAAACAATTGATACATAATTAATCATTTCATTAATTCTCTCATTTTTTGTTCAAATTACTTTTATAATATTCCTTCTGGATCAAAGTATCTTAAATCACCAGTTTTTTTTACTTTTAGTATTCTTGTATAATATTTATGATGCAATTATGTTAAATTATCAAGTTAATTTGTTAGTGATTATTAAAATAAGAAAAATGGACTAAAAAAAACAGGTATTCTTAAAGGAATTTTAACAAATATTGGCCAATTCAAAAACTTTGGAAATATATTAAATAGATTTTACTTTAGGGATTCTTTTCATTTATAAATTAAGTACTGTTCCTAATACAAATATACCTAATGTATTTCTAACAAATCCTATTGATGTCTTTTTGAATTAATTCTAAATATATAATTAATGATTACTTCATCCTATTTTTCAACAAAATCAGGATTTTACATTAAAAAGAAGAACATATTTTATTAATCTACTTAAGCAAGAGACATTAAAAGTAATTGATTATTTGGATCATTTGGATTGCCTATAGGATTTTGAAAAGGATTGTTCATTTAATTTTAATTTAAGGTAAATATTATTAGAATTTAATTAGAATTAATAAAAATATTTAATGTGATTCAAATCAATATTTTATATAATCAATTTACTATATACAAAATAAAGCATTAAAGCAAAAGTTTGTATCAAATCTAAGTTTGATAATGAATAGTTTTTAATTGTTTTCCAACAATATTATCAATGCCTGTTGTATCAATGTATTGAATAGCACCCATAAATTTATCTTCATTTTTTATAGGTATAATTATTGTTGGAAGGTTTGTTTCAATATCAGCTAATTTATTTAAATAACTATCTCTATAACAAGAACCAGACACATAAAATTATCCTGTTTTATAAACATATCCAATAATTCCACATGTTTTTGGTATTTTTTTTCTTCACTATTCAATAAATTTAAAAAGACTATCTTAATCTTACATATCTTTAAAATAAATCTAAACTTATTTTAATTCATATGTTTTTAAAAGTATTTATTATGCTAAAATAATTAATTATTTTTCATCTACAGATTATTATAAAATTAACGAAAATTTTAAGATTCACTATAAAGCCTCACAAGTCATAGAATTTTATTCTTAAAAACTATATTAATAAAAGTGTAATGCAGCCATTTGTGAAATAATTTAAATAAGAAGTTCATCATATTTTTTAAATTGCCGTTAAATTGAAGATATAACAATATCTCCAATTATTTCTTCTTTTTCATAAATAGGACAAGCCATCATTGATTTTGTTTTTGTTTATTATTTTTAATCTTAATCGAATCTTACATCTTAATAAAAATCATTTATATTAAGTTATTAACCTTATTTGATTACAAATCCTAAAATACCTTTAAATGGATAATAAATTTTTTATTAGTTATCTTAGCCATACTCCAAAACACATAGATTTCTAATCATATAAATAAACTTATGCTCTATCACAATCAAACAATTCTAATAGTAATTTTTAATAATTTTCAAATGTTGATATTGGACTTAACTAAACATTTATTGTATTTTTTTATAAGACATAGATTTTAAATTTGATGGCTTTAAATCTAATAAATTAAATATAAAATTCTGATCTATAGCCTCTTAACCAATTTTTCTTATTTTATCCTAAATAGATTTAAAATAAACTATTACTTTTGATATTTATTGATCTACATCAAGAGAACCTCTTCTGATTAAAAATTTTTATTTAGGTGTTGGATCTCATCTGCTGCTAGATGTCATTTCTATATTTTTAACTGAGGATTCTTTTTTTGTAGGACTAAAATCTTTAGATTTATTCCTATCTTAATGATATGATGGTTCTTTTTAAATAGAATCTGTATTGGATATGCTTGAAGCCTTATATTATTGAAGAGCATGATATAATTTTGTATTTTATTTTTCCAAATCTAATGCTATTCTTATTAATTAACTTAAAAGGTTCTAAAACTAAGGATTAAATTATTTCCTTTAATTATTCTATAATTTTACATAAAATTCTTAATTTCTTCTACAACATTTATAAGAATAGAATTCATAGATGGTTTTATTAGTCTAGCAGATTGAGGTATTCCTGTATTACTTCTTTTTCTTTAAGGAGAGATTGATATCCTAAAACTCATTTTATTAAAAATAAAGTTATTATATTTATGTCATTTAATAATCTCTAAATTTTCAATCACTATAAAATTCCAGTTTAATATATACATTACTCAATAAATAATATTATTTTATTGTAATAAATATAGATACATCTCATTGCTGACGAATATTCAAAATCAATTTTATCCTTTTTTTACTTCTTCTTCATGTATTATAAATCTTTCTATAACTGTTTCTAAATAAAGGGTTACAATTTTTTCAATTTCCTAATTTTCGTTTAAATCAATCTAATCCTATTATTATTCCTAATTTTATTATAATTCATATATCGGCTCTTGTTATTTTTTTTATTCAAAATTATCTAATTATTCTTCAATTTTTTAATTTTATTCTTATTAAAATTTTTATTCATGTTATATTTCTTTATCCTCCTTTTTATCTATAAATTCTTCCTTATTCAATTATTTGTTTTCTTCTATTACTTCCTCTAATCTTTTCTCATTATCAACTTATGTAAAAAATTAAGTTTATTCTACTTTTTCCTCTTTAAAAACAGATATTTAATTTATTTGTTGCAAATCACATTAAATTTCTTTTTCAACTTTTTCTTTTCTAAAATTTTTAGAAAATTCTATTTGTTTTATAATGGTCATTTCATCTTTTATACAAGATACTGAAATATCAGTTTTTTTTACTAAATGAACCCAGCTTAATTAAATAATCTAATTAATTCCAAGACTTTTCAGTTTTTTATCAAGACCTAATTCAATTTCATCTGTTTAAGTAGAATTAGGTTTAAAAAGTTTTTATTATTTTTATTTTCCAAGTTGTATTGATATACTATTTGATATTGAAAATATTGGTTTTTTTTTAATAATTGGAATAATTTCAATTACTGAAAAGGCTTAATTTAATTTTAATATCTTTTATTATCCTGCCATATTTTATTTTGGAGAAATATTCTAATTTAATAATATAGATGGTCCTAATATAAAAATAATTTTTTACTTTTTGGTTTAACGATTGCTTCTTTATTGTATGAAAATAACAATGTAGATTGATATAATGTTAATTCTTTCTCTATTAAATATATTGTAAAATCTTACAAATTTTGCTAATTCCTGATTTTGGTTTCATTTAAAATAAAGAAACTAATCTGGATATATTTATAAGTATAGGAGATTTAGAAATTTCAAAATTTAATTAAAATAAGTATTCAGCTTCTTTTTCTGAAAGAGAATTATCTAAAATAAAAGTAAATGCTTCTAACAATTATTTTGGAAGGCAAAATCCATCTTTAATATTTGATCTAATTATATAATAATTAAAAATTACTTTTCAGTTCTTTTAATTTATTTAACAGAATCTTATAATTAATTTATCTTATTAAGGATTTTTCTAGATATGCATTGAAATAATTATCCTTCTTCTTCTATAGTAAGTAATTCATATGAAGGTAATAAATGGAATATTCTTGATTTGAGAACTTATTATGGTAAATCTTTTTCCAAAACATTTTAACCAAATGCTGATTCTTCTGTTAATAAAAACATTGTAATAAGATATGATTGTTCAATGTTCAAGTTAAAAGGAAATCTATTTTAAAAAATAAAGTTACTTTTAAAATTGTGATTAGATGGAAAAGAATCTTTAATCTCCTTTTTTTAATAGTAAATTTGAAATTTCTTTTTATTCTATCATTGATCTCTTTAATCTAAATCTTAAGATAGATTTAATCTCTTAAATTGTACATTTAGATTTATGTTAGATTTATGTACCTTTTTCTTCACAAACTTTATTTTACATCATTTACTAAGTTTTAAGTTTGATATCTTTAATTTAGAGTTCTAATTTATTGATTTCTTATTCTAAATTTTAAATTATGTTCTATTTCATTCCTAATTAAGCATTCTATTATTCAATGAATTAAAGTTATTGATTGATTTTTGCATTATGAGTTTTATTAAGACTTGTTAAGTTTTCTTCAAGATCATGAATTTTTCTATCTTTTTCTAATAATTAAGGTAATAATGTATTTTCATTTATAGAATATTCAGGAGTATCTTCTTTTCTTTTTGGGTCTTTGATTACAACTTATTTAGTGAAAGTTTAAGAGTTTTCTAATTGTTAAGGTTTTTATATTTAAGTTTCTTTGAATAGGTTTTCAAATTTTTTTTTTTCAATATTTAATTATTATAATTGATCTGATTAAAATTTGATTTATTATTATAATTATTTAATATCTCTTTGTTAGTTTTCACAAAGTTAAATATATTATTTGATTTCTAATTTTAATTCTTGAATTTTCGATAAATAACCAATATATTAAGATTTTTAGGTTTCATTTTTAAGATTTAATGCCTCATCAAGCATTTATTTAAGTTTAACAGTTTCTTCTTAATATTATTGAATTTAAAACTATAATTCTTGGATTGAGGTGATTTTCATTTATTTTTATTATGCTGATAATTATTATCTTAAAATTTCAATTTCATTTTATTAGAGTCTAATTTTATATTTAAGTGTAGGGACTATACTAGGTTATTCAGAAGTTCGTCCTAATAATTATTAAGAGTTTATAAGATTCTCATCTATATGTTCATATTTCATAAGTTATCTCTAAGTATTTATTTAGGTTATACTTTGAGTTGCATATTTTGAGTTTTAATTTTCCTATGTTCTTCAGTAATTTAATTAAGTTGTTGTCTAGTTTCAATTATTTCATCTTTGGGTCTATTGATAAGTATTTTGGTAACTTATGCACTTTATGGTCTTCTCATAAATAATAATAATAATAAATTTCTAATTAAATTATGGTATCAATAAGAAGAGCCGAGATGTAAGATTTATAACATATGCAACACTGCAATTTATGGTGTTTACCAGAAAATTACACATTCAAATATTACCTATATCATGGCATGGTTTGGTAATCATTACTTTATGTTGCAGAAGATAATATAATATATTAATAAATAAATAAATAATACATTAGTAAATAAATAATTATTAATAAATAAATAAATAATAAAAGTTTAACATAAATTAATTATGAATAGAATAGTGGTAGAATTGTTGGATATGTATTGGCCAAATAAGATGAAGAAGATGAAGAAGGATCAAAATTAGAACATGGTCATATTACTTCTTTATCTGTTTTAAGAACACATAGAAAATTAGGATTAGCTAATAAAGTTATGTAAAGTACACATAGAGATATGGATAAAATATTTGAATCACATTATGTTTCATTACATGTTCGTGTATCTAATAGAGCAGCATTAGGATTATATAGAGATAAATTAGGTTATGAAACATTTGATACTGAAGAAAAATATTATGCTGATGATGAAAATGCTTATAATATGCGAAAATGGTTTAGAAAGAAACCAGAAAAATAATGATTATATATCAATAACCAAATATAATCAAATTAATTATGGTTTTTGTTTATTATTCTTAATTATCTTTCTTATAAATTCTTAACCAAAATAATCAAATAATGGTAATCCAGTAACATCTTAAGAAAATGTAATTTCTGGCCATTAATTTATTTCTAAAACCATTAATCCATCTTTCTTTGAATCTATAATATCTACTCCTCCAATTGTTAATTAAGAATCTATTGCCGAACAAGCTTTTTCAGCTAATCTAAAATATTCCTCTTTTTTTTAACTTTCCATTTTAGATTCTATTTTAAAATCATCACTATACCCATTAGATTTAAAATCCTAATATATAATAATATTTTATACAATATTATCTTAAAATTCCGTTACAGATACTGCTTTACCACCTATAACTAATACTCTGATTGATCTACCTAGAGAATCACTTATAAAGTCCTATATTATAGTCTATTCTCCATTCCACAAAGATTTACAAAAGATTTCTGTACTTTATATTTTATTATTTGATAATTTAACTCCTGTTCCTTCATATCCTACTACTTCCTTCATTATTGTCTTGTTTTCAAATTAAGATAAGTTTTTTTTAAATTATTAAACAGAAAATGAAGCACTACAACGAGGAAATGGTATTTAACTTTAACTGAATTTTGCATATTGTAATAATTTGTTTTATAATATGTTTTCTATTTATGGAGAATATAATGTTGTCTTTCCTGCAGAATATACAGCAAAATTCAAATACATATAATCCATATAATGTTTTGGTGCCATATATCCATAACCTAAAAATGCATCAAATTATATTTGTTCTCCATTTCTTAAAAATATAAATTCCTATTATTCATTTATTCATTACTCTTCCAATTATAACGCTTAATTCTTCCAATTCAGTTACTATTATTGTTGTATTCTATTTTCTTAATGTCTCAATTACTAAATCATCCATCATCCCATAAAATATTGGATCTGGGTTTTTCATATATAGAATTATAGGGTTTTTGCTCAGCATATTTTTGTAAAAGTTTCAATTTTTATAAAATTATTATATCTACTATAAATTACAATCAATTCTTCAATAATTACTTGAAATTCATGAATCACTACTTACAAACCCTTGTATTCTTATTATTTTTTAATAATTATGTCACTATCATTATTTCTATATAATTTATCTTTATTTAAATATATAATCAATAAATCATACAAAAGTGTTATATTCTTTTAAATAATAGAATGCCTACTCATTATTTCCTAATTTCTTATGTATTTACATTAAAGCAAAACCAGCCTTATATTTAACTGCATGTTCTCGAGGATCTTTCAATATATCTTCCATAATCTCCATTCCTTTATTCACTATATTAATATGTAAGTATATTCTATATAAATATCTATATTACCTAGCCAAATTATATTTTACTTCTAATGGATCAACATTGCAATCTTTATAACAATCAAAGTAATAAAGACTTTTTTTGAATAATTCTGATTAATCTTATGCTAATCTTCCAGTCATTTCTTATAAATATTTTACACATATTAATAAATTATAAAGTGGATTTTTTTAATCATTTTCTCGTAATTTTAATAATTAATCCAATTTATAAGGAATAACGCTTTATTAATAACAAGGAATCTTTCTTGTAAAACTATTAAATATACCTCTTAATTTAGGAGATATATTTTAATCAATAATTTAAATTAGATATAAAATCAAATTTTATTCGTCTATGTATTTTAAATATATAGGTGCATAAATATATTTTCTTTCTTTTAATGATGCCCATAATCCATATTTAGCCAATTTTTAAATAAATTCTTAATAGTATCTAGCATCATTATTTGCAATTTTTTTAAGTCTCAATTAATAAACCATATGAGTCAATTTAAAAAGTTCTTAAGATTTATCATTCTCTAATAGCGATTCAAATACATCTAATATTTTTTTAAAGAAATCTTAATATCCAATTTCAACTGATAGACTTATCGTTTTTTTTCTTAATTAATTACTAATAGAATGAAACTTTCCTAATCTTCTTTTTTTATGTTACTTTCCAAATAATTAATAATATCCTACTCTCTTAATTCCATCAAGTTAGTTCAATTTATTAAATGATTTTTCTTCTTAAGTAAGTATTTTTCTTAAAAGTTCAAACTTTTCATTAACATCATTAGTTTTTTATAATTGTGTATATAAAAATAAAATTTAATCTTTTGTATGAAGTTAATCAGGGATTCGCGGTTTTTCAATATTTAAATTTGGATCAGGATTAACAATATAAAATTTAGTAAGAATTTCTTATTTTTATTAAGTACTAAATTAATCTCTATAATCATATAAAACTTGCAATAGTTCTTTTTTAGGAATTTTATCTAATTTATCAATTAGTTCAATCAAACTTTTACAAATTTGCTCTTATAATTATGGGTTTTGGATATTATTTAAATAAAAATCTATAATTTATTAGTATCCAGTGAAACTTTATTATAAACATTATAAATAGAAATTAATTAATCTATAATTATGATCTTAAAGAATAGTGGTCATAGATTTAGATCCAAAATATCCATCAAGTAATTCTCTCATTTCTTTTAGATTTTAAGATTTTTCTAGTATTTCACAAATCATTATTGTTGATTTATCTGTCAAAGGGATTGATTTTAATATTTATTTAGCATCTTCAAGTTAATTTTTTTTAACATATAATTTAGCAATTCTTTTAATACTTTCTTGATGTAAATGATGTTATTATAAAGTAATGGCAATATCACTTAAAGCTTTTAATTATTTAATTCCTTTTTCATATTCAAAACATTTTTCTAAGCAATCAACTCTCTCAGACATTAATTAAATATTTGGTGCTTTATTTCTTTATCTTAATAGTTTACCAAGATATTTGGCAGCTTGATAATAGTGATAATTTACAGCTTCACTACTTAATGTTTATTCTGATTCTAATTTCTGTGCCAATTTTTTTTCTAAAAATGCAATCTTTTTCCATAGTTTAGGAGATGTTTTAATTTTAGTGGCAATAGTGAAATGATGTATAGCTTTTTAATAATCTCCTTATAATTTCCATAAGTGTCCATACATAATAAAAGCTCTTTAATATCTTGCATGTTAACTAATGATTTAATCAAGAATTTGTTTTGCTTTTGAAACATTGTTATTTAGAATAAACTCTAATTTAGCTTCTGATAGTTTATTTTCTAAATCTTTTGGTTTTTTATTGAAAGTTTATCTAGATTATATTGGATTTTCATCTTAATTAGAATTTTAACTTTCTTCTTCAGAATCACTTGACATAAAATAATTTTTATAAATATATAGGAATATTTAATTTGTATGGCTGAAATAGGTGAAGAAATAACAATAAAAAGAAAAAAATAATATGGATTGTGCTCTAAATTATGGTGTTTAAGATGCATGAATTGTTGTAAAGTATAAAATATTTAAATAATATATTTTTACTATTTTAGGCTGATGATATTTCAATATTAACATCTCGAAATAGAAAAGAATTGTCAGTTAAATTGATGGCTAAGTATTAAAATGAGATATAATTGGTATTTGATAATGTATAAATATTCAGAATCCTGATGAGATTCAAGTTTTAGATGTATTAATATTATTGTATACATTGGATGAAAAATCTTGGGCCTATTAATATTTATATTAATGTAAGTTAATTTCGAATGATGAGAATCCAAGGAATGATTTGGAATTTTATATTCCATAACTAATGAATTACTTAGTGTTTCATGAAGAAATGTTGAATGTAAGTTAATTTATTAATTTTAGGAAAACATAAGTTAATTCATACTTACATCATGCATTCAGAATTTCTACTTTGCATAATTAGTATATTGGACACTATATTCAATCAGTGCTATTGTATTTAACAATTAAGTAACAGAATTCTAAAAGTAACATAATTAATTTAAATTAAGAGTAAAACTGTACTTATAAAATCTAATCAAAAGAATGGTTATGAATCATGAAACAAATTATAATGAAAATGAATAAGATGAAAAGATATAAGAAGTAATTTCTAATTATGGTACACCATAATTTGATTAACAATCTTTAAAATGTTTAATCTTACCTCAACATATACAATTGTCTAAATATATATCATTAGATTAATAAGAAGGATATGATTTTATGTCTTGTATTCATTTTTGGAATGATATCATATCTATCTCAGATAAATTAAAATTTGCTGATCCTTAAATAATATCTTTGAGAGCTGATTTATCCTTAATTAATACAAAATTACCTGCTAATGTTTATATTCCATTTGTTAAAGGTATTATTATTATATCTAAATTTAATAGATTAATTAAGACATTATACTATTCTAAATATTGTTGTTTAAGAAACTAAAATATTTTCAACAAAAGAAAGAGCTCCATTTTATATTTGTTTAGAAGTTTATAATGTTGAAAAAGAAGAAAATAAATTTGATGATAAAAGAGAAAGAAAAAATTCAGAATTTAATGTTGAATTCTCTATGTTAAGTGATTTTAAAAGCCAATCTAACTTAGCTATATCATAAATTTCTAATTAAAGTTAAGGAGTTTGTAAAATATTTATTCTAACTAGCTGAATGTTACGAAATAGAATTAAGTAAAAAAGAAGAATTAAAAAAAAATAATAACATCTCATTAGATTTTGAAAAAATTGGTTAAGAGATCTTTGGTGAAGATTCTAATTCAATAAGTGAAAGAATTAGATAATAATCTCCTTATTGTCATTTTCGATCTTGGAGATTAGTTCATCTAATTGTCAAAACTGGTGATAATTTGAAGCAAGAACAATTTGCTTTATAATTAATAAACTAATTTCATATGATTTTCTAAAAAGAAAGATTACCATTAAAATTAACTACTTATGACATTCAATCTCTAGGACCTAGCTCAGGTATTATGGAAATGGTTAAAGATGCTGCTACAATAGATTCTCTTAAGAAAAAATTAAATTCAATTGATAAAGATATAACTTTGAGTCAATTTTTCAAAAAATATTATGCATCAAATTTACAAAAAGCTTAAAGAAACTTTTGTAGTAGTTTAGCTGCTTATAGTTTAATTTGTTATTTCTTATAAATAAAAGACAGACATAATGGAAATATATTGTTGCATAAGTCTGGGAAAATCTTACATATTGATTTTGGATATTTTATTAGTATATCTCCTGGAAAAGGATTGGAATTTGAAAAAAATGTTCCTTTCAAATTACTTTCTGAATATATTGATGTTTTAGGTGGAACTAAATCTGAATTATTCAATTTATTTAGAAAATTATTTTTTATGGGATTTCTAGCTTGTAAAAAACATTAAGATTAAATTCTATTACTTGTTAAAATGATGTATAGTGGACATGGATATACTTTACCATGTTTTAGTAAAGGTGAAAGTGCAATTCATGAACTTGAATCCAGATTTAATCCACCATGTTCTAATGATGGAGATATATCTGTATTTACTTAAAAGTAATTAATTAAAATATTTTAGTCTAATCAATTAATCTCTTGATAATTGGAGAGCAAAGTGGTATGATAAATTTTAATATTACTTTTAAGGAATATTCTATTGAAACTCATATCTATTAATTTTGATAAAAAAATTGTAAATTTATATAAATATATATAAAATGATTGTAATCATTTTTTAATTGTTGATTTCTTAAATTTATCATTAAATTCATTGATATCATCAATTAAAAACATAATTTCATTGAAATCAGTTGAAGTTTCTTTAATGTTATGATTGCTTTTTGGAGTCTTAGATAAGATCTTAGGTTTGAATGTACAAGCTTTAATTTCTTTTTCTTGTTTTTTAAGCATTTCATTCCTTATTTTATTATCAACTCTTTGTTTCCATTATTCATTTCTTTTACTTACTATTAAATTTTTTTATGGTTTTTATGAATTAATTACACCATATTAGCCCCATTTTTATGGAGAATTAGATTATTTTCTATGTAGTTTTGCATAACTTGTATTTGAATTTTAAAAATATGTCACAGAATTCTTTATTGGATTTTTAGTTGGACTGAAAAAATGCTAAGCTGAACTAGATTTACTATTAGGTGATCTTTTAACTTTACTTAAATCAATCTATATAACATCACTCTTTTCTAATTTTTTTGATGATTCGATTTATGCTTATGATTTTTACATTTACTATAACTATTTAGTTTTTTATTCAAACCATTCTTTATCAATAAAGGATTATGGATGTGGTTCAGGAATAGGAGATGTTTAAGAAACTATTAGTTTTTCTTGTTATTATAAATTATTAAGTAATGTCATAAGAATTCTTTATTATTATCTTAAAGTCTCAAGTTCTTTTTCTGTTTATTCTTATTATTTATGTGGACTCTCACTTTAATATCTTCTAGTTGATTCACTAATTTGTTTATCAGTTATTTTTCTATTAGATTCGCTCATCTTAATATAAGAATCATATTTCTTAAGAGTCAATCTTACATCCTTCTAAATATCTTTAATTAATGTCGTTGAATGTTTAGCCATTTATTGAGCTTAAAATAAATTTTCATTTAGTTTAATATTTTCAATATCAGGTGTAACTGAATTGATAACTCTTTATGCATAAGTTACTTCATGAATTCTTTTTTTCTTCTAACAATGTTAATGATTCATAATAAAAATAATAATTTTAGAAATTAGTTAATTTTATTCCATAATTATTAAGATAAAGATTTTAAATACTTATTAATATAAATCACCTGATAACTAAAGGAATTGTACTTATGATAGGACATTTAAGAGCATAAATAGATGTATTGTTATAAACAAATAGTTCATGACTTTTATAATTAAAATAACCATTTTAAAATGATGGATACTTATAGATAGTGCTGAAATTTTTAAGTGATGGTAATTTTAGGAGATTATTTTCATATTAAAATTCTGGCTAAGTATTATACAGCATAAATCATTTAACAATAGAAACAGTGTATAAAAATAATTATATTCATATAAATTTAAAATCAAATAATATTCTTATAAATGAAAATGGATGCTTGTAATGATTTAATTAAATTTTTATCAAAGAATATTTAGAAAGAATGAGAGATTTTAATTTAATTAAATAACCCCTTTTTTTAAATTGAATTTATTGGGACAATATAATGACTTTTAAAGTTCCTTATATTCCAAATAACTCTAAAATTAATACCAATTTTATTATATTTGAAGAGCAATATCAATGGTATCAGGCTTCATATTAAAAGGAAGAGAGAGCATGATCTTATTACTTACAATAGAACTTATAAATATGAAATCATTCCTTTAGAATATTGAATCTCCAGCAATTAGATATATAATAAAGAATTTAATCTTTTGAAGTTAATTCTTCTCCTATATTAAATTTAAAATAAAGATCTTTATCCCCTTAAATAAAAAATAGTTGGAATAGACTTATTTTTAATATTTTGAATAACTATTTTTCTAATTTAAATATACAGAAGAGACCTTAGAGATCTTAAATAGCTTAAAATAGACAATAATAAATGATGAATAAAAAGTACTGATAGATTAGATATATAAATATATTATATTAATTAAATAATGTTACCATAAATAAAGCAAAATCATTAAAAACCAGAAAAAGTAAAATCTGCCTTTAAATTACCCAAAATAGAGGAATATTTCTAAAAGGCAAGATTTTTGTAAGACTAGAATTAAAAGGCCTTAGAAGAGATGGTATCCATTAAGCGTTACTTGATGAAATTTAAGTCCTGATTGTAAATTTTTTTATTTTTTTCTATTATGTAATAATGTAATGCTATTTTCATAATATTTGTGAAATCTTTTCAAATGAACTAATGTATATATACCAGACACATCATAAATTCTATTTACATAATTACTTATCTATTAAATCGATTTAAATAAAAAATAAGGTGGCTTCAATTAAAATGTAATTTGACAATTTGAATTCGAAACTCTTGTCAATAAATTAAAATTTTGTAATATAGAATAATTTGAGTAATTTAAAAATAATATTAAGTAGTAGTATGTTGTAAAAATAAAAAATAGAAAAATAATATGAATAAGGATTGGATTGTAATAAAAAGGTAAATTGTAGTATGATTTAGAGTAGATAGTAATTGAATAATAGATTTGAAAAAAATTAGTTAGATAAATTATATTAATTTATATTAAAGTAATGTAAAATCAATAAAAAATAAGGGTGGCAGTTCGGGTAAGACCCTTGTTGGATTATGAGAAAAGATAAGGCCATTAAAATTCAAGAATTGATTGTAATGGATAGGAAGTAACAATAAGAGAGGAGAGAAATAAAAAAAGTTATAAGTAATATATAAATCAAGTAGATTCGATCATGTATTACCAGAATATGTTTCATAAGAATAAGTGTTTAAGAATTGTGAAATTGATTAATTGGTATAATCTGTGATAGAGGGATATCATGTGACAGTATTTGCATATGGTTAGACAGGGTCTGGAAAAACATATACAATGGAAGGTTAACGAGATGATGAAGGAATTACAATTAAGTAAGAGGGCATAATTCCAAAAACTATTAATAGTTTATTTAATAAGATAAAATAAAATTCACTTTAAAGAGACTTTTCAGTCTATTGCTCTTATTTACAAATTTATAATGAAAAAATATTTGATCTTTTGGGAGAAATAACTAAAGCTAATTATAATATTTAACCAAATGGTTTAAAAATGAGATGGAATGTTAGGGAATAGTTTGTAGTTGAAAATTTATTTGTTTATCAATGTAAATCAGCAGAAGAAGTTATTTAATTATTTAAATTGGGAAGTAAAAATAGAATAACAGCAAGTCATAAATTAAATTTATAATCTTCTCGTAGTCATACTATTTTTGAAATTAAAATAGAGAGCACAGATTTAAAGAATCCTGATTATTTTATAACATCAAAATTAGAATTAGTAGATTTGGCTGGTTCAGAAAGGATAAGTATAACAGGGACAGAAGGTAGATAAGCTAAAGAGAGTATTGAAATAAATAAATCTTTAATGACTTTGAGATAGGTGATTGCAATATTAAGTGATACAAATAATAAAACAATACCACCTTATAGAGATTCAAAATTAACTTGTTTATTAAAATAATCAATAGGAGGTAATTGTTTTTGTTTAATGATTGCTTGTATAGCACCTTTAGATTCATTTTATGATGAAAATGTTTCAACATTATAGTATGCTACAAAAGTATAAATTTAAAATTAACTTAGGCAGCGTATATTACCAATATTCCTGTTAAGAATGATGATCCAAAATTAAAAATTATCAATGATTTAAAATAACAAATAGATAATTTAAAATTAGAATTAAGTAAAGCAAATTAACATATTGAATTCTTATCCAATATTGTTTAAAAAAAGGAAATGAATCAAAATATGAATAATACACATACTAAAAGCAATTTTGATAATTTATTATTAAACCAATAGAAATTGTTGGAAGAAGAATCATCTGATGATGATGCTCACAAAAATCAATTATCATAATTTAATGAAAGATTAATTGATTCTATTAATATGGTTAGGGAATTATTGCTTTCAAATAAAGAAATGAGAGATAGAGAAGAATAAATCAATCAAAAATGTGAATATATGTATAGAGAAATTCAGTTTTTATAGAAAGAGAATTTTGAATTAAGAGAAAGGTTGGGAGATCCAGATTAATAAAGAGAATCTCCTTAAAAAAGACCTTCTACAATTAAGAAGAATACAATGATGGTAGAGGAACCAGGGTTTTTACCTGAATAGATGACTTAATTTTAAAGAAACTTTTAAAAAGACTTTAAAGATACACCAAATAAAGATTATAAAGACTAATAAATGTTAATGACGAATCGAAGTATTTAGAAGTATCTAAAATAGATGTCAGAGCTCATTCATAAAGAACGTAGGGTAGGTAATTGCCATTGATATTTAATTATCAGTAAAATTTTGAGGAAGTTTAATAAGACGAAATGACTAATTTTGGGAGAAGAAGTTTATATTAGAAATAATTGAAATGAATTTATAATAAGTATTATTCTCTGTCTATTTTGTTAATTATATTTAATCACAAAAATAAATATGTCATTGAAGGATTTTTAGATTTTATAAGAATTAGGTAAGAATTGAGAGAATAAAATCATAGGTGAAGGAGCATATTCAAAGGTTTATAAAATAAAAAGAATTGCAGATTAACAAGAATATGCACTAAAGAAAGTTAGACTACAGTCACTATCTGATAAGGAGAAATAGAATGCTTTAAATGAAGTGAGAATTTTAGCAAGTGTTAGACATGCAAATGTTATTCAATATAAAGAAGCGTTTTTAGAGGAATAATCATAAATTTTATGGTAACTTTCTGAGAATAGATTTTGATAGTATTGTTATGGAATATGCAGATGATGGAGATTTATTTTAGAAAATAATAGAGAGTTAAAAGAAAGGAGTTCTTATGGCTGAGAAAGATATATGGAATATTTTAATTTAAGTATAATGAATAAATAATAAATATAATAGATTGTAAAAGGACTGAAAGCATTACATGATATGAAAATATATCATAGAGATTTGAAATCAGCAAATGTATTTATGAATAATGATGGAACTGTTAAATTGGGTGATATGAATGTATCTAAAGTGGCTAAGAAAATATTACTATATACTTAAACTGGAACACCTTATTATGCATCTCCAGAAGTATGGAAAGATTAACCTTATGATTCTAAATCTGATATATGGTCTTTAGGTTGTGTATTATATGAAATGACAACACTTAAACCACCTTTTAGAGCTGAAGATATGAGTGGACTTTATAAAAAAGTAGTCAAAGGATATTATCCAAAAATACCAACCATATATAGTTAAGATTTAAGCAATGTTATACGTGCATTATTGTAAGTTTAACCACATCTTAGACCTAGTTGTGATAAAATCTTATAATTATAAGCAATTGTTAATAGATTAGATGATAAAATCTTAATTGAAGAAGAAGGTGCTAAATTTCTATTATAAACTATCAGAGTTCCAAGAAATATGCATTATATAACTGATAGATTACCTAAACCTAATTATAATCCTATTAGAATGACTAAAGTTGATAAATATTAATTTATTTAAACTTTAGCTGTCTAAAAATAGAACTAAGAAAATCTAGAAGATAATCATTCTATCAATGTAGATTTCTTACCTAGATTAAATAATAAAAAAATTGATGAAAGTAATGAAAATTCTGTTATTTCTAAAAATAATAAAAAAGTTGATGATTCTTAACTTGATATCTATTAAAATAATTCAAATAAAAATAATTAAGTAGCTTAAATTTATAATCCTCCTGTTAAAAGAATTGGTAGAATCTCTAATAAATAATCTAAGGTAGATCCTCTTAAATTACCTAAAAAATTAGATATTGAAGGAGAATCAAAACCTTTAATTATAAAAAGGTTAAAATTATAATTATATTTTTTAGTACTAAACATGGAATTGAAGAAAAAGCACCATCATTATTACCACTTTTACCAAATATTAAGAAAGAACCTCTCAAATTAGAAGAAGAATAACTTAAAAGAATTAAATAAACTGAAGAATTAATCTAATAATTAAAGGAAAGATAATAAAAATAAAGAAGGAAATAAAAATTAAGAAATCTTGATAATTGATAATAGATTATATGATTTATATAATTCAAACTTTTTATACATCAGTAGCTTCCAACATTTCACCTTCTTTTTAATTTAGTTTTAATGCATATCTAATTTCAGATCTACATAAAAAACATTGTTTTGTAGATTTTATTAAATTTTCAGAACAATTATTACAAATACCACCATGATTACATGGATGTAATACTACATTAGGTTCATTTTCAAAACAAATCAAGCAAAAATCTCCTGAATCTTGATCTTTTGGTATAGATTTCATTTATTTCATCATAGTTTAACATGGTGATTAACGAAAATTCAAAGAATCAGGTCTTAATACATCACTGCATATAGGTATAGAACTTGTATTACGAGTACTAGTGTCTGCAGTTGATTATCGAGCAAGCATTTTATAATATGATGCTGAAATTCTAATGAACATTATAGGAATCTTTAATCTTCTCCATTTTTTTTATGGAGTTTCTTATGATTATCTTTTTGGTGTAGTAGCTTACCTATTATCTAATTGCAAAACAATACTATGGTAATAAGGATAAAATACATCAATTATTTCTTTATTTTAAAAGTGAAAAAAACGAATAAAAAGAGATAAATCAAAATACAGACAAGCACAGCAATTGATGCCAACTTAACATTACTATATGTATTGTCACTTTCATAAAATTCACAAACAGTTTTTAATAGAAAGAATGGGGTAATAGTTAATCCAAATATATAAAATATAAACCAAAATATTAATGTTCCTTAATAATATAATTTTTTACCATTTATTTATGGTATATGTTTGAGAAAACAATTCTCAACCATTGTTATCAAAAGCAAAATAATTAAGAATGTATTGATTCCGAGTGCTGTCCAAGTTATTATAAATGTTTAATAGTAAGTATAACCAAATAGATTGTTCCATTTCAAAGTTAAGAGTAAAAGTTAGATAACATAGAGAACAGAATATGAATGAGCAATCTACTATATAAATAATAATATTACTATAATATGCTTTCTTTTTGATTAATCATGATGAAGTACTTAAAAAAGAAATAATCCAACAGTAATGATTAATTATGCTGCTGGTACATAGTAAAGTTTAATTTCTTTAACTTCAAAATGAATTACTATAGTAATCTTATTAATTTAAATAAATAATTTACCTTAAATGATATACTCAACACCTTTTCTAAAAAATGAACCACAGACAAGAGTTTACCAATGTTCTTATCTAACATTACTATAACAAATGTTATTAAATCCATAAACCAAGCAAATATGATAATGTATTTTGAATCAAATAGCCAGATTAATTTACAACTAAAGATTAACATGTAAAATTAGCACACACAATTAAAAATGCTAATTCTGACAACTTCACTTGAAAACTAGAGAATTAATAAATATCTGAACTTCTTTTTCCATTTCCTATGAATTAATTTGTTCTTATTATCGATTCATAAGTAATTGATTATATTTTTATCTTTTTGATTATTTATATAATCATTAAATTATCATTTAGAATGATTAAACATATCGATATATTTAAAATATAGGAAAATTTATAAGTTTAAGCATATAAATTATAACTAAAACTAAAATCTTTATTAAAAACACTAAACTTATATTATCTTATGGTAGCTCTCTCTTTAGTGGATTTCTTGAAAAACAAATCATTATTAAATCTTTCATTTTTATTTATGCTGTTTCAGGAATCTTAGGATATTCTCCACTTAATCTAAAACTAAGCAAATTTATTGTAAGATTATCAATATTTATTTATTCACTCAATGAAAGTCTACCTGTTATAATTTCTAAAATTAAACTACCAAAAGATCTTATATCTGAAGCTGGTCCAATCTTTTCTTATCAAACTAATTCACATACACTCCCTTATAAAATACTTTAAAATAAATTTTCTTTATTTTATCTGCTACATCCAAAATCTGAAATTTTTACTTATCTATTAGAATCCAATTATATGTTACTTAATTTTAGATCTAAATGCAATATCCCTTTTTTATACAAATACTCTAACATTGAGTATAACTTATGATAGACTATTCTTTAATAGGACCAAAATATTTATTAATTATGAAACAGATCCATATATTTATAATAACATATATCCATAGCCACATATTTCTAATCTATTAGAATGCACTTTCATACTTTCATGAGAAATTTATTTTATGATATTCTTGTGTTAAAGGATTTAGAAAAATTATAATTCAACCTTATTAAGTTGATACATCTGACATTTAATTTTTACTGTTTTTTATGTGATATAACACTACTTATGTGTCCATATTGATTGCTTTATAAATTTCACCTTATGCTCCAGAACCATTAAATTTACCTAATCTAAAATCTATTTTCTTATTTTCGTAATCCTATATTTAATTTAATCTGTTTATTGGATCAAGCATTATATGCTGATCAATTTTTCTTCGATCTATTAATTGCCTATGTTTTTGATGAATGTTGTCATAATTAAATAAATTAGTTTTTTTAAGTATTAATTCTTATTGAATTATTTATAGACCTCATAATTGTCTTTATCTAACTAGACATTGTTTGTTAAATAATATAAACAATATTTATTTCAACAATAAATATCTAATAACTCTTTTCATTAATTTCCAAATATAATCAATTGTTAATCTTAATCTTTATTTTCATACTTTTTAAACGACTGTAAATTTATTGGTGAAAATAAAAATAATAAATAATAATGCTTAAAAAATTAAAATAGTAAACTAAGGATGCCTTTAATAAACATTTTGGTAAGGATCAATATAAAGAAATGAAAGAAGAAGAATTTAATAACAAACAAGATTTTTCAAAATCACCCCATAATTTCCAAAATTAAATTAAATTAGATTAATACATAGATCAGAGTGATTAAGCTAATTGTATAAAAATGAATTTTAAATAGAAAATCAAAATTTTGATAAAAATATATCTGAGGTTCCTTAATTAGATTTCAATAAAGCTCTAATACCTGAAGAATTGATTCAACAAATCTAAGAATAAGAAATTAAAGAAATAGCAGATGAATAAGCAAAGAAAAAATATGAAAAGCCAAAAAAAAATGATGAAATTCCTGATTTTCTAAATTAAAAAATATGTTTAGATGAAAATGGTGATAATTATTATGAAGTAGCAGCAAAAAAAGCAAAAGAGCAAAATAATACTTTATTTTAGTTGAAGGCTTTTGTATCTAACTAAGCAACAACTGCAAAAAAATAAGTCAAAGTAATAAATTATAACTCCATTTTTAGAAATAATTAAAAAAATTGGACACACATATAAAAAATAAAATACTTGAAAAAAAATAACATATCAACATTTGGATTGCAGGATAGGTTGATGCTTAAATTGTAGGTTTAATGAGTAGTATAGAACCTAAAATAACAAGTAGTGTAAAAAAATCTGTTCCTTATGATTTTATGTAAGAAATTTTTTAGGATACTGCAATTAATTTATGGAAAGATTTCACTGATTTAATTAGATTAGAATTAAGAGCAAAATTATAAACTAGTAAAGTAGAAATTAAAAAAAGGGATTCAAAAGGAGTAATTTAATAATTTAGAAATTTTATTCTATATTCACTCTATCCAGCAGATCTCACTAATCGTGATCATATGAGGAGAATCTCATATCAAATTATGAAAATATCTTAATTACTTCCATATATGGGTATTTAACCTATAATGTTTATTATCATTCTCTTATGCATTAATAAAGTATTAACAAATCATTATTAAGGATGAAGAATTTTAATTAGTCAATTACATTTCTGATTATAAATCTATTTAATTTATTACTAATGGCCTTATTCCATGTTTTCTAGCTTATTTTCATTATTTATTCTTTGATTAAGGACCTGGAAGTCATCATTAAGTTCATATACTTATTTTTACATTAATTGTTTAATTTTTAACAATTTGGATAGCTTACTTTTTTTTAAGAAAATCTTATTCAAGAGGAACTTTTTTAAAAGAATAATTGACAATTACATCAGATTCAAAAAGAGGCCGACTTAAATATTTTCTAATTTATGATCTTATTACCTTTCTTATTTCAATAATACTTTCAAGTAATGATTTAACTATTTTAGTAATCTTGTATATTTATAAAATTAAGGATAGTCCTACTTAAACATTTGGAGATTTGTTATTTTTTACAAGAACTATCTATGCTTTATTTTCTATTCCTTTTGTCTTTTTTATTATACCTTTTTTTGTTAAAATGCTAACAAATGCTATTCCAACTGGATATGATAAATATGGAAATTGTATTCCATCTTTGAGCACAATTTAAATATAATACAAGGAAACTAAATTTAATAGATAAATAATTGTTGATATTGAAGAAATCCTTGAAAGAGATATAGAGGAAGAAAATTAAAATAAAGTAGAAAAATAGGAAGAATAAAAATAAAATGATGAAGAAATATAAAATGAAAATGAGTAAGAAAAGTAAAATAGTAAAAAAAAAAGAAATAAAAAGGATTTAAAAAAGACAATAGGATGAAGTATTTTATTAAATTTACTTTTTTATTAAAATTAAATAATTTTGGATATATTTTTATTAAATTTTTTTGATTAAAAATAAAATCATTATCTAAAAATACCACCTTTTTTTAGTGCATTTTCTGCATCTTTAACAGCTAGTAACTCATTATTATATTGTTACAATAAATTGTTATGTGTAGAAGTTCTAATATAATTATAATTTAATACCTATCAATCCATCTATTTTAAGTAGCAACAAGATTTTCTTAAGCATCAGCTAAATTACTTTAAGCATCTTATAATATTTAATTTAATGCTCTAACTTCATTTTATTTGATGGAAATCTCAGTTTCTAATAATGGAATTAAAAAATCTTAAATTCCACTAACTTTTGCTTAGGTTTCAGATAAAATATCTTATTATAATTTAGATTATGATTCATGTTGATTTTACAATGATGTTTATGCATCTATAAGATTTTATCTAAGTTAACTCATAAAGTTAATAACTTTATTAAGATTCTCTTAATCTACATAATTGTTTTATGATAATTATGTTAAGACATTTACTAAAGGTTAATAAAACACTCTTTTTGATGATAATTTTTTCATACTAATAATTGAAATATATAACTTTCATACCTCTTGTGCATATTTTAAGAAACTTCTTTGATGTGTTCCTTTTTTTAGATTAATGAAGTTTCATCTTTGATTTCATTAAGTAAAGTAATTGCTTAATCAAGAACATTGATTGTATCAGCATATTCTTAATTTTGTTATTCAAAAACTTAATTATCTGAATTGACTTGTTATTCTTTTTAGGCCAATAATTTAATTGCATCATTTAGATCTTAATTGGCTTCTGTTAAAAATGCTTATAAACTTAATCCTTCATCATTTAAATCTTTGATTTCAATTTCTAATTATGCAATCTATTAGATAATGATCTAAATAAACTTTGTTCTTGAAATCATTAATTTAATTTTCATAGAATTAGACATCAGAAAAATATGATTGTTAATCTTGTTCATAGGAAGCATTCTCATCATTTATTCTTGTTTAGAAAGAATCTGCTAATTCATCAAGAGCAACAAACAATTATTGGAAATTGAAATCTTTTGTTTGTACTTCTGATAATCCAAGTATAATTTTTGAGATCGGATGTAATTTATCTTATTAAATTGATTAAATTCCTTAACTATAATGTAGTGTGTATAATATACTTAGCCAATATCAAATACAATAATGTAAACCCTATGAAAGTTTTCATTTAATATTAATTAATTACAAATCCGTTTTTAAAACATCTTTCTAATCTATATAATATTTATATATAAATTATTCCTCTATATCTTTAGAATAATGATTTTAAATAAAGGCACTAGAGTATAAATATAATATGAAAAAACACAATTATAAATAAATTATTAAAATCAATTTCAATATTTTTTTGTTTCTTTAACATTTACCCTTCCTTTAGCTTCTAAATTTCATTGTCTATAGTGCTAATAAATATTTTTTGACATTGAGAAGTATTTTTTTAAGATATTATATTCAACTAAGAATCCCTCATTTTAATTCAAAAATTAAAATAGAATAATTAATTAGTTGTTTGATTTTATTATAGAAAATCTTAAAAAGATGTTGTCAAAGTAACTTAATTTTGATGTAAAATTATCTATTTTGTCTCTAAATAGTATTATAAAAAAAAGTATTGTTCTGTTAACAAAATTGATATTGTTTTTAAATAGTTTCTATTTTATAATTTTAAGTATTTTCTTAGATACTACAACTTATTTATTTATTTTGTGGTACAAATATTTACTACATTTCTTAAATCTTGTAAATAGATGAGTATTTGAGAATACTTGATCTCAATTTCTTATATAAATTGAAAATATTTAATAAAATAAAATATTTGTTTGAGTCTTAGATTTAGTATTTTGATTGAAAATAATAAAATAAATAATTAAGTAGATAAACTAAAATAATAATATTTCATACTAGAGGATATGTACTTGTGATTGATTTTGATTTTAATTAAGTGATTAACCATAATTAGACATTACTCAAAAGAGATGTTAATTTAGTTAGGTATTTATTGATTTTAGTAATTTCAAATCTATCATATAATCCAGAGAGTAGATTAACATTATTAAAAGCATTTTTATCACTGGCCAAACAAAGATATTAATACATTTCTAATTTTCTATTAGGACTCATGTGACTTAGTAAAACTCTATCTTTAATGGCTCCAATATTGAGATGAGGATTAGAAATAACTACTTTAGTAATATCAAATTCTCCTCCTATTTCTAGGATTTAAGAATTATATTTAGTTTTCTTTTATCTGATATTAGTATTTGCTTCTTCTTTGACAGATTTAGGATCAGGGATTTTTCTTTAGAAATATTTAACAGAAGTGATTGGGGTTATTGTAATTGATTAAGGTTAAGTTAAAACAATTTTATAACATTCATCATCAGATGTTACAACATCAACATCAACAATCTAATGTTCTCTATTAATTCTATTTGATAAACTACCCTATTCTAAACGACTCTAAGCTAATATTCTAACTCTAGAATCAGGAACCTATTATTATGATAGAATATTACATACTTCACAATAACCTCCTATCATTTTTTCATGGAATTACTTTGCCTTTTCAATTTAACCAACATAAAAATAATATTTTCCTAATAAATCATAAGCATATAATTCATGATTCTTTTCATTCAATTTCCATGCTGACATTAAATATTTAGTAAAATATAACTGGCTTAATTTTGGTCTCACTCTAAGTAAACATTCTCCCAATCCTCTATATGCTTTCATCTTATTTCGATAATGTATTTCACTATCTGATAATCGTTTACACAATTTGAAATATATGGCTCCAAATAATGGATTAAAGAATAGTTGTTCCATTTTGCCAAAAATATAACATAACCTTTACTGTATACATAAATTCTTCTATTTAAAACATTCCTACATAATCTCTTTCATTTCCTATTCACTCTTCTCTCTATTCTATTTATATTACAATAAATTTTGAATTTTCTTAATCAGAATTTCCAAACTTTGTATTGCTTCATTTAAATATTTAGAAATTGAATTTTCTATCTCCTAATTATCCAAACTCTACTGATCTTTCAAGGTTTCAATTTCATCTGAATAATACTTTATTATAAATTAGGATAATTGATATTATCTTGTCCTCTTTTACAATTATTCAGAATTTGTTGTTTATGTCTATAATGCTTTCTATACATTAAATAAATTACAGGTTCGTAACATATTTCGAGATCTCTTCTGTGATCGAATCTTATTCTGAAAAGGAAGATTTAAAACTGGAGGTAATTCCAATTTCAACTATTCTGTTGATTCTGTTTACATCTTCATTGTACTGGTTATTAAAAATCTACGATTAGATTTCTAAGTTCTTGTGAAATCACTTCCAGAAATACCAAAACTATCTGTATTCGTACTCTCCAACTTACTTTTCGACTTTTTCATTTTATATTAATTTTATAGATAATTTGAGTAATGAAGAATAATTGTAAATTGTGTCGATAAAGTGCAAGATAACTCATTTTGGATAAATTGGAAACTAAATACTTTGAAGCATTCAATTTCTATTTTGCTAAGCCTATAAATGAAATCCTTTCTTAAATTACGAACACTCCTCATGTAATTTATTATAAGGATTATGTGATATTAGATGATCAATAAGAATATATGAAAAGGTAGTTGAACTTGCTTAAATTGTAGATATTACAAGTAGGATGAAGTCAAACCAAGAATTGATATATTGACTGAATTTTACGTGACAAATTACAAGGATGCACATCCCTATTTATTGGTTGTTGATTAACATTAACTGATGGTAAAGAGAAATAAACGAATTGATAAACTCTATTATTAAAGAGTCTAATTAACTGAGCATTCAAACAAATCAAATAATCCTATCGTTATTAACAATGTTCTTAATTCAAAACTATCATCTAATTCATAAATCAGTTATGAAACTGAAGAGCATGACATTTATTCATCATAAGATAAAGCAAAGAAATTTAGTCGTCTTGATTTTAAAGGCTTAAATATGATTAATATTTAAGAAGAAACTCCATAGATAAATGACATGCTTAATAAACATTACCTCATTATAAATTAAATGAGTAATTAACTCAAAAAATTACCATCAAATTTCTATTTGAAATCTCCTATTCAAAGTTAATAAATTATTTCAACCAACACAATCAAAGATTTACATGTTGTTAAAACTGTTAAACGAAGAACTAATCATGTTGATATAAGAGAAAAGAAAGGTATTTATATTTCATTTTTCTAATAGCTATCCTTGCCAATTCTAAAAGTGAATCTAAGCATTCTTAATCTAGTTTTAAAATGTCTAAAATAAAAGATTCAGTTGATTAATAAGTAGATTAATTTCAGGAATATGTGTCTGCTCAAATTGAACCAATAGATTTGTAGGATAAAAATAAAAAATAAAAAATGGATAATAACTTTGTTATTTAAAAGATGCTTAGAGAATATAAAGGTAATCATAATCGATAATTACGATCCGCTATATCTCAAGATTTAATGGTTGCTAGTACATCAACTGTAATCTAGGGATTTTAGGGTTCATAAAAGAGTATTAAATAGGACTAAAATAATAATAATGGGAGTATATAAAATATATCCTAAAGGTAGGAGTAATTAAAGAAAGCATATTAACCTATTAATATTTAATAAAAAAAAATTAATTAAAATTAACTTGATAAAATTACAAAAGGAGGTTCTTTAACTGATAGAAATTCAAAATAATTACCTATAGCTGAAGATCTATTCCATAAATTGCAAGATTTGAAAATAAGAAGTTCATAAAATGCAGATTAATAAAAAAAACCTGAATTCAACTATATGTTACCTTCATAATATAATACAATAACTACCTTCAAGATGAACAGTAATTCAAAAGCTAAATCTTAATATTCTAAGAAAGGTACTGGAGTTGATCTAGGAACTAAGTCTTAGCATCAATAATAAGCAAATCACAGTTAATCAAAGGTTTTGAATATTAATTCTTAAAAATCAGATGACATTGTCAAAAAATATATATAGATGGCAACATAGTCAATATAAAATCATAAAAAATTTGATTTTAAATTGAATCTTTAAAATTTAAATAATAATGAACCTCATGTAGAGGATGATTTTTGTAATTATAGCAAATTATTTAGAAAAATAACGTCTGAATTTTCTTACAGAAAGACACAGTTAACAATAGGATAGAGAATAATTTATTACTCATAGAAAAATTGTGATTAAATAATGATTAATAAAATGATAAATATTTTAAAGTAAAATTCATCGCATAAAACGAATTAATTATGAATATAGAATAGAAAATAAGTCTATATCAAATTATATACAATTGATTTATAGGGAATACACCAGAGGAGAAGAGATAGAGAGATGAATAAAAATAATAATTTAGTTGAATAAATTAATAAATCAATGAAATTAAAAGTTTAGTAAAAATAATGTAGAAGATATAAAGTAGAAGCAATAAAAATGTAAGGTTTTAAATAAGATGAATGAATAAGAATTAGTTGATTATAATTTTGAATAATTAAATTATATATAAAAATTTAGATGTCTAGAATAACATAAGAATTATTAAGAAAAAGAGCAGAGCATAATGAAATGATGTTAACAAATTTAGAAGAAATTTCAATTCATTAAGAGGAGATAGTGAAGATTGAGAATTTGGATGTATATTGTCGACATTTGAAAATATTATTGTTATAAAACAATATAATTGAGAAGATGGAAAATTTAAATAAACTTCGAGAATTGGAATACTTAAATTTAGCATTAAATAATATTAGAGTGATAGAGGGAATAGAAAATTGTGAATCATTAATGAAGTTAGATATGACAGTGAATTTTGTAGATTTATAGAATATAGAGAAATCAGTATAATGTCTTTAGAAATGTAGATTGAAAGAATTATATTTAACAGGGAATCCATGTACGGAGTAAATAAATTAAAATATAAATTATTAGTTGGAAAGGATATAGGGATTATATAATAAGTTAAGTAGATTCTCTACATTCATTGGATGGTAAAGAAATAACGCATACAGAAAGAATTAAGGCAAAATAGATATTAGGTTAATTATAAAAAGAATTAATATATGCAATAGAGGAAGAAAAGATTAAAGAGGAGTAGAGAATACATGAAGAGAAGATAAGAAAAGAATTTAATCCAAATAGTGAAGATAAAGTAGCATATACTCCTGAGACAAGGAAGGAGATGTATTTAAAATAAGCAAAAGAGAAGTAATTAAATAATTAATATAAATAATAGAGAGGAAAAAGAGAGATAAAGAAATCCTGAAAAGTTTAAGGAAAAATAAGAAACAACAATATTTATGAATGATGGAAAAATTAGATAATGTGATGAGGGTGGTTATAAGCCTTATTTAAATAATTGGGAAGATCCAGAGAATGTGATATTTAAGATGAATATTCCTAAATATTTAGATACATCATTAATTTAAGTAAATGTGAATCCAACTTATGTATCTGTAAGAGTTAAAGGGAAATTAACATAAATTCGATTAGATGAAGAAGTATTTGCAGAAAAATCTAAGATTTAAAGATCAGAAATAACAGGAGAATTACTTATTACGATGCCTAAAGTTAATCCTAATGAAATATTAAAATAAATAGCAGAAAGAAAGAAAAAAGAGGAATAATAAAAATAATAAGAATAAATTAAATAATAAGAATTGAAATAGAAATAGGAAAGATAGAATTTAGATTTATTAATATTAAAAGCATAAGCAAAATTAACTTAATAAATTGATGATGATATACCTGAATTAGAATGATATATATATATTAATGTAAATATTAAATTTACGCGCCTAATATTTAATTATTTTAACATGAAATTAGTTATCCCTAATATGATTTGGCATGGAGAAAAAGAAAGAATTATGGCAATTGCTATTCATCCATAATAAAATCTATTACTTACAGGAGGTTCTGATTCTAGGATTGCAGAAAAAGATAATTTAAGTGAAGATGTTGGAGTCATTAAAATGTGGACAATTTTAGAAAATTCTAGTAAAATAGTTGAGTTTGTTGGAGCTATTAATTATGGACATGAATAAACTGTTAATTGTCTTAAATTTTCACCTAATGGTAAAAATTTTGCATCTGGTTCTGATGATTATAAAATTATAATTTGGAATTAATAGGTCAGATAAACATTTGGTTAAACTGAACCTAAATTATAATGGTGGCCTTTAACAGTTTTAACTGGTCATTGGAAAGAAATCTATGATTTATAATGGTCAAAAAATGGTGAAATTTTAATCTCTGGAGGTTTAGATAAATAGGTTATTGTCTGGAATATTAAGAAATAAAAACAATTATAAACTTTGGATGGACATACATCATATGTTTAAGGAGTCACTATTGATCCAAGACTTAGAACTATAGTCTCATTAAGTTAAGATAGAACTGCTAGAATTTGGAGAATAATGAAATCACAAAGAAAAAATTTTAATAATCTATAATTTTATTAATAATGGGTTTTAAGAAAATTTGACTAAGTTTAAAAAACTGATTCATAATAATAATCTAATTTATAAGAGTAATAATAATAATAATAATAATAATAATAATAAGATGAAAAAAAATAAAATGGAATCTTTTTAGGTGAAACTAGTTTATTCACATTTGTTAGAAGACCAGATTGGAGTCCTGATGGATCATTTTATATTTTACCTGCTGCTGAATTTTGGGTTGATAATAAACCTATTATGGGAGCTTATGGATTCTTAAGATAATCTCCTCATGTTCCTTGCTTCTTTTTACCTACTAATACTCCTGCCTTAGTTATACGATTTTGTCATAAATATTTTAATAGAAATCAAGATATTCAATAACCTTTGATAGAATTACCATATAAAATGATTTTTGCAATAGGAACAATTGATTCTTTATTACTTTATTCAACTGATAGTCCTACTCCTATTGCTATCTTTGGAAATCTTCATTATGCATCTATTACAGATATTTGTTTTAGAGGTATAAATTATAATTATTAAACTAAGGTTCCAATTTAATTGCTATAAGTTCTTGTGATGGATTTTGTTCTTTTGTTTAAATTGAAGAAGGATATTTTGGATCAGAAGTTCCTTTTGAATGTATTTATATTATTATATAAATAGAACTTCCTGAATATGTCAGAAGTTTATACAATAATGATAAAATTGAGGAAGAAGATCCTTCAAAAAAAAATGAAGAATCTAAAAAACAAGATTTTGTTACCGAATAACGAATTGAGTTTAAAGAAACTTCAGATGGAAAAAAGAAAAAAGTTATTATACCTAAAACTTTGATATTAGATTAATTGAATTAGAAATGATTTTCTTTATTATATTCATAAATAACAACTTCATACTTTAAATTTATTTATCATATTCTAAGCATCATCACCTTTAAGATAATATTCATTTATTTTTTAAATAATTATATCATAATAGTAATATTTACATCTTTATTTATATTTGATTATTATTTTATAATTTTAATAAATAAGAATGAGTTTTTAAAGATTTGTACTTGATGAAAATGGATTCAATTTTAATCTATTTCATTTATTATGGTTATAGGATCCATTATTTAGAAATAATATTAAAATTGATATTCCAGATACTATTGAGATCATTTAAGGATAACCATATTTCTGGTATTATAGCCATGATTCTTAAATTATGAGAAAAAGCAAATCGAAACTTAATTGGGAAGATATTCTCAATGAATTTGTAACAGATAAAGATGATTAACTTTTAATTTGTGCTATTTGGATTAATAAGACTAAAAATTTAACAACTTTTGAGTATTTATCATAGCACTTATTACATTAATTATTGACTTCAAAAATATCTGATAATACAAGAGGATATCTCTAAAGATTTGTCTATCCAAAAGGTATTAAATATAATCAACATATAATAGGTAGTTGTAATGAGGTCATTAAATGTACATGGACTAATAACTTGTGTTTCTTTGAATGTTTTTCTAATAAATATCAAATAAACTTTTCTAAAGCAGACATATATTAAAGAGCAGTAACTTTTGAGATGTTGAATGGACCAATTGAATAAAGAACTTTGAAAGGAACATCTCTCACATAAAGATTAGAGTTATTATGTGGATTGATTGTTTCTCATGTAGCTAATGTTACTTAAAACTAAAAATAAATATGTTAAATGGAAGTATTATTTAAAATAGCTAAAAAGAATAAAGTTTTTTTATTATTCAGCTCTAAAGTCTTAACTTCAAATAGTGAAATTAAGCAATTAAATTAGCGTATAATTATTACTTTAAAAATTTAGCTCTATTTGAAATTTCAAGCAAAATATAAAAATAACTTATTAATTATCCTAAAGCTATTATTTTATCTGATAATTCTAAATGTATTGGATGCGATAAAGATAAAAATGAAATTGAATTTTCTAAAGTTCGCTTAAAGGATATTGTTGAAAATTGGGAAAATAATGTATTAACAAGAAAATCATAAAATTAAAAATTTAGTAGAGAGAATATCTTAAAATTAAATCATAATCTCCATGTTGGTTAAGTTAAAATTGATTAATAGTAATTAATTCCAAGAATCATCAAAATTATGTATCCAAAAATGTCTATGGAAGAATACAAAGAATTCAAATCGAATCTTGTCTTTCTTAATTAAATGATATCTTTGTGTAATGAATGTTTTACTAATGTATTTAATAAACAAGAATAACAATAAAAAAAAAATTCAATCTTAAGATAAAATATTAGAAAAATCCATATGAAAACTGAAATTGATGATGGACTAGATTTAATCTTTAATATCCATCCAATCCAATCAACAAGTAATAAATTAGATTTATTTTTCAATTTCAATGAAAATAAAACTATACTCAATTATACAAATAGAAGAATGAATGGGGAATTATTTTAAATTCCTAAAATAAAGCATTTATCAAAGACTGTTGGTAAAGAATGGAATCAAAATAATTCAATCTTTAAAACAAATTAATCATCAAAACAAGAACAATAAAACTCAAACTTTAAAGATTTTGAATGATTACAATATATATATATAATTTGGTTTGCATCAATTATCAGAATCGTTCTATGGTGATCCAGGACTTGATCTTTTGAATTCTTAGTTTGTTCTTGCACTAGGTTAATTTTATTATTTTTATTATATTCCAACTTTAAATTTTTCATTTTTATTTGATTATTATTTAAATTGTTCTTTTGGTAAATGCTACTTAATTTACAATTTAGCATTTATCTTTAAAAATTAATTAAATAATTACCATATCAATCAACTCAAAATTTTCGTATGAACATTTTGAGAGATTTTTACTTATTGTTTCTGTTTCTACTTTTTTAATTGATTTTCTTGTGGAAAATTTAGTGTCTCTCTTATTAGTGATTTTAACAATTTATTAATTAAATATCATATCATATCTGTTTTTTAATTCCTTTAGAAATTCTGTTTAATTAAGCATTTATCCTAAAAATTAAATAAATTAAATACCTAACATCCAAGGATGTTATTTAATTTATTCGATAGTAATTCTTTTTAATGGATTTTCATCCAACATTTTTTCAACAAGATCTTTAAATTAAGCAGAAGAATCTGCAATATCACTATAGATTTTCCAAAATGATTATTTATTATTTTTCATTAAGGAATAGTAAGGATCAGTTGATTTTGAAGTTTTAAAAGGTGCAGATCTCATAACCATTGTAAATAAGATTACACCAGCAGCAAATATATCAGCTTATTCTGGATTATAAAATTTTTATTTGCCTTTATAATAATTAACCTATACTTTACCTATGTTATATAATTCTGGTGGATTATATTCAGGAGATCCTATATGTTGAGATATTTCAAATTATACTCTGGATCCTTTCTCATCTATTGTTTTTGTACTAAATCCAAAATCAGCCAGCTTAAGTATACCATTACTAAAAAGTATATTTTCAGCTTTAACGTCTCTATGAACTACACCGCGTTCATGCAGATGCTCAATTCCTATGCTAACAATAAAAGATGTTTTTTTACCTTTTATTAGTTATGAAAAAATGTTTCTTGCAAATTTTTCAGAAAATTGCTAAGTTTGTTCCAATAATTAAAACAATTCACCTTAATTAGCCAATTCCATAACAAAATAAGAAACCTATTAAACCCTTCCATCTATCTTTTTATACTCTCCATTCATTCTACACTAAACTCAATTCATATTTGATTATTACATATATTATTCTAATTATGTGTTTATGATCAAATTCAGCTTATGTCGAAATTTCATTTATAAATGTATCAGATCTACATTAACTAGTTGTTGGGTCTATTTTCATTATCTTTATAGCATATTTTTATTTATCCTCCATGTCGATAGCCAATTTAACTCTATTGTGATATCCATTTCATTTTACTTTGCATATCTTCCAAATCCAATTGTATCAACTATATAGTATTTCTCATCTAAAATTGATGCATATTCTAAATAGTCATTTTAAATATCTAAGGACATCATTTTATATTATATATTAATTTGATGTAATTAATTGTGAACTTCACAGAAAACAATGCATTTTTTATATAAATTTTCATAGTTATAAAATCATCTTTTTAAATGTAAAATTTAATAATATTAAAATCTTATCTTAATATCAATCAAGATATCAACTGTCTAATTAATATCTTAATCAATAATAAGATAAGTAAATGTAAAAAAAAATTAAGTTTTAAATAATTCAGGTTAAGTAGCAGAATTAAATCTAACTAATTCATTGATTAAATAATTTAGGAAATTTGATTAGATTCATTTAAAATATATTTCTACTGATAATAATTATTTCTTATAGAAAACTAAAAATTAATCAATATTTTTTTTAATAAAAATTAACAATTACATATTTGCACTGTTCTTTTTATGGAGTTTTTATTGGACTTTTTGAAGGTTAATTGGGACTTTTACTTCTGTTATTAATATTTTATTTTTTATTTTTGGTTGGAATATCAATATCTTAAGAATTAATTTTACTTTAACTTTTTAATGGAGTTAATACTTTATTTTCTTTTTCTTGTTTGCAATTATTTTATATTTTATGATTCTCTTAAAAGTTTTGTATATCTATTCTAATTTTTACAGTTTAATCAGTTTTTATTTTTTAAGATTTTAATGATGTTTTTGTTTGAGAATTTTATCTTTGAAAATTGTTAAACTAATCTGGATTGAATTATAAATTTTAGTTAGAATTTATAGAGTTAAATTTTTATTTAAATTCTTTAGTAAATTAAGATTGTGGACTTTTAGAGTGATATCTACTGGCAGAATTTTAAGTAGCTTTTGAGAATCTATTATGAATTACTTATTATTCCATTTCTTATTTTTTATCAATTTATTTTTAAGACAATTTTTCTTAGATTCTTTCTCTTAAGGGTTTATAATTTTGTAATTGTTTCTATTAAGTATTTAAATTTGGTTCATCATCAAAAAGTGATGGTATAGATCTTTTAGGAGTGATTTATCTGGTAAATATATCTAATGGAACTTATTTGATATGAATTTCTTTATTAATGCTTTATCTGAAATTACGTAGCTATATTAATGCTATTTAACATTTATCATTGTTATTATGATTTGAAAGATTTTGATCAAGATTATGAGATTGAAAATTGTCTTCATCAATTTAATTAGTTTAATTATTTTAATAGACAACATCATCTTCAAATTGAAAATCTAATAAAGGAGGCTCATTAACTAACTTAAATTATATTTAATATTTACGATTGGAATAATTCAAATCTTCAAATTGATAAAGTTAGTGTTCTAAGAAACTAAAATCATCAAAATTTATGAAATCTTCATAATAGGACTTCATAGACATGATACAACTAGGTTATTATGGTTAGTTAGAATAATGAAATAAATGCTAAAGACATCTATTTATTTCTGAAATTGAATTCATAAAATAATTAATATTGAATATGATGATTAACGAATTTAAAAAAATCCTATAATATCTTGTAATTAATTATTTGTTTTACAGTATTAAAATTGAGAAGTATGTAATAAGGCTGTGATGTGAAATTTGAGATAAACGAAGTAGTTTGGGCTAAAGTCTTAGGCTGTAAGTAGTTTTTTAAGCTTTAGATCCATGGTGGCCAGCATAAGTAATTATAGAATAATCATAACATAGATCTCTTCAATTTCTAATAAAAAGACAGATTCAATTTAATTATGGAGAGTGAATTTTTTAGCAGATGGAACACAGTATTAATTTAAATAAAAGTATAGCGCTGATTTACGTCTTGAAAAAATTAAGAAATGGAATGATAGACCGATATAGACAGAAACAAAGAAATTAAAGGAAGCAATAGAAATGGCTAATCAAATTTTGAGTGGAAATTGTTAAAATATATTACCAAGTTTCTAAAATTTGAATGAGCATTAACTTAAAAGTCTGGTAATTAAATTAAATGATTTAATCAGAAATGATAATTAAATGGATGATGTAATTTGTTATTATGTAAAATTAGATTGTGCAATTATTAAATGAGATTTCAAGTAATGAATTATTGTCAATTGTTAAAATGAATTTAGGCTAACAGTTATTTCGACTACATCAAATACATCAAAGCAAAAGATATATAGAGTTCTAAAATCTACTCTAATCTTTTCTAGATTAATTAATTAATACAATTGGTTATAAAGAATAGATGGAGTAAACAACCAGTAATAAAAAGAAATTTAAATAATCCATTTCAAATGAGGAACCTCTTGAAGAAATTACTAAATGTGTAATCATTTAAGATGGACCTGAGATCAAAAGAAAAAAAGTAGAAGAGAATCTTTAGAATACTCCCCATAATTAATGATGATTTATAATTTATGAAAAATATTATTTACAATACATTTATAATATTTATTAAATATTTGTAATTTATTCTAATATTTTTTGTATATAATTATATTCAATTTTCGAATTTATGAATCCAGAAAAGAAATTGACACTCAACAAAATTACATTAAATCGACCTTTATAAAAGATTGGTTTACCACCAAAAATCACTTTAAATAAATAGCTTGAATCAAGACCATAAAGTTCGAAACTAGATATTCAACCTGTAAATATTAATTGGCTTATTGATAATATATATTAAGAAAAGTAAAATTTTTACATAATCCAAGTAAATTAGAATGGGTATAAAAATGTTACATTTTTTTTAAAGATTGGACTTAAAATACAGAATGTAATGATTAAAATAAAGAATAAATTTTAAAATAGAGTATTTAATTGATAGATTATAACGATTTACAAGTTAGATTATATGCCATCAAAGCATCATTATTTGGATTCATTACCTTAAATTTATTAGAATTACTATTTTAAAAATAAGCTAAACCACTAGTAAGAAGACCAAAAAGTGGTTCTAAAATTTAAGAATAATTACCATCTTTACTTTATTAACCTTAATAAGTTATGGCTATTCTCTAAAAAACTGCTTAATTAAGTAATGAAAATGTATTCTTAAACTTAATCAATGATAATTCTTTAAGTTTTATTTTATTTAGATTTCTAAAACTCTTTACTTAATTAACGAGAGATTAAGTTACAACATAATAATAATTACCTTATTTGAATTTAATTTTTGTAATTATTAAAAATATAGCTAATAATTAAAAAGAGGCTCAAAAATTATTATAGCCTACTTATATATAATTAATTGAGAATTATTTACATTCATTTCCATATGATCAATAATATGAATAAGATTTACTCCATTTATATACTTCTATTACTGCTACACTTAGGAATTTAGCTAATGAAAATAACAGTGTAGAAATGTATCTTTAAAATGGAATTATTAAAAAATTAGTTATCAGTATGGTTAATTATAGTAATAATTATGAATTGATTTTAAATACTTTAAGAATCATGTCAAAAATGTCATTAAATAAAGAATGTTGTGAATATTTTCTACAAAATACTGATGCAATGTAAAATATTTCAAGTTTTTTTAAGACATATCAAACAAATATATATATAATTATTAGAGCTTCTTTTTTATTAGCCAATATGACCACATATTTTGAAGGAATTAGGTAATTAATTTACTATAAATTCAATCAATTTGGTGATATAATTAAATGCTTCGATTATTTTTGGACAAAAGAAATTAATCCATAATAATTAAATTAAATTGATTAATTTTCCTAAAGTAGAGCAGCATGGGATTTCTAAATATTACAATCCGAGTAATATATAATAATTTATTTCATAGAAAAGATATTGATGCTTTAATCAGAATTATAAGATTAATTGCAAATATATTAACTATAGAATAAATAGGATTAGATATTTTAAAAAATTATTCAAATGAATACAGAATATTGATAACAAAATTATTAAAATTACTCTAAAAAAATACATAGATTACTAAATAATAAGTAATTTTTAATTTTAATTTAGGAAATTATCTCTTGTACTTTAAGTTGTTTATCTAATTTAACCTTTTATGAGAAATAAACCTTTTTAAATGATTTCGAGTATAAAAATGTTAAGTATGAATTAATATCAACTTTGGGACATTTTATTATTTAAAATGAAGATCAAGAAGTTTGTTGTGATGGGTTAAGAGTTTTATCCAATTTATCAAGATAGAAAGATTTAATTAAATAAATAATGAAATCTAGAATTTCAGAAGGTGTTATAGTATTATTAGATTCTAATTCAAGAGAAGTTGTTTATTATTGTTTAGGTGTTATTTTAAACCTTCTATAGGATTAAGACTTTAAGTAAAAGTTTTATCTATAATTAGAAAAAAGGAAAATATAAATTTAATAGATTATATCACTTAAGTTTTGAATGATTGCACTACCAATGAAAATGACATTGCTAATATTGGTTTAAAATGTTTAATTTTATTATTGGACTCAAATTTAAATTAAGAATATTCAAGCAAAATTGAAAAAGCGGTTTCAAACTTTGGGAATGTTTGTGATCAGGTTCTAAAAGTAAAGGAAAATAATGAACTTTCTAATACAAGACAGTTAATTAATTAAATTATCAACAATATTCCAGATGAAGGTTATCCATGTATGTAGCCAAATTGTGGAAGAAAATTCAAGACTCAATTAGAATTGTAAATTCATGTTAAAAGACGGCATATTTTATGATTGTAATTTAGATAATTAATATAATCATTCAATATTGTTTAAATAAAAGTTTTCCTCTTTTTACTTCTAATTACTTGCTTAATGAAGCTGAACGTACTTCCCTTGTTGTTTTTGGAACATCTACCTTATAATCACCACTTTAATGCTGATTACTTGATTAATCACATTTTACACTTTGATCTAAAAAGTTATTTATATTAATGTCCTCTCGAATTGATTTTATAACTAAATTCACATGGTTTGGAAATAATTTTTGATATAAGAAGACTAAGATTTTTTCATTACTTACTACTAGTTCTAATATTTTTAATTTATCTTCTTTATGAAATTAAGAGTAATCAGTAAAATTATCAATTTAGGATTACAAAATTTAGTTATTTCCAAAAGGTTTTTTCTTTTTTAAAATATCTCTTCGAACACTCTCGACACATTCTAAAAAGAAGGATTCAAGATCACTTCTGATAACACTTTTCTTATTTTAGGAAATTAATAAATTATGAGCTTTTTAATTTAAATTTTGTATTTACTTTTAATATTTCTACTCTATTTAAGTAACATATCTTTAAATATATTCTAATTAATTACTTAGAAACTTTTTCAATTATTTCATCATTTTTTATATTATTATTATTTTATTCTTCATTAAAAAACATATCTTTAATTGTTAGAAAATGATATTTAGATAATGATGAAGAGAGATCTAATTTTGATTAATATTCAGTCATTTTTCTTTTAGTGAATTCTTTAAATTAATTAAAAAATTACTAAATTGATTTGCAGGAGCAGTTGTACAAAAAGTTTGTTCTAATAATGGAGTAGCTTGTTATTCTTTCTCGATTTCATACAATTTGAGTTTTTTCATTAAACCTTTGACTTATTATTCTAAAAAATCGTTTGTTTTTTTGGATTCTTGTAATTTAAATTTTAATTCTTAATTTTCTTTATTTTTTTACTCAATTTTTTCATATAATCTCAAACATTCTTCTCTAAAAAGAGTCTAAGGGATATTCAAATAAAAATTTACCAATTCATTATCATTTTAGTTTATTTTGACTTTATTTAAAATCATATTATTTTGTTATTCTTCAGTTTTATTTTTTAATTCTTTCAATTCAGCCTTAATTTTTTTCATATGATTTTTGTAAGCAATAATAAATTCTGCCTCATTCTTGAGTTTAATTTTATTAACAATTTCTGTGACTTCATTAATATATTGTACCAAAGATTATAATGTTTCAGCTGCTTTGATTTACTAATTAGTATCATTTGCTGACGTTCTATCTTTATAAATTTCTAATTGCATAATTAATTAATAAAAAAAGTTGTTAAAAATATATTTTAATGCGCAAGAGTCCATTAATGAAAGAAAATATGAAAGTAATTCAGAATTAAAAATATTCATATTTAAACCAGTGTAAGTAAAAGACATCCTCTCTAGAAAAAAATTCATATTCAAATAGATCTCTTTTAAATGAGATGTAACATTAAACTCCAAATTAACCGAAGAAAAACATTTCAACATAAGCATCAGATTAGAAACTGCATAATTGTACATAATATTATGTTATAAAGAAGGTTAAATACTGAAATCATTAATGAAAATATAAAATAGAACAAATCCGATATTAACATAATAAAATTGCTATGCGGGAGTGAAGCTAAATTTTAACAATTGTATAGGTAATGAATATCATATAAAATGAAGGTAATGAAGAGAAAAGAATGAATACAAATTAATATAACTCCTTAAATTAGACAATTCATCCATCACCAAAAGTTAAGACTATTTCATTATCAACATATACTGTATAAAATGAATAAATTTATATACTAGAGTACTCAGAGTCCTGAAGTAAGAGAGAAAGAGATTAGATTTGAATAGATATCGTAATTTAAATAGTTAATTTAATAAACCAAGTAAAATTTGGAGAGTGTAAGAATCTCAGATATGTAGAATTATATAGAGAAGATATTTGATGAAACTATTTAACCATTATTATAACTTAAAGTATTTATAATACTTATTCTATTAGAATGAAGTACTTAAACAAATTGAGAAGTGTATAAATGCTGAACAATACTAGATTCGATCTACAATAGAATCCTTAAAAAAAATGGAGGAGGATATCCTTACAAATGAGTTTAATATTATTGAATATATGGCCATGGGTCCATTTAATGAAATTATGTAGATTTATTAGAAGAGATTTAAAGAACACTCAATTTTTGTTCAATAGTTAAATTAATAGGATACAGTAATGCATCAATTCAAACAGTTACATGATAATTTTACATAACAGAATCAATTTTTATGTAAGTAATTACAATAGTCTTTATAAACCTATTTGTCATTATACATTTCCTTTTAAAATAAGGAAGATTTTTATGAAATGAAAGAATTTAATAAAAATGTAGAATAACATAATTTTACTAACAATTTCTAAGAGAATCTTTTCTAAACTTGTGAAACCAATAATTCCATTGATGAAGATTAAGTGATTATGAAAGATTAATAGGTGGTAAGAATTACAGATAAGACTTCATAATTTACTTAATTATTAATGAAAGGATTAAATTGCTAAAAGAGTTTGTTTCCATCAGAATCACCACAATTCAAGAATTGATTATATATTTAATTTAATGTTATTAGAAATCAAAAATTTCTAATTTATTCCTTAATCATTAATAATCTCACTTGACAATGTCTTAACAATCAAAGTTCTTAAAATATAATCAAACAGTCAGATTTATTGTTAAGAAAGATATTTTATTTTGGCAATTTCATAAAGTAACTAATAAGAAGAGGAAGAAGAGATAGAAACACCTCCACTTTATGAAAATCAAACATTTATTTATAAGTTCACTAAAGAAGGAAATTATTTAATTCAATGTCTGAATTCTATACCTTTTAAAGCATATATTTCAGTAATAAAAAACGATAAGGAGATATGTGTTATCTAAAAGATGAAACAAACTATAAATATTGAAAAAAAACCTTTAAAACTATAACCAAAGATTGATATATATGCACCTGAAAACAGAAAGCTTAAAATGTTAGGCAGTCAAGAAACAAGCATGGCATCTACAATAATTCTAGAGCAAATTAAAGAAAAATGTTTAGGAGAAGATGAAAATATTGATATAGTAGATTTGATAATGAATAATAAATCAAATAGTAATATCGAAACAGTGTCCACCTTTAACAGTTCTTTCTAGTAACCATAAAATTTAATGAAGATTAAGACTGACACATATTCTGATACTGGAAAATCAGAATTTAATACCATTTTAGATAGGAAAAGTTCTGATCCAATTGTTTGCACTTCTAAAGTTTAAGATAGGATAACACCTACTAGATAAAAACAATTGTAATTTAGTATTTTTGAAAAAATTCAATAAGCAATTTTAGATTCAAAACATTGTGAAATTGATATTATAAAGAAACAAGCAGAGTTCAAGCTAATTCATTGTAAAGGATTGAGCATAATAAACTATTTGGAGATAGGTATATTAGTCTTTTATATTTAGAATATGTTATGAACATCTCGAATAAAGCTAATGTAAATAATGAAATACAGAATTGATTAAAAGTTTGTTGTTTTCAATTTTAAAAAATAACAATTTAAAAAATAGATATCTTTTAAATATAATATTATACTAGATATTAAACTTTTTGTAATCTTTTTTTATTTTAATATTATTAAGAATGTAACATTTAATATATTATTAAATCATAATTTATTCTTAGAATGATAGCGTAATTAGATATGCGATTTAAAGAAAGATAATAATAATTATTATTAATAATAAATTATTTTAATAAATGATATAGACTGAATCAGATTCAAGCAAAAGAGTGGCTTACTTTTATAATCGATTTATAGGAAAATTTCATTATGGAAAAGAGCATCCAATGAAACCTAAGAGAATAATTATGGCACACAATCTGATAGTGAATTATGGGTAGAAATAAAGTATTATAAATAAAGCCTTTTTCGATAGATGGATGTTTATTTAATAAGGGAAGCATAATTACAAGAAATAAGGAAATTTCATGATCCTGATTATATCATTTATCTGAGTTAATTCATGAGTTAAAATAAGATAAATTTTGTAAAGGAGTATTGCTCAGCCAATAATGAGTCTGTAATACCTGAAAATTTATTGGAAGAATTTAAATTGATAATAAAATGGAGTCAATAACAAAAGGTAAAGACTGAAAATTCTGAATTCAAAGTGGGTGATTCTCCTGATAATCCTACATTTTCTGGATTATTTTCTTATTGTTAATTAAGTTCAGGTGCAAGTATAGATTGTGCACATTCAATTCTAACAGGTTAGGCTGATATTGCTATAAATTGGTCTGGAGGATTACATCATGCTAAAAAGAAAGAAGCAAGCGGATTTTGTTATATAAATGATATAGTCTTATGTATTTTAGAATTGCTTAGAGTATATGTAAGAGTCTTATATGTGGATATTGATTGTCATCATGGAGATGGTGTAGAAGAAGCATTTTATTTAACAAATAGAGTTATGACATTATCATTTCATTAATATGGAGATGATTTTTATCCAGGAACAGGATAATTAAATTCTGTTGGAGTTGGAGTTGGTAGATATTATTCAGTTAATGTACCAATGAAACCTGGTATGTCTGATGAACCTTATATGGAGATGTTCAAAAAAATTACCAGCAGGGTTATGTAAATTTATAGACCTGATTGTATTGTTATGTAATGTGGAGCAGATTCTTTATCATTAGACAAATTAGGAGGATTTAATTTATCAATTAAGTATATCATTTTATATATTTTAATAGAGGTCATGGTGCTTGTGTATAGTATATGAAATCGTTTGGTACTCCTATGATTTTACTTGGAGGTGGAGGGTATACAATACAAAATGTTTCCAGATGTTGGGCATATGAAACAGGAATTGCTTTAGGTCAATAAATTGATGAAGTATTATTATTTTATAATTTAGGCTATACCATCTAATGATATTTATTATGACAATTACTCACCTGACTATTTGCTACATTTTCCTATTAGACAGAACGTTGAAAATAGAAATAAAACTGAAGATTTAAACAAAATAGTTGCTACTGTCTATGATTATCTATCTAATATTGAAAATGCTCCAGGAATACATTTTCATGATGTTCCTTTCTCATTTTATCCTGATATGGATTAAGAAAATGAGGATGAAAATAAAGAATGTAATTGATCTTTATTTAATTTTAGAAATCGATTAGAAATAAGAAGTTTCTTTGAATGAATTAGAATAAGAATTGGGAATTTCTAGTTCTAGTAAAAATGAAATATCAGTTTAGTCTAATTCAAGAAAAATGTATTCTAAAAGTCAACAATAAGATTTATGATTATAATGAATTTTTAGTTAAATTTATTAGTACAATCACCATTTTATTAATAAATATTCAAAGAGAATCTAATATTTTATCAAAACAAATAATCTGATAAATGTTTTTATCTCATTAAATACAGAATACTTTTCAATTCATAAAATTAGAGAATAGTAAAGTTTTCTTTCATTAACTAGAAATACGATATATTATTTTTGCATTATGATATATTTATTATTATTTAATCTTAAACAACAAAAAGTAATTTCTAAATTGAAGATAATTTGAACTCATAAATTATTTAAATGATATTTTTAAAGTATTTCTTAAAATCAATTATAATAATTATTATCAAATACACATCAAAATATCAATTTTTCTCAGTCAAAGTTTTTATAATATCGTCAAATAAATTTGGTTTATTCGGAAGCCATATATTTAAGAAACTATTCAAATCTGTTTTAATCTTATTATCATCCTTCTTAACTTGAGTTTTTTATTTTTATTTTTATTTTTATTTTTCTGTTTAATAATTTTATAAACTTTAAATCAAATTAGATGTTGAATTAGTATTTTTTTCCATTTTAGTAATTTAAGTTATCATAACTACCTTTTTTATTGGTGTTAAATTTTTAGTTTATTGAATTGTATCATCTTCTAACTCCATACTTAAATCAGATGAATTTTTCTAACTAAACCGACTAATGCATCGACCTCTTCCTTCATTAAGCATTAAAGATTATCTTCTTTATTATAAAATTACACTCCTATCTAATTTACCTTTAAGAAAACTTTAGGGAAGAATAAAAGAATTGCATTATTTAATATCACTATTAATTTGATTAGATATCAATGTTTTAGTGGATTTAATCATATGTAATAAATCCATTTCCAGTGCTAAATTAATGTTATTTTTATATAATTCAACTAAATCTTGAGTAGTTATGTATCCTTAATTATTGATATCATAAATTAAAAAGCATAACCTAATTTACTATTTTAAATCTAAATTTTCTAATTTTTCAATTAATTATTTATATTCTTAAGCACTTAAAACTTAAGGAATTTTAAAAGCCTTAGCAATTTAATCACAGATAATTTTTGGGTAACTTCTTTCTAAAAATTTGATTAATTGTTGTTTATTTATTCTGATATTTCTTAATAGCAAGGTTTAACATTTTTATTTGCAATCAGTCTCTAATTCTATTTTACTAATTTCACCTAATATATCTGAGATTTATTATTTGTTATTATTTTAATAGAGAGATACCATATGCATAATTTTTTAAGGAGATGCTGTATTTCTTCTTTCTTATTTAGCAATTACAATAGAGCTTGTCAATTTTGAGCTATTTCTATTAGTAAATTATTAAATGCAGTTCATTTATTCGATTGCCTAAAAAGTTTATGATGCTTATTTGATTGTTTCTTTCTTATTCTTATTTTGTACTCCCAATCTTGAATTTATTTTGATTTATTTTCTAAATTGAGATATAAAGGGATCTGGAAGGAATATTCATATGAATAAGTTACTTAATAAATTATGCTTGTATGTTTCCTTAACTAACAGATTTAATTCATTATTTAACATTTTAAACTAATTACATTTTTATAATTTTCATTATTATTATTAATTATATATCATTAATGATAAATAAAGAAGTCTTTAGGTAGCTTGCCAGGTCTTACACAAATAAAACTGCTATTATTACTTGATTTATTTGATAACTTTTTTTTTAACTCACATGTATTTAATAGTAATAAATCTAAAATATTATCATCTCTTTATAATTTTAAATTAGTCTTAATTTTTGAGATTTTTCTTTGTGTTTCTAATGGTGGCTTAATGTATGATATAGAATTATCATTCATTTTAAAAAGTTTATCTAATGGTTATGCATTACTATATGATCTTTTTTTATTTGAAGGTGGCAGTTCAACTCTATGAGTTGTTTAAACTGGTTCTAAAAATCTAGATGTTTTTTAACAATCTTTACTTCATTTAAACTTAAAATATTTACCAACATTGATTTTTTTTTGCTAATTTAGTTTGTTTAATATATCTCTTGATTCATCCATTTTATTAATGTGATTATGATAGGATTAACTTTTATTTCTAGGAATCTATTTGAAAACATCATAAACTCTAATCTTTTCTTAACTATTTTTGTTTGAGATTGATTTTCTATTGAAATATTAACTTTGTTTTATACATTGAAGGTATGATGGTTCTTTAAGTTCTTTAAGTTGCTATTTATTACTGTTCTTTAGGTATTTAATTATTAGATTTAGTATTTTTGCTTAAATTCAGTGCTCTCATAAATGTAGGGTCAGGCTACTTAATTATTATTGCTTTGCTCTTATTATTCAAACATTAATTCATAACGAAAAATACTAAATAAATTATATTTATTAAAATCATTATATAGCAGATGCTATGTATTATTTATAATTATTGATACTGATGTTTTATACTCCAAAACACTCTAAACATATCAAAGGTAGTAATACTCGATTTTCATACCATTTTTCTGATTTGTTATTTTTTAAAACTTATTCATAAGCACCATTAGGATATATTATTAATTTTTCATAATCATTTTTTTCAATCCAAACTTAATAATCTATAAATTTGTATTCAAAATCTATATCTATTTTCAATAACTCCTACTTTTTTAATTTATTTATCTATTTCCACTTTTCTCTAAAATTATTTTATATCATTTATACTTAGTCTTAGTTGTCTTAATTAAATCACAATAAGCTTAACCTAATATTTCCTTTGAAATAAATGAATTATAACAAGCATCATAAAGATACTTTAGTTTTTCATCATCCTCTATTTATTCTTATTTCAGAGAATTATAATCTAATTATTAAGAAGCAAATACTTGTAGTTAAACTATATTTCTACATGAATTATTCATATAATGGAGATATGTCAAAAAATTCTAATACAAGTCGATCCCTCAATTTTAATAAGGCCATTTGAGTACCTATTCTTATTTAAACCAAAGCCAAAATTTCCCAAGTAATCTCATTATATTCAACCAAAGTTAAACAACTTTCACATTGATATATTTCATTATCTTATCGCCATTTCACACAACCTTTGCAAATAGGACATGTATATTAAAAAAGTATTGAATAGATTTTAACTGTATCCACTTTATATTTTCTTAATTTTCTATCTATAGTGTATGGTTTTATATCATTCAATTAAGAATATGGCAAAATATTAAAGGTTTTTAATCTTCTTAATAAAGAGAATAAAGTAATTTATTAATTTTCCATTGTTATTAAATCGTATTGCACTATTTTCTAATCTTCTATAAAACCTTTAAATGAATTTTAGATTACTCTATTCTATTTCTATAAGTTTGTAAAACTAATTTTTTAGCCTAATACATAATTAGCTATTTGTGATTAATTATTATATTATAAATCAATCTCACAAGGTGAATGTGTAACATCATCAATAATACCTAAATTTAATATCTTTTTTTGATCTGTATTAATTTTGTATATATAACCTACTAAAGTGCATATTTTTAAATTAAGTAATTTTTATTTGATTTTACATAGCATAGTTCCCTCTAATTTAAATTCTTCTTAAGAAAAATAATCATTTAAATAGATAATAAAAGGGTTTGTGATATATTTATCAGATTTTTCTATTTCAATTTATTATTTCGGATTTTTATCAAATATTACCGATTTATTCTTTTCTATTTCTAAAATGTCTTGTCTATCGCAATAAATCCTAGATAAAGTAGTAAGTAAGCCACAAAATTGATTATTCAAACTACCTACTTGCACTTTTGTAAATTCATATTTAAACCCTATCTATAGATCCATTTTTTGTATTTATATGAAACCATATAACTTAAATTAGTCTTTCTCAATTGATATTGTTATTATGATTAAATTAATTTAGTTCCATTTTTAGTGTTCTATGGCAATAACTTTCCCTTCAATCGAAATTAATTGATCTGGAGACTTATTAACTAAATTTTTTATAAATTACATTAATATAATAAAATGAGATGTATATATTATTAAGAAAAACATTATGATTATCCTTCAAACTATATCTTACAAATAAATTAATTTTGATGGCTATATATATTTGATTGATCTCTTCAAAGCATTCATAATTAAATTATCAATGGATTTTTTAACTCGATTCAAGGGTAGAACCTAAACCATGAATAAGAAGGATGGTATTACTGGAATAATAAAATCAAATGGGAATCCTATAGAGAAATTACCTACATTTTAGAGTTTTAGTTCATTGCTTGCTACAACGGCATCACACACAATCTCTGATTCTGAGAAACAGTCCCTCTATTCTTATGATTTTACACCAAAGAGCAAGGATCCTAAGATAATTACAAACATTAGCACATTTCATAATAGAAAATCATCTTTAGCATCTCCTCCAACAGCAAGCACTAATCATAATATGTCAAAATCATAAATAGAACTTAATAATAATTAATAACAAACTTTGTCAAAGACAGGCTCAACAAATTTTAATTTGAATGATTACTAGTTGATTATCATACCTAAAGAGGCATTATGTAAGTTAATCATTTTCATAATTAGGTCATTATAAATTGGAAAATACTGAATACAATTTTTAAAACAAAGAGCCTTAATAATAAATTTAATAAAGATACTAATGCTCTAAATCTCAATCATTGGATACATAAAAAGATAAGCCTATGATAAAATCTTAAATACTCAGTCAGGGATCTTATTCAAAATAAAATGATAAGAAAAAAAGTATGATATAAGCAGGTTTGAATACAATTCAATACTGAGACAAATTATCACTTAATTAATATTTATATATTAAAATAAAGCAACTCATAAAGGAAATTTAAATAATTTTAATTTTTCTCATTTTAACAGCTATGACTTTTCAAGATTAAGCAGAGAAAATATTTGGAAGCCTGTAAAAAGCTTTAAAACGATTAGAGTTAGAATTGGAATACAACTTTGAAATAATTTTGACCAAATAAAAACCTTATTAGGAATCTTTGGGGTTGATAGCAGAATTAGAATAATTAGTAATGATCAGAAATTCTGAGATTGAAGTAGGAGGTTATCAAGAGATGTCTCAATCAGTATCATTAGATGATTAAGATCATCATCTTTTGATGACTTAGTTGAAAGATAACATAAATTTGGTGAATGATTACAAATAACAAATTTAAGAAGTATGACAATAATATAATAGTATAGATTAGACGTTAAAATTAGCTCATAAATAAATTAGTTAAAGAGCAATCCCATACTAGCTCATAAAATCAGTCCTTTGAATATGATTAAGAAAATGATTATGAATTTAATTCAAATTTCATATAAAAAAGATAATAGAAGAATGCAGAGAGAGTAAAGGAAATAGAGAAGAAAATTAAGGAAAAGCAAAAAAATTTATGCAAAATGTAAAAAAAGATTAAAGGTAAGGAGAAAGATTATGATTATCGATTGCTTAATTAAATTGAAAGATTGGATTCTGAAATAGAGAAAATAACACATTAAATAAAATCATTAATTGATTGATGAATTATAACATTTTTTTCTTATAAGTTATAAAAATTATAAAAATAGTATAATAATTTGTAAAAATATTATTTGAAAATGAGTATAAAATTTAAATAAATATATAAAACAAATAAAAAAACAATGAAAAAAACAAATTTCAATCTCAGTTCTCATGCATGCTATTCATAGGCTCTAAAAATTGGCAATTATCCCATTTAATCGTATTGATAATAGTAGTATTATCCAAGTGAATATTATTTTATTTATCATAAACTCTTCAATTTTACTGTAAATATTTATTTTTTTTGGTCATATTATTCTATTTATACCCAAGCTATACTTTTAGTTTATTGAAATATTTGCATAAAACAAATTCTTCATAATTAACAAGTAAACATATCATATTAATTAAGACAGGATATCATAAATCTTTCAACAATTTTCATCTTAAAACCTTTTTATGTAAGTCAATCAAGTTGAATACTGATTGAACTTAAAGATATCTATCCTTAGCAATAAAGTATCTATTACCAATCTCAACTTAAGGTGTTAAGTCAGAATACGCATCTTTTGCAACCGAATCATATTGGCATTATTAAGTTGAATTTTTAATCAAAGCATCTGGTAGAGTACTAGCAACCTTTTATATTGACTAAGAATTGGAATAATATATATGCAACTTATCATATTAATTCATAACAACATAAGCTTTTTTGATTCAAACAACTCTCTGTAAAAAATGAAGAATTTATAATTTAGATATTACTCAATTTTACACAAATATTATTTGAACAATTTCATTTGTTTTTTACTAAATTTATAAAACTTTCTTGATCTAAACTTTTACATACTCTAGCAGTTGTTTAGACAATCTCATCCAAACTTGTACGAACAAAACTTTAATTCCACTCATATAAGAAAGTCTCAGAAGCAAAGATGCAATAAGTGGATTTATTTAAAAAATAATAGATGAGGAAAAATATCATTTTCATATAATTATGTAGTAATCGAGCATCCTGGAGTGAATCATAGTTTTCCAAAATTACTTTTTTTACAGAATTTGATTACAAGTACATACTTTAGTCTCGTAATCTATACATCTAGGAGTTCATAAAAACTATTTAAAAGCAATCATCTTAATTTCTTAGAATAATTTATTCTTATGCTATTGCAGAAAATTCCATTCTTCCTACAATATATAGAGATATAAAAATGATGAATTTATTAAAGTTGCTTAAATTTCAATATAAATATAAATAGTCAATATTAACGAAAAGTAAAATGTAATATTAAACAAACTAGAATTAAAATCATAGTAATTACAAAAAAATTTACAAATCATTAGATATACACTTGTGAATTAATTGAATCTAGGCTACTAATAGTATTCTGGGTTGATTCTTTAGATTTTTTTATTTTGACTGAAGATGATGAACTCTCTTATTAGTAAAGTTTTTGAAATTTCTTAATTATATGTGAATCATCTTTTTTAATCTTTCTCCTAATTGGATTAATTTGATTTTATTTATGATTAGTCTTATAAGATGTTTTTTCCTCGTTTTCAGATATTGGAATGTTCAGAAAATCTAAAAAAGGTATGTTTTACAACTATTTTCTTTTGTCTTTTACTAAAATCTCAAAGTAGGATTATTTATAAATGTCCTCTAAATCTCCATTAAGCTCTAGAAATTGTCTTTTCAATTTATATATTATATCATTTCTTGAACATCTTATACAACTGCATAGACCCTTAATAATATTGATTATATAGTACTTTGCACAAAGGACAAATCCATAAATAAGAAGTTGAATCATAAGAATCAAAATCATATTTTAAACATTTTAAACAAAAGTATCTTTGACACAAGATTTATTAATCTAAGATTATGACATTTAAATACCTTCGATAATATAATTTTCAGAGTACAAATCTAGAAAATATTACTGCGTTTATTTGGCATTAATTTAATATCTTTAGCAAATCAATAAATCCTCGTTGTATTCATGTAAACCCATAGAATAATGATTATACTGACATTATTTAAGATTTTTGATCTCGACCATCTGTTTGCAATAATGGCACATTTACATTTCAAAAATATCCTTGAATTAGACAATTTGAATTACATCAGACCTAAGTTAACATGGTTGAGTAGCTAAATCATATGGTTATTCTCGCAATCTTTGGAGATTACCAAAATCTTCTAAACTAATAGAAATTGGAGTTTGACTCAGATACTTATCAAAAATTACATTAATTGTATTATCTAATAAAGATCATTAATGATAAATACTGTTATCATTGAAGGTTGCTTTCCCAACACTTTCAGCTACTTAACAATCTTGCAATGAAATGATATGTTATTTTAGTAAACTTAATTCATTTTGATGATTTGCCATCCTCCATCTTGTCAATTTCAATTTGTGTTCTCCAATTTGTTAACTATTGTAAGCATACAATACTGTTAAGTTTATCTAATTTGTATATTATTCTAAACTAATATGAATTGAACTTTTAAATACTTCTAAAATTCATATTTATTATTGTTTTCCAATTCTTAAAGTTGTTTTTAATATTTCTCTATTTCGATACTTAATGCATCAGGGCAATCAATTTAATACATTAAATTTGATAATAAATTTGCTTCTTGATTATAAATTTATAGTTGTTATGATTCTTGAAAGTGAGAGATATTCTTTATCAACTTTTAGGCTTCTTGCAATCCAGCTGTCAAATGAGTAAAACAAATTTAATCTATCATTTCATCCATTAAATTTTAAATTGGTTCTTGTGATTGTTGTCTTTAGAGAAAAAGCAATTATACTCTTGTTTTTAAATTATTTATGTTTGTTTAGAATAGCTTAGTTCGATTGTTCTATCTAACAATCTTCTTTAAGATATTTAGACTTTTTGATTTTTAACATTTGCCAGCTACTCTAATGGATAATAAGAATACATTTTCTATTATGAATATCGATATCTGTCATTTGAACTGGAGTTTGAACAATGAAATATTATTCATTTATCTCTCTCCAAAACCTGGAAGTGAAGATTGATTCTTCATTTTTATCCATTTGCAAAATTTTTATATATCGGATTGAAAATAATTAATTAATATGTAAATTGGTTGGAAAAATAAACATTTAGACATGAGTAGTCTTAAATAAAAAGAAACCAAAAAAAAATAATACTAATTCAATTTTAGAATGCAGCTAATTATCCTTTATTTTAGAGTTCTCTCTCTTTTTCTTTTTCTGCATCAATGACTGATTGATCTCTCCAATCATATCCAACTTCTTTAAGAATGAGACCCAAAATTATTCCAATAACATTTAATGCAAAACAAATCCAAAAAACTCCTTCCCATTTAATTTTTTTTCTAGCAAAAGCATATAAGATGTATCCAATCATATTTGATACACCAACAAAGAAAAACATAAATCCATACATTAGACCTCCAATCTTCTTTCCATAGATTTTTGCACAAATAACTGGATAAGTAGCCAATAATCCTCCTTCTGCAAGATAGACAACAGCAATCAATAAGAGATAGCCTATTCCATCTGTATTGTATGGTAAAATAGCAGTTGTAATTAGATTAAGAATTGATATGAGTGTAAATGTAAATTTATATGAAGTCTTATCTGTTAAAGTAGCCCAAAAGAATCTAGATGATCCATTCATTACTCCTGCAACAGAACCTGTAGCTGTTAATGTAGCATCATCAATTCCCAATTCTAATCCATAATATTTGTAGCAATTAGATATTAACATACCAAAAGTGCAAGACATCAAAACAATTAATTATAGAATTACAAAAGATGGATGTTTCATTCCTCGAGAACTAAATAATAAATATTATATCTTACACTTCAACACATTCTTTATGAGCAGGTAAAACTGGAGGAGGAGGAGCAGCAGCACCTTCTTTTCTTTTTTTTATTTCTTCTGCTTCTAATGTAGCTAACATTTTATCAGGGTCTATTTCTTATGGGAATCTAATCATAATTGTAGCTATAATGCCCAATCCTAGATAACTTGCTGCAAGAACTTGTAACATTAATGGCACTTTATCTCCTACTTCATTGTCAAAGTATTTCACATCTTTTCCATCTTCTACTTCTATTACAGTAGGCTTTAAATTATTTGGATTTGCTATCGCTTTACATACAAAATTGAATATAAATGATCCAAATCCATATCCACCAATTGTCATTCCTGATACTAATCCTCTTCTATTTGGAAAGTATCTCCATCCACAAATTATTGGAAGCATATACAATAAACCTCCAGAAATGCCAACCATTATACAATAAACTGCTATAAATCCTCCTATTTCTTATATAAAAGATATAATCAAGAAAGCTAGTGCTATTGTAAAAGATCCTATTCCTATTGTAATCTTAAATCCAATTTTTTCAGCAATCTTTATACCAAATGAAAGGACTGACATTGTTATTACTCCCAAGATTGGAAATATTATTGCCATGAAATTTAGTGTCACTCCTTTATCTTTTTCTCTCATCCATGCTGCTACATAAGGACCTGAAAAAATTATTATTTTTATTTATTACTAATTGATCCCCAAACATAAAATGTTCCCAATTCTAAATGTAAAATTACACCTCCTATTAATGAGATTATTCCCCTTTTTGTAAAGTTCCTCATTTCTTCTTCTGTATAAAGCTCCTTATTACAATTTATCTGAATGTCTGTCTTCATAGGACTGCTTTAATCACTCATTTTATGTAGTAATTTGTTTTATTCATTCCCTCCATGCACTGTGACCAATCCAGTCAAGTTATTTTATGCATTTGATGAAGCATCTTATTACTCCATTTTTTTTATAATGTTTTATTTAAAAAAAATATATCTTATTGCTAATTATTATAAAACCTCATAAACTCTAATATCATTATACAAACTAATAGTATGTCATTTGAAAATGATGCACTTTTATTCTAAATTATTATAAAAATTAACTATTTTTATAAAAATTTTATAATATTTAAATTGTTATCATCATTTCAAGTATACTTTTCATCAATCCAAAACCATTTCGAATTCAACATTTATAAACTAGATACCTTAGTTAACACTTTATCACTACTTATACATGACTCCTCTATTTCTATCATCTCAAAAAAATACCTTTTTTGTAAAAATTACTGAATTTCAACTCTAGAAAATGCAACTGTTTATATTTATCTAATTTTTTTCACAAATCTTCATTAAATTAGAAGAAACAAACAAGATATTTTCAAAATTTTATTATAATTTTTATAGTTCATTTATTATTGTAATTAGTGTTATTAATTTTTTGGTTAAAACACAATAATACTTTTTTTCATTAATATTGTCAAATATCATATAAACTTATATTTTCTAATTTAACAATATATAGATATTTTTCATTTATAGAGAGTTAGATTAGTATATTAATTACAGTAAATTCAATATGAAAATGGTTTAATCATATTTCTTTCATTAACGTGTTTTTAATTAAATGGGATGAGTTAGTTTAGAAATACTAATATTAAAAAGCATTATAATTTATCTTTGTAAAACACACACTATTGATAAGAGATTCAGTAAATAAGAAAAAAAAATTGTGCAAGACGCAAGTTATAATGATTTCATATTACAGATTATTAATAAATTTTTAAAAATTTAATTTGATTTTATTTAATTATAGGGAATTTTGATTATATAGGAAAATAATTATATAAAATTCTAATATTATAAAAAAGTAAAGCATTTGAGTGTTTAGGGAAATTGAATATTTATAAAAGAACTGCGAAACCTAATGTGAAGTAGTAAAATATGTAAAAAAATAAAGATTTGTACAAATGCATGAAGGTTAAATAATTTTGTAATAATTTGAATTATTATCTAATTTTTCATCTTCTTCTTCTTCTATGACTCAAACTTGGACTTCTTGAAGGGGATTTTGAAATTGATCTTCTTTTGTAATGTCGTCGACGACTAGAAATATTTATTGAAATGAAACACCTATGATGTCTTCTACGACTACTAGAATAAGAGTCAGATGATATAGATCTTCTTCTTCTATGTGATCTAGATCTAGATCGACGATATGCATAGCCAGCATATCTACCTGGGGTTTTTCTTCTTGGCTCTGCTCTTTTAGAAACTTCCACTTTAATTTTTGATCCATGTAATTCTTTGTCTTGCGTAGACTCTAGGGCAATTTGGACACTTTCTTTTTTGGTAAATTTGACAAATCCGAAACCTCTAGATACTTTGCCAGGACTAAGATAAATTAGGGATAAATTGATTACTACCCCTTGCTTCGGGGCTCCATACAGACAGTGGCATATTCAATTTGGCCATACTTCTCGAAGGTTTCTTTCAACTCGGCATCGGTAACTCGCTTGGACAAATTGGAGACATGGAGGCATAATTTTTCTATATGTTGATAATGTTGAAGTAGTTGATAGTGAGGTATTTTGAATGTTGATATATGATGATGTGTGATTAACCTTAATTTGGATGTGAATTTGATTTCGATTTTGGACTTGGACTCTGATGTTAACTCTTGGATGGGCTACTTCCTATAAAGTAGAAACACATAAATTACGACTGGATTTAGATGATTTGGACATCACTCAATAATAATAATTATTTATATATAAATAAGTTATTTCATATTTCAATTATTTCACGTAGAACTAACTCTATTTAAACAAATCAAAGTTACCACACTGATTCCATTACAAACATATTTAGTAACCTTTTAAATGATAATTTAAACTAAATAATTTATTTTATCAATTACCTATTATGCTTCTTAGATTTCATTATTTTATTCCTCTTTTGTTTGAATCCATAATATTTATTAAAATTAAATTTATATTATTTCTATTAAGGTTTTATGTTTCATCTAGAAATAAATTTTTAAAACTCATCATGACATACTAGATTTTGTAACGAAGACATAAATTTAGGTATTTATAAGTATTTTCTACTTGTAAATGATAAATTTAAGAATCCTATGAAAATATTTCATATGATTGATAATTTAGAAAAAATATTGAAGTATAATTAAGATGAAAAATATTCATTTTAAAAAAGTATATATTTATTATTCATCTATGAATAAAAAACATATTTTTATTTATTAATCTAATTCCAGAATTTTAATAGTCACTCTTATTTATATTTCTATATTTAATATAATATCATCCTCAAAATAGAGAAGATGAATAATATAAAATAAAATAAATAATTTAATTAGTGAATAGTGGTATTATTATTTTAATTCTATAATTAATTTAATAAAAAAGTAAAGATTTACTGAATATTATTTTGTGCAATATGATTTGAAATTAAAATGAAATTTTTATATAAAGAAATTCTAAATGTCATTCATCTCATCACTCTTCTAGGTCTTTTAAGGTGTAATGTTTAACAATTTATTAATTACATTATTCTTAAGATGAATTTTTAAATTTTTTATGAATATTTTACAAAATAAATGTGCTTTTAAGACGAATATTCTCTTTTGTTTTATTAATCTAAATCTCTTTATTATAAATTTTATTGACATTTTGTTGAGAATTAGAATCAGGTTAATTAATAATAGACAGTTAATTATTTTATATTTCTTGATGAAATGAATTTTAATTAGATTTTGGATTTAAATCTAAAATAGTAAATTTTTTTGTTTCTTGAGCTGATTTATTGTGCTATACTGGAATTAATTTTGATTTGCATGAGATATTAACAAATTAACTTCTTGCTTATGCAGAAAGTGGTCTTATTTAAATATTTGATTAATATGTATTTGAGTGTTTTTATAATTTGATTTTTAATTATGAATTTTTTTCAACTGAAAGAGAACATTTTTGATCTTCACTAGAAGATTTAATATCAAAATCTTCAACAATTAGTTTAATGTTATTTTGTTGAAATTATTATATGGGTTTTTGTAAGAGATATTCATTATCATTTGATTCTAATTAAATTTATTTTTAGTTCAAAGACTTATCAATTCTATTAAATTTTTATTCTTCTTTTTATAGAAATAAGTGTTATTTTTATTTTTCTATTTTTGCTTGTTCATAATTTTCAATTTTCATCTATCTTTCCTGTTATAATTTTTCTCTTTCAAATTTTTCTTTTTCTAATTTCTCTTATTATTTTTGAATTATTTTAAAATGTTATTAAGCTTTAAGTATTTTATCAGATTCCAACTATTTTTAACTTTGATTAATTTATTCATAATTCTAAAGATTATCAGAATTACTGTCTTCTTATAAAATAGATCTCTTTATTTTATTAATTTTATCGATTTCTAATATATTTGAAGTGGTAATTTATTGATTGGGATTGCCAGTCGAAGGTCTAGAGAAATGCTTTAAATTTTTGATTGGAATAGATTAAGAGTGAGCTTAAGTTTAGCTTGTTTTATATTAAAATTAGATACTTTGTTTATTATTAACATTATTATTAAAAGAATAGATTATTAATTTATGATATGGTTGGTCTATGCTATGGGTTTTTTTCTAATAATTTAGAAATGAATTAGGATAATTCTTAAAGATAGGTTTAAGTAATTTACAATTAGTATATTATGAAGGTAAATGTTTTGGTGGATGGTTTACAATACTATAACCTAAAGCTATTAGATTATCTCCTTAAAATGGTGGTTCATGAGTAGCTAGCTAAAATATAATACAACCAAGAGCCCAAACATCTACTTTATAATCATAAGGCTCATGTTAAACAAGCTCTGGTGCTAGATATAATGGAGTACCAACACGAGTTCCATTTAAGGCAATTTCAGAATTAAATATTTTAGAAACTCCTAAATCACCTAATTTCACATGTTTATCTTTAGTCAGAAAAACATTGAGACTCTTTATATCTCTATGAATTATATTATTATCATGTAAATGTTATATAGCTTGAGTTAGTTCTTTACTAATTTTCCAGATAGTAGTTTCTTTAAAGCTTTTTCTTTTTTCCTTATATTCTTTGAGTAACTAATTAATATTATTATGTACTTTCTAAAGATCACCTCCTTCTGCATATTCCATAATAATACAAAGATTGTCTTATTCAATGAAACTTACATAATATGTAATAATATTTGGATGTTTTAGTTTGCGTAGAAGTTATGCTTCTTTTAATGCTTCAGCTTAAAATCTGAAATCATCATACCTTAATGTTTTGGTTTAAGATGAGTCAGATTAATCTTCTTTAAGACATAGATCAGTCCATCTTATGTAGATTTGACCTTATAGACTACACCAAATGAACCCTTGCCTAATTCACTTAAGATGACAAAATGAGAAAGATTACTTCCAATTAATTAATATTAACGACCTAGTTCAACTCAATGTGAATTACTATCAAGCTCGTATAATTATTGAATTTCATTAGAGTCTAAATTTATTGGTATTTTGGCAGTTGTAGGTCTTTATTTCATATTATATAAATATTAAAGTAGAATTGTCTTAGTAACAATTTGTAAAATAAAACAAATATTAAAAAATGAAAAAAAACATTTCCATTAACAGATATTTATTAATGAAATTGAAATTACACAATAAATTAATCAGTTTGACATAATATAAATTATTTTATGAATATAGATCCTATAACATATCCAAAACAATATGTTATTCTTTAAGATTTTCATCAGAATATTTTAATCAAATACTTAACTTCCTTTGTTATAATCTTAAATATAAATCTTTTATTTTTCCTATAAACTAATGTTATTAATACTAATCATAATTTACTCTAAATATATATTCTTGTGTAAATAACTCTATAAAAACAAAAATTTCATTAATTATCTAAATTTAATAAGTAGAAGGTATTTAATCTATTTCAATAATATATTATTTCGATTGACAATATCTGTGCATCAAGGNCTCTATGAATTATATTATTATCATGTAAATGTTATATAGCTTGAGTTAGTTCTTTACTAATTTTCCAGATAGTAGTTTCTTTAAAGCTTTTTCTTTTTTCCTTATATTCTTTGAGTAACTAATTAATATTATTATGTACTTTCTAAAGATCACCTCCTTCTGCATATTCCATAATAATACAAAGATTGTCTTATTCAATGAAACTTACATAATATGTAATAATATTTGGATGTTTTAGTTTGCGTAGAAGTTATGCTTCTTTTAATGCTTCAGCTTAAAATCTGAAATCATCATACCTTAATGTTTTGGTTTAAGATGAGTCAGATTAATCTTCTTTAAGACATAGATCAGTCCATCTTATGTAGATTTGACCTTATAGACTACACCAAATGAACCCTTGCCTAATTCACTTAAGATGACAAAATGAGAAAGATTACTTCCAATTAATTAATATTAACGACCTAGTTCAACTCAATGTGAATTACTATCAAGCTCGTATAATTATTGAATTTCATTAGAGTCTAAATTTATTGGTATTTTGGCAGTTGTAGGTCTTTATTTCATATTATATAAATATTAAAGTAGAATTGTCTTAGTAACAATTTGTAAAATAAAACAAATATTAAAAAATGAAAAAAAACATTTCCATTAACAGATATTTATTAATGAAATTGAAATTACACAATAAATTAATCAGTTTGACATAATATAAATTATTTTATGAATATAGATCCTATAACATATCCAAAACAATATGTTATTCTTTAAGATTTTCATCAGAATATTTTAATCAAATACTTAACTTCCTTTGTTATAATCTTAAATATAAATCTTTTATTTTTCCTATAAACTAATGTTATTAATACTAATCATAATTTACTCTAAATATATATTCTTGTGTAAATAACTCTATAAAAACAAAAATTTCATTAATTATCTAAATTTAATAAGTAGAAGGTATTTAATCTATTTCAATAATATATTATTTCGATTGACAATATCTGTGCATCAAGGTACAGATGGTTCTAACTTGTATTCTGAAGAAAACTAAAAAAAAATAGAATTGATATTAACTAATATGGGTCTTAAGTTTTTTGGTATTTTACTAATTTGCTGTGACTTTTCCGAGTGATAATAAAGATTTATTAAGAAGCCTGTTATTATTTATAATTTTATATTTAAAACTTATACCTAGAAAAGGAATGCTCTTATATTTAAAATACAAGAAAAAACATACTAATTAATAATTTTATCCAATCAAAATAGTTGCTTTTTGAAATAGATTTTTTTGATATTTTAAATTAATTTTTTAGAATTCTTACTAACATTTTAAATTTAAACATTAATTTGAGTGAAATTTTTTCCAAATCGAATATTTTTTTTCAATTCAAAATTTAGAATTTATCAGTCTTAGAAAAACAATTAAATTCTTTAAAACTGACCTATTTACCAATTGTAATCTATTTAGTTAATTAAATTGAACAATTATTAAGCCAATCAGCTACTAGGAGAACATTGTATGGATTGAATTTTGTAAGGTTGCTATCTTACAAAACTTTTATCCACATGCGATAAATTTTTAAGGATTAAACAACCTATTTAAATAAGTAAGGTCTACAGATATATTTATTCTTTTATTTGAGAAAACTTAATAGAAGTAGAGTGTTTATGAAAAAAAACATAATATCTTATCAAAATTAAACAATCATAGATAAAAATGATATAATTTAATCTAATTAGTTACCTATTTTATTATGGCAAAAAATTCGATAGTTAACTAATACTATATTTTTTTGATATTGAAGTAGAGGCATATTGGAGATAAATGCATGTTAGAATTAATATCATATAGTATTTCAATTCATTGAATTAAGCTTGACTCCAAGAATATAATTAACATTCTTTATTTGCCTGCTCTCTTTATAAACATCAAAATAAATATTGATTTTTTGTATTTTTTAATACTTGCTTTTTAATCATTTATAATCATTTAAAATAAAAATATAAATATCATAATTCGATTTGCATAAACTTAGCATATTAGTGCAATCCAAAATACAAATAAGAAATTTTCAAGATCACAATTATTATAACAGTATACATAAAATATAGTATCCAAATAGTTTAAGCAAGTTGACCTTCTTTTTGTAAATCTTTTATAGATATCTTATTTATTCTCTTAATTTTAATAAGATGTTAATTTAGTTAATTCTTCTTGAAAATTGTAATAATAAATTTATACTAATTAGCCGACAGTATAAAGGAGTATTAATAAATAAATGTGATAATATATGTATCGATTTAAGTTTTTATTACTTCTGAAAAACAATACTATTAATTAGATGGTGTAGGAGGCTGTGAAAATCATATAAAAAATCAAGGATATTTCAGTAGATTAGTAAACCATTTTAATAGATTGAGCAGAATAATCATTTACTAATTTATAAGAGTAGAAGCTGTCGTGTAGTAAAATCTCTTAGATTGAATATTTCAATCGATTAAATTAAAGTATTATTGTGATGTGATGTAGTGCAATTAAAAGTTATTTTAAGTTTAACATTTTTAATTAAATGAAATAACCATTTATAAATCACAATTATAGGGTATAATTTAAGCATCCAATAAATATCCAATAAGAAGGTCTCATATAAGAAATAATATCTTGTCGTATTTCAGTATTCAAAACTGTGTTATTTGGCTTTCTGTCCTTAATTACTTGTGGGTTATTGTATTTAGTTACAAGATGGGACTTAAGAATTTTCCTTTTTTTCCGTGCAAAGAAGTGTGTTCCAAAATCCGCTACTCATTTTTTAATAATAGGATAAGGTAAGTGTTTTTGTAAATTCTTTATAGACAAATCTTAAACCTTGGTTAAATCAAATTGTTCTAAAGATGGAAGTCTTTTTATTGAATATAGATTATATAGGTACACTTATAGTGAATGTGGATTTGATCCAATAGAAACAAAATATCAGAACATGATATAATAAGAAATACGATAATAATCAATAAATAGGAACTAATAGCTTGAGATATTTGGATAAAACAATACAGAAATACCAGACAAAGGAATTTTAAAAACGTTAATTGAAGAAGTCTTGAGTCCATTTTACATTTTCTAAGTATAAGTAATTGAAATAATAGTTTTGTTCGGTTTTATTGTGGTTTTGGGCATCATATCAGCGATATGCAACAGTAATTTTACTCACATCACTTATTTCAATATTTATAACACTTTATGAATAAAGAAAGAGTTTCTATCGCTTATAATAATTATCTAAATTTAATATTCCAATTCAAATATTAGATGAAGGTGAGGTTAAAGAAATAGAATCNTAATCATTTATAATCATTTAAAATAAAAATATAAATATCATAATTCGATTTGCATAAACTTAGCATATTAGTGCAATCCAAAATACAAATAAGAAATTTTCAAGATCACAATTATTATAACAGTATACATAAAATATAGTATCCAAATAGTTTAAGCAAGTTGACCTTCTTTTTGTAAATCTTTTATAGATATCTTATTTATTCTCTTAATTTTAATAAGATGTTAATTTAGTTAATTCTTCTTGAAAATTGTAATAATAAATTTATACTAATTAGCCGACAGTATAAAGGAGTATTAATAAATAAATGTGATAATATATGTATCGATTTAAGTTTTTATTACTTCTGAAAAACAATACTATTAATTAGATGGTGTAGGAGGCTGTGAAAATCATATAAAAAATCAAGGATATTTCAGTAGATTAGTAAACCATTTTAATAGATTGAGCAGAATAATCATTTACTAATTTATAAGAGTAGAAGCTGTCGTGTAGTAAAATCTCTTAGATTGAATATTTCAATCGATTAAATTAAAGTATTATTGTGATGTGATGTAGTGCAATTAAAAGTTATTTTAAGTTTAACATTTTTAATTAAATGAAATAACCATTTATAAATCACAATTATAGGGTATAATTTAAGCATCCAATAAATATCCAATAAGAAGGTCTCATATAAGAAATAATATCTTGTCGTATTTCAGTATTCAAAACTGTGTTATTTGGCTTTCTGTCCTTAATTACTTGTGGGTTATTGTATTTAGTTACAAGATGGGACTTAAGAATTTTCCTTTTTTTCCGTGCAAAGAAGTGTGTTCCAAAATCCGCTACTCATTTTTTAATAATAGGATAAGGTAAGTGTTTTTGTAAATTCTTTATAGACAAATCTTAAACCTTGGTTAAATCAAATTGTTCTAAAGATGGAAGTCTTTTTATTGAATATAGATTATATAGGTACACTTATAGTGAATGTGGATTTGATCCAATAGAAACAAAATATCAGAACATGATATAATAAGAAATACGATAATAATCAATAAATAGGAACTAATAGCTTGAGATATTTGGATAAAACAATACAGAAATACCAGACAAAGGAATTTTAAAAACGTTAATTGAAGAAGTCTTGAGTCCATTTTACATTTTCTAAGTATAAGTAATTGAAATAATAGTTTTGTTCGGTTTTATTGTGGTTTTGGGCATCATATCAGCGATATGCAACAGTAATTTTACTCACATCACTTATTTCAATATTTATAACACTTTATGAATAAAGAAAGAGTTTCTATCGCTTATAATAATTATCTAAATTTAATATTCCAATTCAAATATTAGATGAAGGTGAGGTTAAAGAAATAGAATCAATAAATTTGGTACCTGGTGATAAATTGATTATAAAGGATGGAATGATAATGCCATGTGATGCTATATTATTAAATGGTTAGGTCATATTTAATGAAGCTATGTTAACAGGAGAATCAATACCAGTTTTAAAAACAGAGCTTCCTATTAATAAAGAAATATATGATCCTTAAGATTCAGGCAAATAATTTACTTTATTTGCAGGAACAACTTGTATGGAGATAAAAGGATCTGAAGTAATAGCATTAGTAACTCAAACAGCGTTTAATACTTAGAAAGGATAATTAATTAGATCGATAATGTTTCCAGTTTAGAATTCATTTAAATTCTATGCTGATTCAATGAAATTTGTAGGAATTATGGCTATTTTAGCAGTGATAGGATTTATAATAACAGTACCAAATAAAATAGAATATTTAATGGATGATTCAATATCAACATGGGAATTTATAAATGAAGGTTTAGATTTAATAACAATAACAGTTCCACCAGCATTACCTACATGTTTATAAATTGGTATAAGTATAGCATTGGCAAGATTAAAGAATTCTAAAATATTTTGTATATCACCTTAAAAGGTTAATATTAGTGGAAAAGTAACAATTATGTGTTTTGATAAAACAGGAACATTAACAGAAGAGGGTTTGGATATGTATGGAATTAGAATGATAGAGAATCAAAGATTTTCATAGATTGTAACATAAATAGATAATAATACTGATGTAAATTTTGTAAGAGGAATGGCTACTTGTCATGGATTATCATAAGTTAAAGGAAAATTAGTAGGCGATCCTTTAGAATTGAAAATGTTTGAATCTACAAATTGTGAATTAATTGAAGAAAAGGAAGGAATTATAAGAATTAGTAACAATGATAGGATCAATGTAGAAATTGTTAAGAGATTTGAATTCTCATCAAAATTATAAAGAATGTCAGTTATTATTAGAGAAAATGATCAATATTAAGTTTATATGAAAGGTTCTCCTGAGAAATTAAGATAATTGTGTAATAATGAGTCAATTCCATTTAATTTTCATTAAGTTTTAGATTTCTATGCAATTAATGGATTTAGAGTATTGGGAATGGCATAAAAATATATATCATAAATAGATATGGATCGAAATGACGTTGAATTAAATTTAAATTTTATTGGATTTATTATTATGGAAAACAAATTGAAACCGATTACAACTAAAATTATTCAATAGTTGAAAGATGCTCATATAAGATCTATTATGGTTACTGGTGATAATGTATTAACTGCTATTAGTGTAGCTAGATAATGTGGATTAATTGAAAATTAAAGAGTTTATTTAGGAGAATTAAGCGAAAAGAAATTTAATGGAAAATATTATGTATCTTGGAAAGATTTTGAATATAACTAAAATGAGTTAAATGAAGATACATTAGAACCATAATAAAAACTCATTAATAATCTTGATGAAATAGAAAAAGATGTAGATATTTAATAAGATTTTGAATACTTAAATTAAAGATCATTCTCTAAAAATTTAGTAAAAAATAAATCTTTGCTGGAAGATCCACCTCCTGTTACTATTTAACTTGATAATATTAGTGAAATTTATACTGACGGTGATTTCATGGAAGAACAACCATGGAAAGACCATGAGAATTATGTATTGGCTATCTCTGGTGGAGCATTTATGCATTTAAATAAATTTGGATCTTAAGCAACTCTAAATAATATTCTTGAAAAAACTATTGTGTATGCTAGAATGAGACCAGAAGAGAAAGCCAATCTAATTTAACAATTATAGAAACATAAATCATAACCTTTAGTTGGATTCTGTGGTGATGGTGCTAATGATTGTGGAGCCTTGAAAACTGCTGATGCAGGAATTTCATTATCATAAGCAGAAGCTTCTATTGCTGCACCATTTACAAGTCAAATCTAAGATATTTCATGTGTTCCTATTTTATTATCATAAGGTAGAGCAGCTTTAACTACTTCATTTTGCTGTTTCAAATTCATGGCACTTTATTCTATGATTCAATTCATTTAAGTTACAATTCTCTATCTTAAATAATCAAATTTAACTGATAACTAATATCTTTATAACGATCTATTTACTATATTCCCTTTGAGTATGACAATGGGATTAGTTTAAGCTGCTAAAATTAATAAATATGTGCCTGGATCTTCATTAATTAGTTATTCTGTTTTGGGATCTGTTATTGGACAAACTATTATATAATTAGCTTTTTAATTAGCAGTCTATTTATTGTTGCTCAAATAATCATGGTTTATATCTAATGAATAATTGAACGAAAATGATCTTAATGATGAAACAATGAAAGTTTGTTTTGAAAATACAACTTTGTTTATTTTTGGAAATTTCCAATATTTAATGATTGCCTTGGCTTATTCAAATGGAAAACCATTCCGAAAACCATTTTATACAAATCTATATTTTATAGGAAGTACTATCTTTCTATTCATTCTTGCAATTGTGTTCCTTCTTATGAGAATCGATTATATTGATGACATTATGGGAGTAAATTATGCTATTTTTATATTTTTAGTTCATTTTTTAGAGTTATGATGATCAATATATTATGCCTGTATCTTGGACTAGTTTACTAGGAATTATTGCTATAATAAATGCTACTATTACATTTATTTATGAAAAGGTTGTTGTTCCAAAATTGGTATTCAAAACGAAAGTGCAATCAATACAATTCTGAAATATTCATAATATTTATTAATGATTTAATAATCAAGCAATTCTTATCAAACTTATCAAGTGTAATTAAAGGATCAAATTACTATGCTTGAATTGAGAGCCTCAGAAATTAATCAAGACATTAAGAAAGTATAATAACATATCAATTTTAGAAAAGAAAAATTCAAGGAGGTTAAGATAGATAAAACAAATTAAAAAGTTTTCAAAATCAAATTGATAGAATCAAATAATTGTATGAGGATTTGCATTATTTAATTATAGATGTATAAAAAGTTTGTATTTTTTTATAGGATAAGAAATGGTAAAAATTATTGGCTCTTTTGGAGATTATGTATTCAAATTTAGATAATCCTGAACATGAAACAGAAATTAATTAAGTAAAAAGATGATTAATTCTTTAGATTATTAATTAATTGTACTAAAACAAAATAGTGCAAACTTTATGGAATGATCGAGTCTTGTAATCTAATAGATTAACAATTGAGCCTTTTGATTAAAAAGCTGCAACTCAATAAGCATAATTGGTAGATCAAAATTCTGCTGCATACAAAATTAAAATGATGGATTTTAGTTACAATGATAGACCTTAGAAAAATGATTATTATTAACCCCCAACTTTTAAGGAGAAATTAAATTTAAATAGTTTACTACCTAAATACAAAATGCTACCTCATTCTGTTTTCAGTTAATTATCATGTGATACATTATTTTATGTATTCTATTATCACAAAGAACCTACTGAATAATAAATGGCAGCAAGGGAATTAATTAAGAATTAATGGATTTACAATACTAAACATGGATTATGGATGAAGAAAGATAAACACTTTTAGTATGTAATACTTTAGTTATATAAATTATAGAAAGAGGAAGAAAATGAAAAAGTTCTTAAAGGACCTTTCTTGTATTTTGATTTTGAACTAAAATGGTAGCAGAAAAAAAAATAAGATTTTGCATTTAAGAAAAAACATATATTACAATAAGAATTAATTTAATGAGTTATGTTTTTATCTTAATAAAAGCTATTACATTTCTTTTATTCAAATATTCTTTTCTAAAAATTTTTCATAAAATATTTTTATATTTTAAAGACTTTTTTTTTAATAGAGAATAAACTTTGACCTTATTAAATAATGAATAGTTGTTGATACTTAAATTCTTTATATAAAATCTTATTTTTATCTCTGAAGTAGAATGCCATCTCTACATATATTGATAAATTACAATTGGTTTTAATATTATTTCCAATTCTAAATTTTTTAGATTTTTATAAAGAGTTAATAGATCTTACTTTAGAGCTTTATTTTTAGGGATAATAGATTATATATAAATGTTATTTTTAATGAAAATATATTTTAATATCATTTTTTATATAAATAACAAAAATAGAATAATTAAAATCACATATAAGATAGAGTAGCTGCTAGAACAAGTTTCTAATTTTTTTCTATTCTTTAAAAAGTTGGATGCTATTCATTTAGATATACTTTCAGAATAGTAATAGCTTTTTCAAAAGATAATTTGGCACTTTTAAATTTCATCCTATCTAAATATGCTAAGGCTAGATTATTCAAAACTAAGGCCAATCCAAAACTTAAAGACTCTCTAAAATAAATTAAGTTATTACCCATATAAACAAACAATCTATTCATAGAGTTCCATAGCATTTATACTATTTCCTTATAGATGATTAATTACGCCCTATAAATTGAGAATCTTAATAATGCTTTAATGTTTTTCGCCATATCTATTTAAAATTGATAATGTGATGTTTCTATTACAATTTAATGAATCCCTATTTGGATTAATCTAAATATTCTAAGGCAAAATCGTATTCTTTCTCTAGATAGAAGATGCATCCCAAAGTATAGTATGTTTCATAAATTCTTGGATCGGAATTATTCAATTTGTTTTACAATATGGATAAACCTTCATAACATATTTTCTTTGCATCAGCAAAATCGCCTGTTTTTTTAAATTATTTAGATTTACTTAATAAAGCATATACAAATGAGATTTTAACTAATAATTTAGCTATTTCCAATTTCCAATTCACTTATTCATATTAAATTAATGCTTTAGTATAATTATCTAAGGATTATAAATATTGATTATTAAGTAAGCAATATTATGCTTTTGATATGTATATTTGACATAATAAATCAAAATCATTAATTTCAAATTAACTTAAACATTTATCTAAACATCTAGAATTCAAAAATATCATAATAATACCTTAAAGCTTCATTAAATTATCCTAATTACTTAAATATTTGAGATGCATAACAAAGTGATTAAATACAAATTATTATTAATACTGAAATTTATTATTAATCTTAACATGATTTTAATTTCTCATTTCCTTCTTTATATACATCCATCATCTTTTCTACTGCTAATTTTGACTTTCCATCTCTTTAAAATAGTAATCCTTTTTGAATCTTTTGACTTAATATATTATCCTTTAAAGAATGTTTAAAACTGTTATTTTTGTTGTATTTTAAGGAAATTTGATCATCATCTGATTTTATACTCTTCTCCTCTTCCTAATCTTATATTGGAGTTTCATTTTGAGTAGGAGGAATTGTTAATTATTTTTTATTCATTTTGATACTAGAATATGAATGTGAAGATGTCAAAGAACCTTATTTATCATTATTCTCAATTATCTCAGAACTTTAACTAATCTATTATCTTAAAATAAATTATACTAAGTCTATAGGTTAGTGTTATTTAGAAAATAAATCATTTTTCTTTTGTTACAAAGGAGGTAAAGCAAACTTATGTTATTTTTTAATCACTATACTAACTTTAAACCCATTTTAGATCTTTTTCTGTAAAAACTATGCTGCCTAATCTATTCCTTCTTTTTCTTATTACAATTAATGGAAATCTAATATCTCAAACTCTTCCATTTTTTCAATAATTATTTTTATATTAATACAACCAATATTCATTTCAATTTAATCTTAAAGTTCAATTACATTTAGACAATTCATTTTGGTAATCAATTTTAACTTTTCTCTATAAATCATATATAATTTATAAAGGTTACATAATAAAATTTATGAAAAGAGATTTTGTAGATGGAATCAACAAATATAATTTGATAATAAAATTACCATCTAGACCATAAATTCACATATTAATAATAAACGTCATTCCATTTAAGATTTGTATAGAACTTTAATTAAAATTATATATGTTGATATTAATCAAGGGATATAATCTTTATGAAGAGATTACAATAACTCAATAGGATCGGTAAATTGAGCAAATTTATTTAATTTAAGATTTTAACTATTGTATTATCTAACATCTCTAACTGTTCTTAATGACATCAAATAATTTTATAGATAGAGTAATTCCTATAATAACAATAATAATATACTTAATCCATTTTATTATCATAATAGTTAATAATTGGAATTCCATTTAATGGTTAAATACAAAAAGAATATGCTGCATTATCCACTAAAACCATTTCATTTAATGATCTATTACCAATTACTCTTAAATCTTTAATGTATGCTCCTTCTTCAGTTTACATACAACTATCTCTAAAAAATCGATGAGCTATCACATTTTTATTTGGATCTAAATAATCAATGACTACATTTGCATAACAAGAATGAGATGCAGTAAATACTATAATCTCAAAATGCTTATTTAAAGTCTATAACACTTACTAAGCATATGGTCTAATGTTAATTGAAGCCTAAAATTAAGTTTAATATACCTCTATAATTTCACCAGATGGGAATTTAATTGGTAAAATTACATCTCCTGGAACTTGTATTGATTCATTGCAATGAATAAGTGTTTCATCCAAATCAAAAACAATTGTTTTCTTATTTGTGGAGGGTAAATTTATTTTTTTATCTTCAACATTTGAAATTATTTTTACAGATTTTTAGAATAAGGATGCTTACATTGTTTAAAGTAAATGTTCTCTTATTAATTCTATTGGCCTTGTTATTTCAGGTTGCATGTAACCTTTAATAATTGAAGATATATAATATAAAAATGAAGACTCTACTGTTTTTTCTTGAGAGTTTTTCCTTTTAAAATTTGTTTTAATTGAACTACCAGCCTTAGCAGAATCTGGTTTTAGATTTTTAAAATTATTTTTATTATCAGACACCGGAGCTTTAACTTAAGTAACAAAAGTTGATAAACTTGGTTTCTTAATTATTGTACCTTCAATAGAGGATTTGTATTCATTGCTATTATTAACTAGAGTACTTGATTTTAATTTATTCTGTTATTGAGATGCAAATTCTCTTAATTCTTTTTATTCTTTCAATTCCTTCTATCCTCTATTTGTGAAATCAATTTACACAGACTTTTAAACAGATGTAGAATTTTAATTATTTTAGGTGTTTTATGAGAAAAACTTTGATGCTATACTATTTTTAGATTATCTCTAACTATTATCTATATGAGATTTGATGGATGAGATTTTATTTTCAAGATAGAGGAGTTTATCTTACAATTTTTTATAATCTTAAGGTGTTTATTTTGATTTAGCTGATGGGTTTCTTTCTACATTTGAACGAATTTCAATATTTTCTTTTTAATCTTTACTACTAAAATATTTGGAATAAAAGTTTTGATTTTGTTTTTGTAATTAGATAGAACTTTTCATAGTCTATAAATTCTATTTTTATTGTAAATTAGATGAATTTGGTCTTTATAAGTCTTTACTTGATCTATTTCCTAAATTCTTTTCTGATAGTGGTCTTCTTATTTCAATCATATTCAAAAGCTGTTAAAAATTAAAATATTTATAGTAATAAATCACTTTTCAAAAATCATATTATTTCATCTATGGTTTTTTATTAGTAGAAAACCTCTTAAATGGAGATTAGAACTATTGTAATTATTTAGTTCCCATAATCAGTTTAGTCTTTAATTCTTTATATTTAGTAGCTCTAGACATCGCAGCTTATTCTTCTGTTAATGATAATTTATCCAATTCTTCCATTACCTATTATTATTATTATTTGATTTAAATACATCTCTATGTTAATATTCCAATTAATCATTAATTCTTTTAACTTAATCTAATTCATGATTTAATTCTTCTGTAGTCTCTAAACATTCCATATGCATTGATTTTAATTTCTCAATTTCATTTCTCTAATCAATTATTGTTTTTTCTTAATGTTTAACTGTCTGATCTAATTGAATCACTTATGCATTTAATTCCATACAAGTATCAGCCTCTTATTAATAATTTTTTTGATAAAGTAAACTCTCTTATTTAAATTTCTCTTTCTACTTATGTAATTCCTCTAAATCATTTTATAATTATGAAATATAATTCTATGCTTCTTAATACTGCATTCGTGTATACTTAAGATTTTCATTCTTTGATTTCAATTCATTGTTGATCTTTCTAATGCCATTTATATTTATACATTCTCTACATCAGCCTTATAAATAAGAGCCTACTTTTCAACATTATCAAATTCACTTTACAATTATGTAAATTACTTTTCTTTTTCATTCAATTTATCCAATACATCTTCATATGTATTATTCAATATTTCTCTATCATGTAACAATCTATTAATAAATATTTATAAATACTTACCTTTTTCTTTCATCTTTAGCTGCTTATAGCTCTGTTTCTAATCTTAGCTTTTCTTCATATAATTTTCTATTATTTTCTTACAATAAACCCATATCATTTTTAACTCTTGAATTCTCCTAGGATCTATGTTCAGTAATCTCTTTAAATGCTAAATTCTCTGCTTTCATTTCTTAATTTTCAATATGTTTTTCTGTTAACTAGGATTTCAAATTATCAATTTCATTTCTCAAATTAGCTATGGTCTTTAATGTCTAATCACTTCTATTTCTATATTCAACTTCATTTCTCATTTTTTCTTCATGTAACATATTATATCTACAGTTAAATGTTTATTACCTATGTTCTAACGATTTCAAATGTGTAGCCAATTCTTAATAATCTCGATCATTTTGCTTAAGTTCAAAGTTTTCAGCTTTTAATTATGATATCATTAAATCCTTTTGATCATTCTCAAATTTGGCAGGAGAATAGAATGGTTAATTTACAAAGTTTTTTTATGAATAAGACATTTTATATATAATATAAATCACTAAGTTATTCTAAAGTATAATCTAAATTTAATAAACACTAAGACATGTTATAAAACATTACCGTTTCAATATAACAATTAGAAAATACTCATACACAATAGATGGCCATAGCATATATGTTAATTGCCTACCTTTTTCATGCTATTTAAGCTACTTTTTATAAATGTGCTCATTCTACTATAGTACCCTAATTTATGTTTGTGACTTCATTTATTTCATTTATTGTTCTCTATTTTGTCTAACTTAATTAAAACATGTATCCAAAAGAATAGATGCCTCATATTATTAAATCTTAAGCATTGATTGGAATTGGAACATTATTCTATTTTTATGGAGTTAACTTTATATCTTTATCAGAAGCTGTTATTTTATTTTGTACAAATTCTATTTGGAGTTAGATTATGGTAAGTATTATGAATAAAGAAAGAATTACTAAATCAAGACTTTTCAATTCAATTTTATGTATAATTGGAGTTACTTTAATTGCCAATCCTTCAATCTAATCTTAAGATCCACTCTAACATGTTATAGGATGTGTTAGTATCTTAATTTGTAGTATTGTTCAATCCTATGCCTTTATTATTATGAAATAAATTGGAACTAAAATACCATCATCTGTTACTGTTACTTATTTTCATTTTATTATGCTTATACTTTCAAGCTTATAACAATAATTTATAGCTCAATTTGAATATTTTGATAATTACTTTTTCTTCTCTTTAGGATTCAGTATATTTACCCTATTAGCATAAGTGATCAAATTTAGAGCTTAAACTATGGTTACTTATGATAAGATTTGTAATTATTCCTATTCTCAAATGATTTATATTATCATTATTGACTATTTTGTTTTTCGATCTATATTGACTATTTATGGTTTTATTGGAGCTCTATTTATAATATCTGGAGTTTATAAACAATTAATTGAAGATAAAAAAAATAAATGATAATTATTGTAATATATTTTCATATCAAAAACAATTCCTAAGTACCTTATACATATTACTTATTCTTACAAATTAATATTCATATTTATATTTAGAATCTTATACTAAATATTATAAAGATATGATAAATATTTTTATACCTTTTACTAAATCATTTTATTTTCTATTTTCTCTTATTATTTCTAGAATTTAAAATTGATTTTCGTTATACTTATAAACCAAATTTAGTTATCTAAAATTACCTTAAAATTAATTATATCTTTTTTTTTAATTTCATTTTCAAATTGAACAGGTTTACAATAACAAAATTACTTAACTGTTATTTAATGTTTTTCAGATTTTCTATTAATTCTATTGAAATAATACTCTATTTATCATTTTGAACTTCAAGTCTTAGCAAATAAAGTATTATTTTTGATAATTACATTGACTATGCCATTTTTTTAAAAATTTTAATTTAGAAAAATGCTTATTTTTATGTATTTTTATTATTATTATTGAAAAGAAATGAAGTTACACTACTTCAGTTGAGCAAATAATCTAATTTATTGGATTGAAATTATAAATAAATCTAAAAAAATTTAAATTTTTTTGTTTCTAAAAAATAATTTAGAAGAAATACCAGTTTTGTAATATATAAATGATTTTCAATCAAAATTTTTATATTTAAGGAATTTAGTATATAAATAGGGTTAATATATATGGGAATCATATTATTTTTGAATGAAAAGAATTATATATAAAATCATTCTTAAATTTATAAGATTTATTTAGCTCTACCTTAATTTAATGATTCAAGTAATGTACATGCCTTACAAATTTTATTAGATGATAATAAATTGCATTTTTAACATAATTATTTTTGTGGTATTTTTTAATTTTAATTAGGAGCATCTAATTATTCACAAGAATGAATTAAATCAATAACTGCACTAGGTCTATAAAATAGATAAAAAATAATGATACCTAATAGCTTCTAGATTTTTAATTAATTCTCTAACATGTCCTCGAAATGCATTAGGAGAATAAGTACATTCAGTACTGAAATAAATGAGTTTTTTATAATGAGCATACATAACTATCTCTTTTTCATAAGTGTATTTAAAAGGTTTACATCTAGGTAATGTAGCTATTCCATTATCTCCGTCATCTCCAGTTATTATAGCAGTAGATTTTGGTAATCTAAATATATCACCTCTTAATAAATTCATTAAAAATGTCTCTGCCATATCATCTGCATTATGTCCTGTAATAATCTTATCAACTCCTAATTAAATTGCACCTCTATCTAATGCTTATCTTCTAAAAACACCACAATATGTGCAATTATTATTAAGACCAATTTATGCTACTACCTCATCCATTGACCAATTAAAAAGTTCTTTATATGATAAAATTTTTAAATCTAATTCATATGTAATTTAATTTTATTTCACTGTTTCTAATGAATCATCTCTATATCCTTTTATTCCTTCATCTATTGATAATAAGTATAAATTCAATCCATAATTATATTTCTTATTTAATAATGTAATCACATGAACTAAAACTGTTGAATCTTTCCCTCCTGATGCAGCTATTGCAATCTTCTCACCAGGTTTAAACATTTAATTAGATATTATTGTATGATGTATTTCATCCTCAAATGCTTAAAAAAAACAATTTTAACAAATTAAATTTCCTGTTTTTGGTCTCATCATAAATGCTTTCTAAATATTACAACTTTGACAATATTTTACCATTTATTTAAATTATATATTGATTAAAATATGAAAGAATTTATAAATAATTTAATTCTTAGTATTTATTTGTATATTTTATTTAAATAATAACAAATTTTATATTCATTGCTATTATTATTAGGGTTATTATTAATATTATTCTAAAGATTGTTTTTCTACATAAACAACTCTTTATGAATCATTATTTTTCCTTCTATAATAATTATTATTATTATTATTATTATTATTTTTATTATAATTATTATTATTATTATTATTATAATTATTGTTATTTCTTCTTTATCCATTGTTATTATTATTATTGTTATGTTATCTTTATTTATAAAAATTGCCAAAAGTATCTGTATCAATTTGATTTTGATTTCTTTGTTAAGTTTATCTATCTTATTTTTAAGTACTTGTTGAAAGAGAATCGAAAAACGAAGTAGGATTGTATTTAGGTTTAACTTCTTACTTTTTAATTTTCTCAATTTCATTTGCTTTTTAGAGCATTTCTTCAAAATTAAAAGCTCTAGGATTTGTTCCATTTGATTTTATTTATTGATTTTATGGGAAATTATTTGAAAATTATCCTCTTTAATCTTATTACTACTCTATTTATTCAATATTTTAAGGTGGTTAGAGACCTTATGGTTATTGAGTTTAATTTTCTTATTTGACATTCTCTAATTTGAGATCTTCAGGCTTATTCTCTTCTAAAGTCTTAAACCCTTTAATTTCAGCTGCTTTGAACACCAAAATATCATAACTTTATTAATTTGGGGGTATTTCATGATCTTAAATATTTTATTTAAAAATAATACCAGGTCTTCTTCCCTCTGTTCCAAATGAACGTACATCTTTCAAAGCAATTGTTTATTATTAAGGATTAATCTAATAAATTGTACCCTCATATCTAATCTCTGATTTGGTGATAATGCTGACTTTTGAATTAAATACTTAAGCCATTTTTATATAATAAAAATAAACTAAATCTAAAATTACAAAATACAAAATACAAAATACAAAAAAAGTTCTATTTTTTGATGATTAATTTATCATTAAAATACATAATCAACAATTCAATATTACTCATAATATATGCTTCAAAATTTTTTAGATAAAAATGTTATTTAAAAATAGTGTTAATAAAAGATGATTAAATAATAATTTAATAATAGGAGAAATTCCAAAAGGATATTCTTATATATTTTTTGATCTTTATTATATTTTATATGACTTTCAAAGTTATGAATAATAATTGAAACCATTCTATTCTAAGGATTATTCCTAAAAGGAATAATTTATTTTAAAATAAAGGAATTTTAAGATTTCAAGGGGATTAAAATGCTTTAAAATAAGTTATACAATACAGAATGAATAGTTAATAAAAACTTAACAAATTTATATAGATAATTGAAATTTTTAGCTAAAATAAATTATTATTATGATTTAAATTATTAATAATTAATAAATTTATAAAATCTTAAGATAAGTAATCTGCAACTGTTTGATGTTAATATATGAAGAATATAAAGATATATGATTAAAATTAATCATTTAATTTTAATTTTCTTTTCGGCACGATCAGCATTTTTCTTTTTAAATTAATCTAATTATCTCAAGATAGATAATTCTTCTGGCATTGATGGTCTTGGGTTTGTATAAAAATACTCGTGTAATAAACTTTCCATAATTCCAATACGTTTCTATTATATTAGAGATTGAATTTACTTCTGGATCCCAAGTTAACATTCTTGATATTAATTCTAAAGCTTAAGGAGATGCATCTTTAATAACATTTTAAAGATTAGGTCTACAATGTTGAAACTTTTCTAATTCCTTCAATATTTATTTATTGGCATTTTTGTGTAAATCTGGCCAAATAGCAGGTGAAGGATATCCTAACATTTCACACATTAATTATAATTAATGAACTTCAGATTTACCCTATTTATATAAATTTAGAATTACTTAGAGAATTGGGAAACCTCTATTGATTAATTCTGCAAAAACACAACCAACTGACCATATATCTATGGCAGTATTATAATTATTCATTTAACATAAAAGTTCAGGTGCTCTATACCAAAGAGTAACAACTGGATTCGTATATTTTTTTTATGGAATTTCTAACATTTATATACATTTAATACCATATTCTCTTGCAAGTCCAAAATCAGCAATTTTAACAATTCCATCATTAGTCAATAAGAGATTGGAAAGTTTAATATCTCTATGTAAAATGAAATTAGAATTGATATAAGCAAGTCCATTTAATAATTAAAGAACTATGCATTTGATTTCATTTTCACGAAATGAATAGTTTTCTATTTATTCATATAAATTATACCTATAAACATATTATCTACTAAAATAGCTAAATCTATTGCACAATATTCAAATACAAGATGAATACTATCTTTTATTGGTCCTACAGCAACTTCCTTATAATTAGTAATTAAAATTACTAATAAATTGACAACATTTGGATGAGCTGCTAATCTTTAAAGAATTTTTATTTCTCTTAAACAAGTAATTGGAAATCCTTCATTACTATCATGAATTTTCACTTTTTTTATGGCAACAACTTAATTTTTCTTTTTATCTTTTGCAGCATATACAGTACCATAACTTAAATAAATTAAATATGTATTACGTTCCTTCTCCAAGTTTATCTAGCCTTTCATATTCTTAGATAGATCTGCAATTAGCAAACCATTGTTTTCTGATTTCATCATTCATAAATTCATGTTTTCTCATTATTTTGTTCTTAAAATTTAATTATAAAATTTTGATTATTAAAAACAATTTATATTTTTTATTTTTGTATAAGCTTTTGTGAATTTAAAAATGTGAAGATAATAGATACAAATATATCAAAGAGAATTAGTAAATTTATAATAAGAAGTTGGATATTTTAAGTTTCTTTCGATTGTAGAGTAAAAGGAAATGAGAGAATGCAATAAAGTTGGATTTGCTATGTAAGCATATTATTTAATAAACAAGGATTCTAAATTGAAAATAATATGAATTCTAAATATATAATAACATGAATTCAAACAAACCCAGATCATTTTATTATTAATATTTAAATCCTATTAATAGCGTTTGAATAGCAATGAGGTTATTATGTTGATAGAATTTAATTGTATTGCATTTTGATATAGGTTAATGTATAATATTCGAAAATTCTGGGGTTAATTAAATATCTCTTCTTTTGATATGGATAAATATAGCCTATATAGGGTTATTTATGATTATAATTAATGGTGAATAAATTAAGAAGATTTATATAGGAGGATGTGTTGTAATAGATTATATATATACTCTTAATAATTTAATTATTATTTATAATGAGAGATATAAAATATATATTTAATTTTGAAATTCAAATTCAAAAAAATATTATTTTAATTAATATATGTATAGAAGTTAGAGGTTGAGAATGAAATCATAAAATCATTTATCTATATCTCCACCAATAATAAAAAGAAGGTTAAGGAATAAGAATGAGTACAGCGAAATAATTGAGCCGACTGATAAAAAGAAATAAAATATTTTATTAGATATTGGAGCAACCAAATAAAAGAGCTTAACAAATTTTACTTTAACAGTTACACCTAAATATGTTTAAGAGAGAGATTATGATGATGATGAAGATATTCTATTTCATGTATTCCTCCTTATTAATGTAATAGTCTAAAGGTAAAAAAAGACCATGGTCTGAATAAGAAGATAATTTACTAATAAAATTAGTTTAAATGCATGGACCATAAAAGTGGACATTCATTGCTGAACACTTACCTGGAAGAATTGGTAAATAATGTAGAGAGAGATGGCATAATCATTTGAATCCTTAAATCAAAAAATCACATTGGGGTGATTATGAAGAATGGATTCTCTTTTTATCTCATAGAGTTATGGGTAATAGATGGGCTGAAATGGCTAAATAATTAATTGGAAGAACTGATAATTCTATTAAAAATCATTGGAATTCTGCTATGAAAAAACGAATACCAGAAATGGAAGAGAGATTAAAAGATATTCGCAAAAGAGGAGGTATTATTTTATATTTATTCTTTTTATAGGAATGTCTAACTCAGAATTAATGAATTCTTTTACTTCTCTTGAAAGATAATTACTATAAAAACTATTATCCTCTTAATAAAATGGATAAATGTCTCCAAGATCTTATTCACCTAATAACATTCCTAGAAGAAGAACTAATAAATAATAAAATTATTTAAATCCTAATTCTGTTCATTCTTATATCTCTAAAATGATGAATGAAATCAAAATAGATGGAATTGAAAGTTATAATATGGAAAATAAAATGCTTAAAAAAACCGCCAAAATTTCAGATTCTATTTTTTGGAATGAAGATAAGTTAGATGATATTTAAAATAATTTATATGAGTATATTTAAGAAAAAGTAGGTGCTCATGGTTATGATTAAGATGAAAAAGTAGATAAATGGATTAAAAACTTTTGGATTATGTGTTAAGATGTTTTTACTGTTTCAGTTATTAAAGATTTTTTATCACAAAGACCATCATTTTATTATAATTATTTACATAAATATAAATAAGACAGTGCTAATCAAGTTTCCAAAAATTTAAGTAGAATTTATGAATAAACTAACAACAGTGATGAATATTAATTGCCTTCTCTTAATTAATTCAAAACACCTTTAAAAGAAAAATCTGATCCTCTTTAAAATAATAATAATAATAATAATTAAAATAATTAAACTAATAGTCCTAGTAATCTTTGTTTAGAAGTCAAATATGATGATCATTTTTAACATTAAATTGAATCACCATCAAAATTACTGAATTTGCTTACACCAAAACATTAAGCATTACATTAATCTAATAAAAAAACACCTAATCTCAAATCAGAAAATAAAAGTTTCATTTAACATTCTCAATTTAAAGATAATAATTTAAGTTTGAGCAAGTTAAAATTTGAAACTACTCCACTTAAAAAAAATTCTGCTTTCAAATTTTATAATAAAATACAATAACATCAGTAATAATAACATTGAATAATTTATTTGATATCTATATATATATTTTTTTAATTAATATAATTAAATAATAATAATAAGATATAATTTAATTGTTTTCCTATCATTATTACTAAACAGTTTATTGACTTTTTTTGTCTGTACCAAAATATCTATCACCAAAATTTCCTATTCCAGGTGCTAAATAATGAAAATCTTTTAATAATATTGGATCAACTTAAGCTGTGATAATTTTTATTTTTGGAAATTCTCTAAACAATTTTTCAATTCCCTATTCACAACTCACTAATGTTAAAAATGTTATATTTTCTTATTTAACTCCTTAATTTTTTAAAATTCTTAATGCCAATGTAGCACTACTACCTGTAGCTAACATTGGATCCATTAATATCACTTATTAATCTTTTATATTAGATGGCAACTTCTAAAATAAATAAGATGGTAATGCTGTGTCTTCATTTCTCTATATCAAAATTTATCCTATTGATGCTCCTGATACTGCTTTTAGACCTTCAAATAAAAATGCATTCCCTGATCTTAAAATACTTACAAAACATATTCTAATAATTTTATACATATTACTCTTCATCTTCAAATTTTACTTCATGAGCATCATAATATCCTAATGGTGATTATTTCACATGCTTTTTCTTTTCAATTTATGATATTGCTTATTCAATAAGTATTCTAATTAATCGATCTGAATTTTTTCGGAATTCCTAACCTTTATTTATCACATTACCACTGTTTCAGTCTCTACATCTCTTATTATAGATAATATATGTTCAGTGTATGTTCTATCAATTATTGATAAGTTCTGATGTTTCTTTAATAATTTATTTAAATCTTAATCATTAAGAAAATGATAATGAGGCAATTTCTCATCCTTAACTGACTTACATAAAACATATGTTGAATTAAATAATGAAAGATTCACTCCTATTCTTATTAAATTTTTAAACATTTAATTTATTATTCTTTTTATTAAAAATAAAATTAAATTAATTATTTTAGATTCAATCAAATTTCTTCAGCAATTTACAAAAACCGCCTAAACAAATTAATCCTCTTTTGTTTTTTCAACATCCTGTATAAATTATTCCCATACATCTTCAGATATTTCACCATAAATATCAATACATTTAATANAATTTTTCAATTCCCTATTCACAACTCACTAATGTTAAAAATGTTATATTTTCTTATTTAACTCCTTAATTTTTTAAAATTCTTAATGCCAATGTAGCACTACTACCTGTAGCTAACATTGGATCCATTAATATCACTTATTAATCTTTTATATTAGATGGCAACTTCTAAAATAAATAAGATGGTAATGCTGTGTCTTCATTTCTCTATATCAAAATTTATCCTATTGATGCTCCTGATACTGCTTTTAGACCTTCAAATAAAAATGCATTCCCTGATCTTAAAATACTTACAAAACATATTCTAATAATTTTATACATATTACTCTTCATCTTCAAATTTTACTTCATGAGCATCATAATATCCTAATGGTGATTATTTCACATGCTTTTTCTTTTCAATTTATGATATTGCTTATTCAATAAGTATTCTAATTAATCGATCTGAATTTTTTCGGAATTCCTAACCTTTATTTATCACATTACCACTGTTTCAGTCTCTACATCTCTTATTATAGATAATATATGTTCAGTGTATGTTCTATCAATTATTGATAAGTTCTGATGTTTCTTTAATAATTTATTTAAATCTTAATCATTAAGAAAATGATAATGAGGCAATTTCTCATCCTTAACTGACTTACATAAAACATATGTTGAATTAAATAATGAAAGATTCACTCCTATTCTTATTAAATTTTTAAACATTTAATTTATTATTCTTTTTATTAAAAATAAAATTAAATTAATTATTTTAGATTCAATCAAATTTCTTCAGCAATTTACAAAAACCGCCTAAACAAATTAATCCTCTTTTGTTTTTTCAACATCCTGTATAAATTATTCCCATACATCTTCAGATATTTCACCATAAATATCAATACATTTAATATCTAGGAATCTTGTTAATTATTTATTTTAATAATAAAATTTTTTTATTACACAAAATGAATTAAGAAACTTAAATATATAATTTTAAATAATATAAATAACTTTAAAGGAGTTTAACATATTAGCAGGAAATATAGTATTATTTAGATTTACGCTTGATTTTAAAGGATATTATTTATCTTTTATTTTTCAGCTAATGGGCAAATTAATCAATGAACTTGAAATACTTATCCTTTTAATCGATTAAAATTAATAAAAATCTCAAATGTTAAATATAGAGCTGCTTATGAGAGCAAAGCAAAAACAGATTAGCATTTTTATTATTTATTAGCAAATCAAATTTAAAATTTTTTATCTAAAAAAGATACTCATTTTAAAACTTATGGTCAACTTTTTATTTTTAATTTATAATAGATTTTCAAAAACTAAAAAATGCATTAACTTCCCCACTTTCAAACTTCTGGTTAACTTTTTATGTTTAATTATAAAATATTTAAATTTAAATCTAATAATCTATATTATTTTGTGATTAGTACATATAAAAAGCAAAATTTTGATGACTTGGACCAATTTGTCTCTCCTTGATATATACATAGATATTAAATCAGTCAAAAAACCTCATCTCTATTTTTATTCACTATTTGTTAATTGCTTCAAAAAATATCTATAAAATTACTCCAAAAAGATTTTATTCTTAGGGACTCTAAATTTAGTTGGATTACTAAAGTGTAATGCTTTATTATGCTCTTACAAAAAAGTTTCTCATCTTTAAATTTATTATATACATAATTTATTTTCACATTTTTGTTCTTTTTTATCGTAGAATTAACTTAAAGAACTTCATCCTCCTTAATTTTTTGATCTTTAATATCATTTATTTTATAGATAAATTTTTAAGCATCAGTTTCAAGGTCAATTATAAATTGAATAATTCTATCTATTGTTCAAATTTAATAATTTCAAAGCTACCTTTTTTTTACTAAAAAAATTCTGATCCAAGGGAACCCATAGAAATAAGAAAGTTTACTTAAAAAAATGTTAATTTGGTATGGTAGTAAAAGGACACTCAATAAAAATGGCAAAATAGATTAATACTTTTAAAAAGATAGAAAAGAATGGAAGATGTGGGTATCTAAATAGATATTATCTAGAATTAAATTAACCAGATGTTGTGGTAATTTGATTGGCAAAATTATTAGAATAATACAATAACTTTTATCCTAAATATTTAATAATAATAAATAACCTCTTTAAATGTATATTTGTTAGTTTGATAATCTTTGCTAAAAATCCAATATTTCAGGGCTTTCCTAAAAAAATTAAATTTTATATATATGTATCATCTTTATCTAAATCAAGCCACTCTATAATATTAATTCCTTTTTATATGAAATGCAATTAAGTTATTAAAAACTTTCTTAATTAATGAATAATCAGATACACTCTCATATTACTTTTATATACTGCCAACTACAACTACATCCTATAATCTTAACCTTTGTTTAGTATGCAGTTGTAAGAGTTTTCTTATATAATCTTTTGTTCCTTAACTTATTCCTCTCCATTCAATTGAATCAAAGTTATAAACCCCTTATTTAATTTTTTCAATATAATTTTATCCTTTCATATCATAACATGAGGATTCTTTTATTTCAATTAAAAAATACCCGCTTGATAAAGTATATATTATTGCACCAATTGACCAGAAATATAGGGATTTAATTTTATCAAAATTCATTGGTTAAAATGTATTTATTATTTTAATTAGTACCTATTCCTTTATTGAGAAAATCAAATTTTAAGGAATTAAATAATTTTATTTATTTATTTACTTATCAATTTTTATAATTATACAAGAATGATAATGTTTAAGAGATCTTATAAATAATATAAAGAGCATTTTTTTCTGTGAAAGTTTTTAATCCACAAATCCTGTCATAAAGGTTACTCCCTTTCTGAAATTAGGTTGATATGTAAATATATTTTTCATCCTACCAAAAAGCACAAATCAAAGCTAAACCTCAATGATCCTAATTAAGTATTTATATTTGATACAATTTCTGAAATAAATTTAATTATTTCAAAAGCCTTTCTAGTTCCTGATTAGTAAGTTTATTTTTATAAATAATTTAAAAAATCTTCTTTTGCCCTGTTTTTTTATTAATCGTTTCCAAACTTCATCATATTCATCTATTAATAATATATATTTCTAATTCTACTTAGAAGAGGATTAAGGATAATCTAATCTCTTATTACTTTTAGTTCTTTTTTATTTTGAATCATATAATCATTAGAATCTCAATTAATCTAATAGTTTTTAGCTTCTTTATTCTATCTAAAAAGTTCACTCTCTTTTGATTATTCATTGTTTAAACTCCAATTTGTTTTATCTGTTTATGTATCTGCATATTGTTTATTTGGATTTTATTATATTTTTATTAATTAATTATTATTATATGAGAATAATCTAGTTTATTTATATATGTCTTATAAAGTACATCATTGTTCATACATTGGTCAACTTTATCCTTGTTTTTTATCATTTTATTAACAAGATTAGTAAACTGTTGCAGTTTATTATTTTTCTAAAAATTAGTAAAAAATACACTAATTGATATTTTAAAATAAAGAATTATTTTTACTGAATATATTTATTTTTCATAATTTAAATCGATCCTTTATCTGATTTATTTGTTTGATCAAAATATATTTGTTAATTTAATTACATCAACTATTCCTGACGTTATAGAACTTATATTCAACAATATCTCAAGTAAGCATAAAAGAAATATTTTAAAAAATAACATTATATTGTTTTATATCAATATCAATTTTAAGATTCAGAGTATTTTTCCAATATATCAGACGTATGGGAATCACACTTTAATAGAAATTTGTTTTTAGTTTCTAATTTGAATGAAGATGTACTTTTAATGCGAGAATTTTAATATTTGGAATATAATTCTTAGGCTCTTTCTTCGCATTTAATCAATTCGTGATCTTTCCAAGGGAATCTTCTATAAGTTTTGATTTTCTATTTTAAAGTAATTTAAAATAATATTACTCCATAATCTCTTGTCATAATAATTTTGATCAATTATTTAGTCATGTTATCTATTTTCTCTTCATTCTCAATTTGACAAATTTCCTTAAATTGATCTTTATAATTTATAGGAATAATTACTTAGAAATAAAGCATAATATTTAGAAAATCTTTCTGATTCAAATAATCTTTTTAAATAGCTATCATTCATGGTTTTCATCTTAGAATCTTTTCTAAATGGGATCATATCATCAATAGATTCTGAATGAAGAGATTTCATGAACTTTTGATCATCTGAGAAGAAAGAATTATAAAATATTCTATCCCTCTCTTCAGCAGAGACTCCTTCTTTTTCTTCATAGTCAATTTGACTTTTAATAAATAGAAAGCATCTTCTGATGATAAATTTTGTCATTTCCTCTTTTGTTTTATTGACTAAGATATATCGTTTTTTAATCATGTTTGGAAGGTCTTTCATTACAGAGGACAAAGTCTAAAATTTATAAACAGTAGTATACAGTTAAATTTGATTACACAAACTCATCAAATATACAATCTTTGAGTAAGGAAATATGTTTGGATAAGTATTTGAGGAGAATTGTTATTTCTGTATGGACTGATTCTTCGAATTTGATAGTGTTACTCGGTGGTTATGATTCTTATTAACAAGGCTCTGGAAATTAACACGCTTAATCACAAGTTTCTTTTTTAGGAATTTGTAATGCATACGTAGTAGTAGTTGGAAGCATATAGAACTATTAAAGATTGAGTTATGGATAATTCATATATGATGGGGCATATAATAAAGGAAGCATAAGATGATTTAAAAAAAAATTAGATGTAAAATAAAATATCTTTTTTTATTTCGAAATATTTCATTCAAATGGCATAGTAGTCATAATTAATTTATTGTATTTCAATTCAATTAATATTTATAGAAATAACTCATAACTACATATTAACTGCATTAATAATAAATAAACATCCTTATAGATATTAACTTTAACGAACAATATTGTTGGCCTATATAGAAGTTAGAAAATGGAATAAAATTAATATCTGTTATTAGAAAATTATTTATTAAATAATAATGAATACATGTGATAAACCAATAATAAAATTACTTATAATTGGTGATTCTGCAGTTGGGAAAACAAATATTCTAAAAAGATTTTGTGAAAATTAATATACTCCTAGTTTTGTTTCAACAATAGGTAGATTAATGAATTTAAATTTAGAACAGGCATAGATTTCAAATTTCGTGATTTAGAAGTAGAAGGTAAATTGATGAGATTATAAATTTGGGATACAGCTGGTTAAGAAAGATTCAGAACTATTACTTCAACATATTATAAAGGTGCTATGGGCATTATTTTAGTGTATGCTGTAAATAATGTTGAAAGTTTTCAAAACATTTAAAATTGGATGAATTAAATAAAATAAAATGCATCAGAAAGTGTAGTTATTTTATTAGTAGCCAATAAATCTGATCTTATTGATAGAGCAGTTTAATTTGAATAAGGTAAAAATTTAGCAGATTCTTATGGTATCAAGTTTTTTGAGACTTCTGCTAAAGAAGGTATAAATATTATTGATTCTTTTTAATGTGTTTCAAAATAGATTAAAGATATTATGTCATTAGAAGAAAAAGTATAAAATATTAAATTGGAATCATCAAGCTAACAAGCAAAATCCAATTTTTGTTGTTGATTCTATAAATTAATAATTATTATTAAATAAGAGAATTAACATCAATATATTGTTTAACTCAAATAAATTATTTTAAGAATTTCTTTGCACCATCCAAAGAAGTAGGAATCTTTGGTTTAGGAGGAATTCCTTATCTTTCTTCTTATGTAGTTATTTTTAGAGAACCATAAGATGTAAGTTGAGTACTTTTTATAAAAAGATCATTCTTATTTCTGTTTAAAATATTTAATTAACCTAAAATTTAAGGTGGATGTTTCATTGTTTTTGGTGATGGTACTGTAATTTAAGTAGGTACTTTCATATTTTAAAAACCTTCTGTTTTTTATTAATGAGAAGAAGATCTCTTTTATTATGTAATCACTGATTATGAATTATAAATTAGTTCTATTAGTTAATTCTTCTAATCAGTGACTAATTAAATAGCAGAACTTCTTAAATTATTATTTGGAGATATAATCTATGATTTATTATATTATTCTTAATGTTATTAATTTTCGAGATTTTGTTCTTGATTTTATATTGGCTATAACTTGTTTAAATGTAAATTTCTATAATTTAATAGTTAGTCTTATCTATTAAATTTAAATATTTTCTCATTTGATTTTCGATCACTCCACAATTAAACAAAATGAGATTCCTCTTTTAATGATTTTACGCGATTAGATGCTCCTTTCAAATATTATCTTTTATAATTAGTTTTAGTAGCAGGTAATCTTTAAAAGTCTCTATAACTTGAAGTTCCAGCAGTAGAGGCTGTTCGAATTCCTCTAAATTCTTATACAGAAACTGATACTGTAGTATACATATTTAATTAATAAATATTATTTCTCTCATTTATAATAAACATGATATTTTGTTCATTTTATCAGTTGAATAAATTCAAAGTTTCTAATATCTCTTTCTTAGCTTCCTCTTAATCTGTCTAAGCTTATTCAAAATATAATGAAAAGGCTCCCAATAATTTTACATAATCTTTATGATAATCATGTGCTATCTCTTTTAAAATTTATATTTTTTTCTCATCCAATTCCTTTTCTCTCTCAAATTAATTCAAGGTCTAAAGAATCAATTCTATATTATTATTGTTAATCTTATACCTTATTACAATAGTTTAGATATACTTTTTATATTTTCTACAAAATCTTCAATATTTTTGTTAAATAGATATAATTCAAAAACTCCTTTTATTCTTTATTCATTTCTTCTCTAATTTATTACAGATAACATAAAATCATCTATTTTCAATTATCCTTCTTTTTACAACTTTTTTAATAAATCTTCAAACTATTTTTTTATTTGATCTTATTGACTTAATTTCTTTACTGCTGAAATAAATCCATTTAAATCTTAATCTTATTAATATTCCTAAAATAATTCAACTATCTTCATATCTCTTTATTCATTAGGCATATTCTCTAATCTATTTTTCTCTTCTGCTGAAAAATATTTTCTTATTTATAATAATATCTCTTTTGCAGTTAATTAATTCTTTTAAGGTTCTATTATGGGTTATTAATCCAGATCCGTATTTGGAGAATTTATCTTTTATAATTATTATTATTTACATTTGTGAATTTAGAATATTGTTTTATTATCAATTTTAAATTTTCTAACATATCTTCTGCGTCCTAATTTTATAAATATGTTTCAAAAGTTCCTAAGACTTATAAATCATTATCCATAAACATTTTTAATAAAAAGTTTTTTTCATTGTCTTAAAGATGATTTTATAATGTAAATTATCTCACTTAATTCATAAATAAATTATACATCTTTATTTTTCTGTAATCTTCTTTTTTAATTTATTATTCACATAATAATTTCCTATTCATATAATTTAAAATTACAATAATTTTGTTCTGGTCACGTTAATATTTCTTGAAGTTTACCAACCTTGCACAATCTCATAAAGTTGTTAATTATATTCTGAAAACAACAATTCAAGTTGACTAACTTTTGGTTCATCTAAATCCATATCCCACAACATATCTTTAAATACTTATTCTAATTCTTTTTCAGCTTAAATTGAATAAAATTAGTCAATTTTTTGTTAATTTGCTTACCTTTTTTCCTTTTTGGTTTACATAAAATTTTCTTCATTAAAAATAATATCTTTAGCAGCAACTTTTGATTGACTTATTCTTTTTTAAGCAGAAATTTACTCAGATCTACTCATCATATCACTTTTCTAAAAGATTGGTTATTAAATTTCTTAGACTGACCCTTAAATTGCTTATTGATCTTCTATTTTTTTTTCTTTTTGTTATGGAATAGGCTATGTTTGATGCATATGTATTATTTAGTTTTCATTTTATTTTTTATATTATTATTATTGTTATTATTGTTATTATTATTACTATTATTATTATTGTTATTATTATTACTCTTCTAATTATTTTGATAAGTGTGTTTATGATTAAGGTGCTTATGTTAATACATTGTCTTATAATTAAAAATTTGGCATTAAAACACTGTAAGGGGATGGTGCTTTAGGAAATTATTTAAATAACATGATTTCTTTAGAAACTTAAGTTTACTATTTTTCAGGTTAGTTAAGATTTAAATTTTAGCTATTAATAGAATTGATAGCTTTTTTTAGATCATTTATAAATAATTCTATATTACTTTAGTATCTAAAATATTGCAAAACAGCATATATAGATCCTGAATGTTTATTTTTGTACTCATGAATCATAGTAATTTCAGATAATTTAAAATTAGACTATAATAATTCATTAAATTTAGAATCTGAATAAATTTGTAATGGTTTAAGAGAATGTTATTCTCCTCTTTGTATTTTATTATAAATATCTGTACATAATTGTAATAATACTTAATCTTTTTAATTCCATAATACATTAATCATTCCAAATTATTCAGAAGTATAACTGTAATTATTTCTTTCAATAACTTTATTTTTAATATCTTCTAATCTTTATGTCTAATTATTTTAAGAAGAATCTTATTATATAGATCTATTAGAATCTTATGAATTATTATTGATTTATTATTATGGTTTAGATCGTTTGGCTTGCTTGATATTTTAGAAAGGAGATGTTGGTCTTTCTTAATAAGTGCAATTTTCAACAATTTTATTCAATTTTTCACATAATTATTAGATGTTAATATTATTTTATAAATAATATTATAAGACTTGAATAATTTCTTTATTTTCTTCTATTAATAAACGTTTTACTAATCTAGCCATAGTAACATCTAATATTTCCTTTTCTTCTAGATCACCAACAACACCAAATAATAAATCTTATTAACTTATAATAGATTCATTTTGATTTACATTACTTTATTATTATTATGATGATTAATTTTATTATTAATATCTATAATCTTCAAAATTTTCACTACTTCTAGATGGTGCTCTTTGTATAAGTTTTGCTTAAACTCTAGTTATTAATTTAGAAGCTCCAACATTTTAATTTAAATACAAAGAATTGTTAGATATTTAAGATTCCTCCACTAATTTTCTTATAGATTTGCTTCTTCTTTTATCAGGAGATTGTTAAGAAGAGATTTAAGATTGTTATTTAATATTTGATGTTCTTGTACTTGTACCTTATAATTTGGCTTAAACTAATTTATGAATAATGTCATCCATTTATCTCATCTTTTTATCATTATTTAATTAAATAGAAACTATCTTTTTAGATCCTTTATATATCCATAATAATTTATGATAAAAATCATTTTCCCTTACTTAATCTTATAATCTATTACTAAATGAATAGTAAAAGTTGACCCAATTATTAAAATTATTGATTAAGGGTTCTAGTGCACATAAAAAATCTAGTCCTTAATAATCTTTTTCATCAATCAAGTAAATACAAGTGTATTAATCTCCACCTAAAATTTATTAGAATTCCTCCAAATCATATATAAAATCAATAAATGATAATTTGTTGTTGTAATCTGACATCTAACTATATTTTAAAGATGTTTATAATAATTTGCTTTCATTTTAATTTTAATTTTCTTCACTTACAATAGTATACACATTACATCTCGTATAATACAATTATTAAATAAATTATGATAAATCATAATAGTTACCTTGAAAATTAACAATTACATTTACCGTCCTAATCAATTAATCCTATTATTCTGGTTTTGATACCAAATAATTAAACCAAAAGTATCTGTAAAGATTGTACATTTACTCGTTTATCTAAATTTATTTGTTTTACCTTATTCAAATATTTGAGTGTGAGTAACATTTAATTATTAATTTTTTTTTCAAATATAATAATTAATATAAATCATAAATATATTTTTTTTGATTCTTATAAAACATATGTCATTACATATGCATTTGTTTATAACATTTCAAATGGTATTAATGTAAGTAAAAGCTTCGATTTATTAATCTAACTAGATATCAAACTTCTAAAACACTTTTCTGTTATAAATGTGAAAAAACTAATAAAACTAGCCCCTATAACAAAAATTATTATTTAAGTTTAAAATTACTATTAGATCAAATTCTTAATCTATTAATCTACATAGTTTGATAACACTTAAAGTCCATATATTGTATAAAGATAAGCTTGTTAAATATCTTAATCCTTTAAAAATATGATATTATCTTATAGCGTTTCATAATTCTATCGATTATCTAGCATATTTAAAATCTTAATACTTTCATACAAAATCAATGTTGAATATAATTATTTCAATTAATTTATAAAATTAATTATTGAGATACTAATTCCTTCTTAAATTTATTAAAGACTTGAACAAATTTAGTAATTAAACAAATTTTAATATGAATCCATTTCTAAGTTCTAAATTAATTGAGTATTGAAAATATCACAAGTATTATTTGATAAAGCATTGTAAAGTTTATCACTTTCATCAGAAAATCTCTTTGTCAGTTCTTATTAATAGTACAATAATGTTTAATATTCATTCACTTTTTCTTATTCAAATAATTAAATTACTAATTTATTAATAATCTACTTACTTGTACTTTTTATTACATTATTTTCATTCTAATTTATTAATTAATTAAGAATCAAATTTTAAATTGTATTTTCTTTAATAATTTCAGATTGTAATGAATCATAAATTTAAATTTCTTCATAATTATATTTGTATTAAACTAAAAATTGATATTTAATTATAAATGAAGTTATAAAATAGGCAGAAACTATAGAAAATAAGAGTAAAACCAAAAAGATACTTAAGATTATTAAAGGTGTTGCATCTAATATATAATATAGAAATATATACTCGATCCAACAATTTTTTTTAACTTTCCATATTATTATTTACTATGATTTGAACCTTTAACACTACGTATTGATTTTACAAATAATTTAATATGCAAACTTTCAATATCATATTGATTAGTTTCTTATTATGCAAATTTGGCTTCTTCTAACTTATCTAAGAGAATTTAATAAATATCATATTATTGCTATAATTCTATTTATGGAAATGTCATAAAGAATTCTAAAATAATGTTTTTTTATCTATTAAAAATCAAAAATACAGGCAATAAAATTATAACTATTAAACTTAAAGTAACTTCAGATAAAATTATAGTTAATTATATTTAGGAATCAATATTTTAAATCTAATTACGAATATTAATGCTGGTAGATGTATTAAATTAAGAGAACATTTCTTACATTATAACTTAAAAATTAAGAATTAGAAATGTTATTCCTTCCTTCTGTTTTTCCTTATTACCTATAAAATTTATCATGTATTCCCCAATAATTTTTATTAAAAACAATTGATCTAATTCATCTTTTTATGACTAATCAAATTAGATGGTTTCTTGGTAAAATAAATTAATTTACATAGCTAATGCAACATATTTGAATCTATTATTGAGTTTTGTTTATTTAGAATTAATTTTAAATAAATCTAAAAATTCGTAGTTGAAAGATTTTAAAGTTATTCATAAAGAATCTAAGTAGTATTGGAATATATTTAGATTTGTTCAAATTAATTAGACAAAATAAAAAGATTCAAAGAATTTTGTAAATTTAAAGTCACATGTTTATTGGCTTCAATTTCATAAATTTTCTATAAGTTTAATATATAATTTTACATTTTAAGTAACAACAACAAAGAATATATTAATTATATATAAGATAACCAATAAGATTAAACTAAAAACTATAATTCCATTTTTTGTAGCATTATTTTAAAATTAATGATCTGAAAATAAAACATCTCTTATCATTCTCCTTTTAGTAATATAATCATTTTATTATTAAGAACTAGCTATTGAATTTCCATCATTTTATTGTATTGTATTATTTTTTTAATCTGATCCTGAATCTTTCGATTATCTATTTGATAAATCCATATCATCAAATTAATTTTTGCTTATTTTACAACTATTTTTTCTTGTCATTTTTTTAGAAGTGTTAGAATCATTTTATAATAATTAAGCATTTTCTCTAGTTCTTTAAATCAAATGAGAATCTACTGTATTTAAGAATGTTTATTAGATTTAATCTCTTCTAGTGGTATAATATTCATCAAAATTTTTTTATTTTTAGCTTATCATATTATCTTCCTCCATAATTAAATTATTATCCAAATCATATGATTTTCTATCAAATAATTCAGATGATAAAGATTTTCTAAATCCTTCAAATTATTCCTTATAAATCACATCATTTCCTTCCATATCTTATAAATAATAATTAATCATTGGTGTTTATTCAGATTTAATCATTGAAGACTAATCAATATTACAAATATTTTAAACAATTCTGATAGCTTTAGATTAATATTCAGTTTTAATTATCTTTAATGTTTAAATCTCTAAGATTCTATGTAATGAATTTATTGTCTTCATTAATCTAATTTTATATTTAATATAGAATATAAACAGATGTTATGTATTTTAATAAAATAATTGATTTTATTAGGATTAAAGATTGAAGTAATTTTATATATCAATATTTAATATATTCTTATTTAAAATTTGTATTTAATCTATCAAATTTTATTATTTAGGAATTAAAATATGACCTTCTTATATAATATCATAATTAATTTAATCTTTTTTTTACTAAGAGAATTCAAAATCTATTTCAGTGCTATTTTGTTCATTTAATTCTAATTTTTGTAAATCTTTTAATAAACAAGGCATTATTCTAAGAAAATTTAAATTCTTGATTTGTTATGAATGGAAATTTAAAGTTTTTTAAATAATTTCATCATAGAAATTTTAAGAAATCTCTTCTAAAATTCCATATCTACTAATTAAAATATAATAATTTTATTAATTAATCTAAGTTATCAAAGCAGATGATCCAAAATCACTATTAGAATAATTTTCCAATCTAACTTTTGCATAAACAGGAATTATGAATTATTCCTTATTTTTAAGAATCAAAAATCTTTATTCAGCCATAACGATATTCATTCTACCCAATTCTATAAAATTATCTAAATACATATCATGATATTGGGCAATAGAATCAGGCATAAAATACTTAATGTTTTAATTTTTAATGTCTTAATCATTTCCTAAAATTAAATTTTTAAAGGATTTAGTATACTTTTATATTGATCCTCTTTAATTCATCAGTGATATATATATAATACAAGAATCCTTTTCAAATACTTATTAATTGATAGATTAAATAAATTAATTAGCATATGTTGAATTTCGTTTTAGAGATTTTGGTCTTTTTATATTGAAATTAAGATATTTATAAAAGAGATAAGCTACTGTATCTAATTCAGTTGAAATTGGATTTAATTAATACAAATTGTGTATTTATTTTTCTAATTATTAAATTTATTGTTAAAGTTCAGTTCCTTTCTATACTATTGATTGTAATTATAATTATTGATTTAACAATTAGTTGTACCATTTCTTATAATTTGATAATATAATTTAAAAATTTAATTTTGTAGTATCTAAGTTTTAATCATAATCAAAAACTTATTTAAAATTATATTTCTAATTTTTTAAGTCTTTTTTTTCAATCATTAAATTAAAATTAAATTTAGCATCTTAGATAAGTTATTCAATGATCATAATTTTCTTTTAAGAATGTTTTTTAATTTTAAATTTTAAATTCATAGCTTCATAGAATGCTTTTGTTGGTCTCTTTTAAATTTGAAATAAAAAGTATATGTATGAAAATTAAACATTAGTTTCTAAATTTTGTTTTTAAGTGAGATATTTTTCAAAACTATCTTTGATTAAATCAAATAAAAATTATTTAAATTACTTTTCGTTATTAAATGCAAAATATTTGTATTCAGTTTCAGGATCTAATTCTCTCTTCCAAAAATGTAATGATTTTTATTCAGTGTAATGAAAATACTATTTACAGAAGCAATTCTTAGTTGTATTGTTATTTTCATCTTACAATTATCCATTACAATTTCTTAAATGATTAGCAGCCAAACTATGAAGTTATAAAGAAATATATGATCTCTTGATTGGTTATCTGAATGTTCTCCAATCTTTATAATATGTGATTTTAATTAAATCAAAGATTTTTCTAAGTTTTTACTCAATAAATCTAAAATGTTTATCATCTAATTAAAGATTTTAATGAACTTGTAATTCCTATATTCTATTTTGTATTGTAATAATAATTGGGCATGTTATAAACATGATTAGATTTATGAATTCAATAGAAAAAGTTTCATTCACAAAAAAAAATTAAGCAACATAAAGAAATATAAATTACCCAAGAATTAAAGATGTGAATTTATTAATTAATTCTTTACGATGTAGAATATATAATGAACTCATAAACAATTAGTAAATTGTAAAAAGTAATCCTAAGAGTAAATTTAAATTTGGATATTATTATTATGTGAAAACAATAATAGTAATTGTTATATAGATGTATACATTAAGTAAGAGTTGTAGATTAGACTCATTTTAACCCAAAAAATCCTGATTCTTAAATTTGTAATCAAAGAAATGAAACATCATAAAATTATCAAATATCAAGTAAAATAAAAGTATTATTATTGATGTGATGGTACTTAAAGTATAAATCAAATCTAATTAATCTATGCAATATTACCATTATTTTCAGATGGATCATTAATAAATGAATAAATAATGTCTAATGAACAATAAAACATACTCCAATGAAACAAAAATTTGTAGGTTTGTAAAAAGATAGAAACAATAAATGTTAGAAATTTGTGAAATTTTATGAGGAAACTGTCCTATTTTGTTTATAACTAAGTATTTAGGATAATAATTTATACTTGAATCGGATAATCAGTGTATACTAATTGATATAAGCCATTGATTTTATGAATATGCATTTAACTTGAATTTTTTGCTGTTAATATTATGATTAAAGTAATAGAAGTTACAATCACTAATAGAAGAATGAAGTTGACATTAATGAAAAGTAATTTATCTAAGGTCATTGAACTTTAAAATATGGGATATACTCTTTATTAAAGTTAAAAATTACTTAGCTGTTTTAAGTATCCATATAATTGCATCCATAATTCCTCTTTTCTTTTCTTTTTCTAAATGTGCATATAGACTTTCGTTGAGGTAAATTCCTTAAATTTAAAGAGTTTAGAAAAGTACTAATCCCAAACTCAAATATTTATTTCTCTTAAACATATCTCTTGTTTGTAGGAATTTTTGTATATAAAAATCATGAAATGCTCTTTTAATAACCATTTTATTTAAATATGTTTGAATAATAAATTTACTATTATAATACACGAAATTAAATATCAGCAATTAAAAATAAACAAAGGGTCTTAAATTAAAAGTGTAAAAGAGTAGAGTTTTTGAAATTTCTTAGATTCAGATAAATGTTAGAATGTATAAGAAAATAAATGATATAAAAATATTAGATTTAATAAGAATAATAAGAAGAAGTATAATAATAAAACAATGTAAAATTAAATATCAATTGATTTGATTATTATTATTTAGGAACATATTCGAATAAAATTTAGATTGAGATTACGAAGGTCCAAAGGATGGCTATCTATTTTAATTGATTAACTTTGGTTTGATTTAGGATTTAATATTTAAATCATCTTATAATATTAATTGTTCCTATTGTTGTTTTTTAGCTTACCAATTATTCAATCTATATTCTATTAAATTAGATTTATACCTTTCAACCATAACTTCGATATCTTTCTAATGTAAAGGAGACTTAGTAGGGGAATCAGGTTCATTGATTGAATTACTTAATTATTCAGTTAAGTCTACATACTAATGAACAGGTACTGGAACCTTTATTTACTATTAGATTTATATAGAGAATGATAAATTACATCATTTACAGCAATAGGTAATTAATCAGAATCAAAAAAGTTAGGATTTGGAGTTTATTGATTTGAAAACTCATATTTACTATCATTCGCATAAGTTTTCGATTTAAATTATGATACTTCTAACTATTATTATCGTTATTATTCTTAATACATGGAACTAGTCTTATTTTTATTATAATAAGGTCCAAAATTACAAGTACTTCTTTTAGATTATTCTAATAATATTGAAACACAATATTACATATAACATTTTCACTGTTTTTTCGTGCTTGATACAATCTATCAAATACAGAAGAGTTAGTAAGTTCATGAGTTAATCTATTTGCATTATTTTATAATTCTCTTGACTATAAATAAATAAATGAGAATTAAATACTTCATCATCATAAATTTATTATCTTTTCATCTATTTATTTAAATTCCATCTAAATAAATCATTTATAGATCTTTATAGATTTGCAGATTGTTTATTAATCTGTAATTAATATATATTAATACTTCAGGTTTAAATTGATAACTTTCAATTTATGGTTTTTCCTTTATTCTTTATTTGGAAGATGGTCGAAAAGACTTTTTTGCCAAGATTTAAATACGTAATAGTTCTTAATCTGATAATAGCAATCTCTATGATGAATAATTCCTCATTAATTTATATAAATTTTATTTCTCATCATTAAAAATGTGTTAAGATATATAAAATAAAATAAAAATATTCAAAAAATAAAGGAAGTTTAATTAGAAATCATTCAATCATATCAAAGAATTCTTAGATTGTAGTTTATCTTCTAAATCTTCTCTATGGTACTGTAAACCAATCTTTACCATAAATTTTTTCAACATAATCAGTAAATGTTATTAATTAATATTGCTTGATCTCTTTATTTTATTTTAATTCACTATTAACTGGAGTATTGTTATTAAAGAATTCATCAACATCATTTTTTACATCAATTTTCAATGTAGGTTAAGATTAAAAGTTTTCATTTCTTCTGAATCTAAATGTTCTATGTTATTATTATGTTTCTTATTTACTATCAACTATATCCATTTTAGATAACATTTTTTTCAGATTAAATTCTGATGGTCTGTTAGTTCTTAAAGTATTTTAACTTTCCATTAAATTATCAATACTATCTAATTTCATAGGTGAATAATTAGATGAGAATTTAGACTTTGATTTATCAGTTGACTTTAATGGAGATGAGAATAAAGTTTCTTAATCATAATCATTATTGAATAAATTCTTAGTTATTGATGAGAGGTTTGTTTTCCTATTTGCCATTTTAATTTTATAATATTCCAAATTTTTATATTTATGAATTTCAATCTAATTTTGCTTATCTAAGAAGTGATTTAATTTTTATATTAAATTATAAACAAATGTATTCAAAGTAATCGTTCTTGACTGCTAGAAAACGATGATTCATTATTCTACTAAGTATTATTGCTAGTTAAAAATAGAGTGCGTTATTCCTCTATTAATTTTTATATATTTAAATCAGGTTTTTTTTATTATTATTTTAATTAATAATGTTTTTCCATAGGAATTGAATTAAATAATCTATTTTATTCTTCTTATCTAATTTTTTTATAATTCCAACTGTTTTCAAGATTTCTAACTTCTTAAAAATATTTTCTATTTTATTCTAATAAACTTTGATTTTGTTTATTTTAATAATTCAAATTTTGGTTATCGTGTATTAATCCACAAATTTTGGCATGATTGATTATTTAATTCATTTCACATGCAGTATAAATTTTTGTATGTAATGATCTTCTATCTGAACTTTATAAAAGGCTTTCATCATTGTATTTTAATGATTTTGATCTTTATTTATTGATATGATCTAAATTCATAGGAGTAATTTAATTTTCTATCGGTTTAGGTGGAATTACCTTAAGACTATGTTTTTGTGATAATAATACTTTGATATTCCTAATAAATCTCTATATTTTCTTATGTATTATTATTTCCATTTAATTTTGCTAGGATTTTCTAATATCATTATATTTTATAATAATTGTGATCCAATTTAAATTAAAATCCTTTAAAATATTGTAATATATAATAAAAAATGATTATCACCCAAATAATAAATGATTCAATCTAAATAGACAAAATAAAAATTCAATATTGAAGATTGTTCTGAATCTGAATAAGAAGAAACTTTAAGAAAAACTTTGAATGCATAATCTTAATCAATATTTCAAACATCTTTATTTAGTGCATTAGATTCTTAAGTTAAACAATTTAAAAAGAAACCTGTAGTTAAAAAATCTATGACAGATTTTCTTAATAATTATGATTAAAACTTTGATGATGTATTTGGAAATATGAATATGTAAATGGATGTTAATTTAGAACATTTAGAAAATAAAAAGAATCAACATAATAATAATAATATTAATAATGATAATCGATAAAAAAGTAATAAAAAGTAATCAAAAAAAAGACCAATGGAAACATTAAATTCAGAATCAGATTCTAATTCAAATATATAAACTACTAAAATTAAAAAATAATAAACAAAACCAAATAAAAATGGTAAAAGGAAATAATAAAAAAAAGTAGTAGATTCAGAATAATCAGATGAATATAAAGATATGGAATAAGTTTAATAAATGTAATAGATGGAAAATAAAATAATAAAATAAACTTAATCAAAAAAATAAACAAAATTAAATAGTAAATAATCATCTGAAGAATAATCAAGTGAAAATAAAAAATATAATCCAAATTAATTGGATTTACCATAAAATAGTAAAAAGGATAAAAAAGGATAGAAACTTAAAACAGCAATTTTTAATTTTGGTGCAGAAGAACCAGAAACAAAAAAGTAATCAAAATAAGTTAAGAAAAATAGAAAAGATTAGAAATAAGAAAATGATAAAAAATAAAATTAAAAAATAAGAAATAAAAAAGTGATTGAATAAGATGATGATTCTAAAGATGATAAAATTGAATAATTAATTAAAGAATATTAAAAATAAGATTAAGAATAATAATAATCGAATTTTATAATTAAAAAAGATAAATAAGAAAAAGATAATGAAACATAATAAAAAGTAGAAAGTAAAGATAAAAATATTATTTTAAATTTAGATAATATAAAAATGAATTCTATGATTCCAAAATGTAATCCAAAATCAAACAAGGATGATGATGAAGATGATAATAACGATTCATGAAATAATAAATATTTATATATATATATATATATATATTATCTTGAAAATAATCATTTTTATTATAAATGATGATGCCATTTAGTTTTTTCTGATAATATTCCTGGGTTTGTAATATTTCCTTATTTTCCGAAATTTCCATAAACATTATGAGCAGTGCTTAAGAAATGTCTTTTTACATTGAAACTAAGAGTGTTAATAATAATAGTTATATACTGTCTTTCTCCTAATTCAATTTGTGAAGCATTTTTAGTTAAAATAGGAGCATCTGGTTCAGGTAATCTTGATCTAAATGATCCTGTATTATAAGGTTCTAATAATTTATTAGTAGATCCAACATGTAGATTAGGTCTTACTTTATAATCATCTCTGTTTTATTATAATAATATATTAATACGCATAAGATGAAGTTGTAAATGTAGATTTAGTTTCATGTTCTGCAGGTGTTTTATTAGCAATTTCATAAAATGGAACAGCCTATTAATATAATGAATATTGAAATCTTACTTCAGGATTACCTTTTTTCATTCTTACATAAGAGCATGAACTAACTCTTGTATTTTTGAAAAAAGCAGCAGATTTATCTAACTTTAATGATGGATGTAACACCATCCTGCCACTTTATATTGATTGTTTAGTTTCGGACGGTTGTGACATTCTTATTAATTATATTATTTATTTTATTTAATGAGATCTAATCATTAATACAATTATAATTATAAATTAGACTAAATATTTTAGAGGGAGAAGTATATATTTATTGTAAAATAGATCATATGATCTTCATTTAAAAAAGTTGAATGAAATCAAAACCAAAAAAACTTAATCTTAATAAAGAGTATAACATTTAGAAATCTTAGAAAAAAGAAATAATATTAGATAATAAAGAAGACGTTTCGATTTAAATGGTATTTTTTATCTATTATTCATTTAGAATAATCAGAGCGTATAAACAAGGGTAACAGCTAGTTATATTAAAAAATAACAGAAATTTGCAATAGACCAATGTAATAAGATTACTATAAATATGAAGATGAAAATTTACATCACCCTCACAATTTAAACTTAACATTTCGTAAGAATCAAGCTTAATAAATACAAAATGAAAATATTAAAATTGCAGATCGACTAATGAAATAAGAACCAGTTTTGAAATTAGATGAATTCTCACATTCTTATAAAGAAAATTAAAGATTGATGATGAGATTACAACGTTATCAATAATGTTAAAATTATATGAATATAATAAGGTAATAACTTATCAAAATTATAAATTAAGAAATAATATGACATATTCTTATAGAGACTCTACAAATAATAGCTCAATTACTTCAAAAAAAAAAGATAAACCATAATAATAATTATCATTTCAACTTTAACCAATTATTAAGTAATAATATATAGTTATTTATTTATAGTTTAAAAGCTAAATCTATTGAAACTAAAGCTTTAGAGAAGATTAATGAAATAAAAGAAAAAGTTCAATCATAAAAATAAGAAGTAGAATAGTTATAAGATCCATAAATTAAACCATAATTATCAGAAATACCATAAGTTAATGAAGAATCATAAATTGAAACCATAAGATAAGATGAAACTGTTGAATAATAGATTTAGTAATAAATTGAAAGAGAAGTTAAATAATATCAGGAGGAACAAAGTGATGATATTCAATAATAATAATGATGATGATCTTATATTTTCCATTTAACAGTAGTTTGAATAAAATAAATAATATTAAAATTAAATTTATTTATTATTCATCAATTTTAACAGTCATATGAAAAATAAAGAATAAGTCTTAAAATAAGTCTATGAAAGTAAATTTATAATTTAAATAAAGATGAGAATAAAGTATTTGGCAAAAAAAATAAACCAAGAAATTAAGAACCTAATATGTTTGATATAATGAAATGGCCAGTGGAATAAGATGAACCTTGGGATTTTAAAAAGAAGATTTAAGTTGAAAAAGAACCAGAAACAAAAAAATTAATAACAAGAATAAATCATGAAAATCAACATTGGTTAACTGAAAATAAAGATAATTTTAGAAAAATTGAAAAATTAAAAGTGGAAGATTCTTAAATTTTAGTATAAAGTATATTTAAAATTTTAAAATAATTTAGAATTGGATGATAAAACAATAAAAAATATAGCATAATAATGTGATTGTATTGATTTTAAAAAACAACCTAATCCATAGATTAATATATAGGAAGATTAAGAAAATTAATATAAATTACCTGTATAATGGAATCCTAAATTATAAACAGCATATAGAGATAATTATATAGTAAAAGATATAAAAGATACAAATGAGTTAATGTAATAGTTAGAATAAAATAATAAAAATTTTAAAGGATAATATAAAGTTTAGTATCCATAAAGTGGTTTTTACTATGAGGATTCTAAGAAAGATGAAGATGAAATAATTTCATCTGATGAAGAAGATTAAGAAAATGATTAAGATGATGATTAATAGTAAAAAAAGATGACAACTAAATTTATAAAGAAAGCTAAGACTCTTGATCCAAATGATCCAGAAGATGCAGCTAAATTATAAAGAAGGAAAGATAGAATAAAGAAATTTTAAGGAGAAACAAGATGGATAGCTGATACAGCATTTACAACATATTTTGGTAAACCTGCTTGGGGTCCATATGGATTTAATAATATTAATCCATCTGTTGGAGGTATAGTATATGGATAACATATGTTATCTCATAATGTATAACCTCATAGAAATAAAAATGATCCATATTATATTTAAACTTATTAGAATGCATTAAGAAAAGGAGCTGCTGTTGCAAATGTTGAACCTGAACCACCTAGAAATTGTAGAGAATAAGACAGATTAAATCCTGAATAAGTAGAAGCATAAAAATAAAGAAATCAATTAACTCCATAACCATTTTCAGAATTTAAAAAATAAATTGATTCACAAGGTAAATCTACTATTCCTGAATTCAATATTAAAAAACCTGATTTAACTAATACTCTTAGATTTGCATCTGAAGCTGGTAGTATTTAAGGAGAATCTCAAATCTAACATAAATCATAAAATTAATCTAAAAAAAAAGGACTAAAAAGACCTTAATCTGTTATTGATAATCCTACTTAAAAATAGCAAAAGGATAAAGATGAAAATAAATCTAAAATTAGCAATGATTAGAAAACTAAAGAATCTAAAAAGAATAAAGATAAAAAAGTTTAAATTTAATCAGAATCTAAATTATAAATTGATGATTAATTAGCCATACCAGATAAAGCAAATAATAAATTTATTGAAGAATTAAAATAAAAAAAAGAAAAGGCTAATAGACTTACATGCAAAGTCAATGAAATTAATCCATCTTTATTGAAATCATCTCCTAAATAAGATTTAAAACAATAAATTACAAGTCAATTATAAGAAGTTAAGTCTTTTGATGATAAGTAATATATTATTTATATATTAGAAATCCACCACCTAATTATTTGTAATCATTAGATCCAATTGAGCTTAATCCAAAAAATTATAAAGGAGTTCCTTCAGATTGGTTACATAGAATACCATTTGCAGGTAAAAAGTAGGAAATTATTAAAAATGGATAATAAACTAGAGACTGTTTTGATTATGGATTTTGATTTTGGATATACATTTTTTGTTATATTAATTTAATTTTCCAATTATATATTAATCTATAAAACAAAAATTAATCAAAAGAATTAATAATAATTAGATAAAATTGATTATATATCTTAGTACCATTGATTTTTGTGTTTATTTTTTCTCTGCTTATTTAAAATATCTTGATCATATATAAATGTTGATGAATACAAATCTTGTATAATTTTAGATTCTTTAATTTCTTTATGAATAGTATGTTATTATTATTATTATTATTGTTATTATTCATTTTTTGAGACAATTTAAATTTATGGTTAAATTTATAGAGGTTGTTATTCTATTTAATCTTAGATTTAGTCTAGAATTATATCAGTTTCTAGTTTATTTTCAATATTTATTTAAGATTAATTAGTTTGAAAATTGTGTATAATTTTCTATTCATTATCTGAATTTTCAGTTACCTCTATTAGACTGTTTCTAGAATTTAATCTAGATTTTTATTTTGGTTCTTTTTATAAATCTAATGTAGTTTTACGAGAAATGAGTTTAGATTATCTTTTTTAAATTTCTTTTTTTAAAATATTATTTTTGTCTTCTTAGAATTATTATTAGTCTTACTTTTTTGGTGGAGTAGCTGGTAATTTTAATTTTTGTTATAGTATTTATTGAGCAGTAAATTTATTATTTCTAGATGTCATAGTAGATGGAGAATCAGGAGTTTTGGGTGTAAGAGGAGTATTAATTGATTTAATACTACTCTTTCTTCTAATTTATTAAGATTATTATATAATTTCTTATTAGATTTAAATAGGTTATATAGCATATTATTTGGATACTCTTTTATTTAAATTAGTAGTTCTTCTTCTAGTAGTACTATTAGCTGGTGAACAATCTGTCATTTAATCAGTAAATAATTCAACTTAATCTTGAGATTATTCAAAGTCTTTCTCAGAGATTTCTTTAAAATCAATATTATTTAATTTTTCATCAGCATCTGTATGGATTACAATAGATATATCTATTCCATCAAAAAGACTACCACAATTCCGTTTAGTTGGTCTCTTATTTTCAAATAATTATTTTAATTACTCAATTCGATCGACTATTAAAAAATCCACTAATCATAGACGTATTATATATTACATTTGAATTGATCATTAGTATGATTAATATAAAATTCATTATAATCTTGATTAACAAGTTTAAATTCTTTTTTTAATTGTACTAATTTAATATAGACATTCTTTTTTTCTGATTACCTAACATAACCTTTATGAGATTTGAGTATAGCTTGTACTTGTGAATAGATTTCTTACATTTTTTCATGAATGAGTTTTTTTTATTAATTTTCAATTTCATCTTATTTTTCTTCTGTTTTTAAAGTTAATTTGGGACTATTTGGTAATTATTTTTCAGATTATTTTTGAATATAAGGTTCATTTTTAGTATATTATTTAGTAGATATAGATTCTTACATTTTAATTTTAGTTTTAGTAAGTTTTTTGATTCTGGATGTTAATTTATCAATTTAATCGGTATTAATATTTTTTGTATTTTCATTTCTTTAAACACTTTTTAATTAAGCACTAAAGATTTCTTAATCATTAAATGAAGAATCTACTCTACATATATTATAACATGAATATCGACAATATTGTATAGGAGTTGATAGGGAACCTCTAGAAATATTATCAGTTCTAGTTTTAGGTGGTGAATTGGAATAATCATACACATTATTAATAGATCTAATTGTAGGTTTATTAGATTTTTCAAGATTTTTAATGCTTAATTAAGGTAATCTAACATTTAATGATCTAGTTGCTGTTATCATATTATTAAATAATAATTAATTTAATTAATTGAATTTAGTTTAGTTGTTAGAGGTAGTAAAGAGAATGAAAAGAAGTATATATTAATAAAAAGTAAATAATGAATGAAAATAAATTTATAAAGTGTGAGAAGTTAAAAGAAATGAATTAATATTTAAAATATTAATATATAAAATGGCATATCAATAGCCTTTTTACATGGCATCACCATAAAGACCATAAGTTTAAAATTAAGCTTACATTCCACCAACATAAGTATAGCCAAGACCATAATACCCACCTTAAGGATAATATCCTCTTTAAATACCATAAGTAGATTTTGAATTTATTTTGAATAGTAATAGGGATATCGTTCTCCTCAAGTATATGGTTATCCTCAACCTTAACCTTAGATAGTTAATAAAGCTTTACCACCTTAAGGGTAGAGAATCTCATATGCATAACCACCATAAGGATTTGGTGGATAGTAAATACCAGGTCCAAATTATCCTCCATAATAAATATATTAATAAGGTCCAATCTATACTTAAAGTCCATAGAGACCACCTCCACCAACTCAAGTTTAATATCCTTAGCAAGCTGTAATAATATCAATATATATTAAATAGCCTGTTCAATAATATAGATAATAACAACCATAACCATAGTCATTACCTCCAAGAACTATGTAACCTTAACCATATCCACCATAATAATATTAATAACCTTAAACATAATAAGTGAATCGTCCATATGTTCCACCTTAAGTCTAAACTCCAATCTAATAATAATTAGTCTAACAACCTATGTAAAATAAAGTAGTTTAACCACCATAATAATAATAAGTACCATCATAAGCAAAAGTTTAATAAATACCATAATATAGACCACCTGAATAATAACCATAATAATAATAATAATACAAACCATAATAATTATCATAAAAAGATGAAGATTTAGAAAAGAAATTTTAAGATGCTATTGATAGAACTAGAGATTTAGTTTAAAGATATTAAAATCCATAATAATAAAATTAATATTAACCATCTAAATAATAATAATAATAATAATAATAATAATAACCATAATATGAAAAGTAATCTATATAATTTATTATTATTTTAGTCCTGAAAATAATGATTAAGATTAATAATTATAAGATTTAGCATTATAATATGAAGATGGATATATATATAGAGGATAAGGATATGAACCAGCTACAAGAGAAGGATTTGGTGTTTTAACTGATTAAAATGATAATGAAGTATATAGTGGTTATTGGCATGATAATTAATATCATGGATAAGGCAAATTGATTAATTTCTAAGCTGAATAAATTGAAGGTGCTTTTGATTATTAAGATCTTAGTGGTATTGATAATGGTTGGTTAGGTTATGAAGGTATATATTTATATTTATCATTTTTATAGGTGAATTCTTTGAAGGTAAAATGCATGGATAAGGAACACTTTAATTAACTAATGGTGAAAAATTTGAAGGTAAATTTAATGATGGAATGATTGATGGAGAAGGATCATATACAACACTAAATGGATAAGTTATTAGAGGAGTTTGGAAAGAAGGAATCTTAGCTAGCTATATGTGATCACATTAAAATATACATATATCATATTTCTAAATTTATTATCATTATTATTATTATTACATTTAATTATTATTATTTTTACTAATGTTTTGTTGTTTCACTAATAAATCAACTCCTAAAAAAACAACCCAAATCTAAGTTTAACATCAATCATTTGATCAATCTATAAATCAAGAATTTGATAATTAGTTAATTACAACACCACCTTAATTACCTAAAAAACTTATCAATAATCCTCATAATTAAACTAAATTTTAAGGATAAACCACTAAATCAGAATCGAAAATTAAAGATTCTAAATTAATTTTACCTATCAAAAACATTAATCATAAACCACCCAATCCATTTAAAAAATTCTAAACTTACAAATTATTAGATATTAATTCAAATACACACTTCCTTGCAGTCAAAGAATCTTATACCTTACTTTTAAACAAGTTAAATGATTGATTTCATTTCATATTTTATCTTTCATTCCACTTATTTTATTTTATAGTTATTTTCTGTATTAACAAACAAAAATATCAATTCATTTCCAAAATTTTTTATTTTCATATTCATATTGCAAAAATCTACTCTCATATCTGCATTTCAATACCTCATCAGATTATTTCTCATCCAAATATAACTCTTATTAATCAACTTTTATACTTGGAGAATTCTCCTATGAACTTTCTATTGCAAATAAAAAACTGCTGTTCCCACTCAACATCTACTTACTTCGTATCATAAAATCACTTATCTTTATATTTCCATTATCATTCTTATTCTTATTATTATTGTTAAAATACACATGATTCATATTATTCTTGTCATTAATAGTAATTCCATTTTACATCGGATTTAAATATAATGGACTTGAATTTTTATATGAATTAAACATATCACTCAATTAGAGACAGGTTGCAATTTTAAAATCATGTAATTTGGATTTCTTTTTTTAAATTTAAGTGTCATCCATCGTTTTATCATATTAATTTGTTTTCATTGAAATCCAAGGATGTAATAAAAACTCTTCTGCTGACAATCTCTTTTTTGGATCTTTGTTTAATGTACGCTTTAATAAATCTTATTACAAATAATGCAAATCTAAAAATTCTTATTATCTCCATGGATTACAATTTGGATTTGTTATAGTTTCAATTGTATCTATAATTGTATCAGCCAAATAAGGAAATTTATGACATAATAATTGATATAAAATAATTCCACAAGACCATATATCAACTATTAATTTAATTTTAATTATTTACTTTTTTCATTATAAATACCACATAAAAAGATTTCTGGAGCTTAAAATAATATTGTACCAGTTCTTGTCCACATTTGATTAAAAATAATTCCATTTTTATTTTTCTTGAAATACTATTTTGACACACCAAAATCAATAATTTTTATTTCAATATGATTTCCTAGTTTAACTAAAATGTTATCTGGCTTTATATCTCTATGACAAATTCCTTTATTATGTATAGATTTAAGAGAAATTATTAAATTTCTTATAATTTCTCTAATTTATTTAATCGTCAGTTATTTTTTCTCAACATAATATTCCAAACTTTTCCATTCACAATATTCCATAACCAAATATGCAACTTTTTCATTTTCATCTATAAATAAATCATAAACTTAGATTATTTATGGTAAACTATTTAACTCTCTATTGATAATGAATGTCTATGTGATTGTGTTTATTAATTCAGGATCATCAGCATTAAGTATAATTTTTACAGCATATTTTGTTGGAATATGACCAAAATTCATGAGTTAGATTGATTAAGTCTTTTTGTAACAAACTTTAACAATCCCATTTGAACCTTAGCCTATGATTGAACCAATTTGGTATAAATCATGAAAACGATTCTAAATAAAAGTCATTTATTTTTAGTTAGATTTAGCCTAAGATTAAATATTTAATAAAGTTATGCTTGTTGATCTTTTAACAATTCTGGAATTATCTACATTTTTGCTTATTATTTCTTTTTTAGTAAATAGAGATTACTTAATTTTTTATCTCATTTCATCCAATTATTTATCTCTATTTTTTTTCATTATAAAATATATTTTATAAATTAAAAGATAACACTCTTCAGGTGCATCTTAAAAAAATTAAATAATTTCAAAATGAATGATGATAATTCTACCACAAAATATAATCAATTCATTCCTTCTTCCTTTTATTTATTTACAAAATTTTCACATTTTAAATGAAATTTAGATCTTCCTCTACTTTGAATTCATCGATTTTAAAATTAAAATTGTCTTCAAAAAAAGTAAAAAAAGAATGTTTTGAAATTTTTGATCGATAATTTGGCTTCAAAATCTTTGATGCTAAATATTCTTTAGGTTTTTTTCTTTTTTATGGATTCTTTTGAAGCATTGATTTCATAATTTCAACAATATTCTTGTCATAATTTATACTAGGAATTTAATATTTTCCAGCAATATTATTAGATAGTATATTTTTTTAATCTTTGCCAAATGGATTTTCATTAAATAGCCTATATTAGCTTTATTATGTTTACATATAGTATAAAAGAACTCCTAATTAATATATATTGGCTTATGTGGAGATAGCAAAATTAATTTAATATTACTCTGGTGGAATAAATCCAATCGAATTACCTTTTCTAAAATTCAAATTAATAATACATTTATGATCGAATCTCTGTCTCAAATATAGAATGAGAAAAATTACACAAAAATACAGAATTATATTCCTAAGAATAACATAAATTATCTAAGGTGATTCCATTATGAATTATTTTTAATTCTTCAAAAATGCTCAAGACTAAAATTTTAATTATTAATTACCAATAAGTAATTGTTCTAGGATTTCAATTATAAAAGAAACAGGAGGATTTTTATATTTCTTCAAAATTTATCTTAGGGTAATTTAAGTTGAATTTTAATAAATTATTGAATAACATTCCCCATCAAAAGTAATTTAATCTATTTTTTAAATATAGGGACATCGTTGAATATTCAACAATTATATGATACGTATCTCCTCTGGTACTTTTTCGCATCCAAAATTAGTGATGCTTGAATTCGATAATTCTTGAGAATATATTTAATTAATTCTTTTTTCAATATATTTTTTACCATTATAACTATTTATTATTGTCGATAGCTATGTTTATAACCTATTAATACTTGATATGTGGAAGTTGTCTCAATTATGGTATCCAAAGTGTAAATGTCATTCCTTTTAAAAATATATTTTCTTGCAGAATATTCGTAAACAGAATCTAATTAATTTTACGTCCCAAAAACTTTGAATAACTACCCATGAAAATGTATTAAGAAATATAGATTTTCATTCTTTGAAATTTTTTTGTATGGACTCCAATCAAATATTACATCGTCATCACAAAAGTCAATATTTACTAGCAAGGAATAATCAGAAGAGTTCTAAATCAATTAAATTTTTACTATTAACTTCAAACCATTTCCATAAGGAATCAATAAGATAGACTATTTGTTACCTTTCTAAATTTTTAGTCCTTCTATAAGAAATAAACTGTTTTCATACATTGTCTTTGTATTAAATAAGATTTAGTATTTTATAAAATAAATAATAAAATCTTTCCATTTTCTAAAATGAATTTAAATTCAATCATTTTAGGCAATATCAGTTTAATCTTTATTATTAAACTTTCAAATTCATGTTATAACAAATCTATAATCCTTTAGTTTAAGTTTATTAATAAAAATTAATAAATTTCAGTGATTTTCCTTTCCTCTCTGTAGAAAAAAAATTAAACTTTGTTAACTTATTTCAAATCACAATTTAATTTTTGTTTTTATTTAAATATTAATTTAATCAACATCCTTCTTTTACTATAAAGTCATACTATAACAAGAAATATAAGTATAAACAACCTATTATATATGATAAAATTACTAACCAAGTAATTTTTGTATTTTGTAAACTTTTTAGATGAATTTTTCCCTTTTTCAATATTTAATATTTCATACAAAATCAACTTAAATTTTGAATACCAAGCTCAATTAAACTTTCTTGTTCTATTTCTGTATAGTATTGATAATATCTAATTTATTTTTATAAATTAAAGAAATTTAACAAAAAAGGGAATTTCTAAGTCTTATAAATGAATCTTTTAAAAAGTATACTCTGATAAAATAGAATATTTTGGTACTATACCAAGGTGTGTACAAATTTGAACATGCTAATATAGGATAATCAGTTGGAGTAGAATTTAAAAGATAGAGAAATTCTGAATATTCTTTCATATTCGGATAGTTTTTGACAAATGTATTTGTCAAATAGTATTCACAGTTAATTTCCTTCTTTAGAAAATATTTCTTGAGAAAAATATAACATAATTTTACAATCTATATTATATAAAGATTTTCTATATTAATAAATATTTGTTTTAATAATATTGATCACTTAAAGATTATTAAGTAAATTAATTAATTAATGAATCAACCACCCTATCCACCTCCAGGTTATCCGCCTTAACCAGGATAATAAGGCTAACAAAATTATCCTCCTTAACCAGGTTACCCTCCTTAACCTAATTATCCTCCATAACCAGGATATCCTCCTTAACAAGGATATTAAGCATAATAAGGTGGGTGTCCTCCTTATACTGGTTATCCACCATAAACAGGATATCCTCCATAATAATAATTAAGATGTAAATATTATATTAAAATTAATCAGAGATTTAATTTGTTGTCAATGCATGGCCATTATTTAATAATTTTCCAGTTACAGTAACAATAGATGATAATTAATATGTTGATACTCTAGTTAGAAATGCATGTTCATAAGCATTAATAAATTATAATGCTGTTAGAGGATTAAAGATAAAGCCAGGTTAATCTAGAAACTAATTTTGCAAGGTATTTTAGTTAAATTAATTTCAGGCTGAAATTATTCCTCCAAATATAACAATAGCTTAACTTGCTAATTAACATCAAAAAGGAAATGAAAAAATTTAAGTTCATTTAGATTTGATGCCATAGATTGGATAACCTATTGCATTATCTCCTAAAGTCACTGGTTTTGATTATCAATCATTAGATTATTTTAAATAGAATCCTAGAGCTTTTGGAGAATCTGTATGTGCTATGTTAAATAGTGATGGTGGAATCTGTTTAATTGGATTGGGTTAAGATATGAAAATTAAAGGATTGATGGTACCAAATTCAAAATAAGAAATTTAATAGACTATTATTTCATTACTTAAGGATCACATCTATCCTCCTGGATTCTAATCATTAATTAAAGTATATTAATTTCATTTATTCTACATAGTCTAAAATACACCATCTTATTGATTAAAATGGAAATAAGTCTCAGTTGTCTGGAATTGTTGTTCAAGTAGAAAGATGTCCAAAAACAGATATTGCCTTTACTTATGATTATGTCTTTTTCTATAGGAAGGGAAATGCTAATGAAAGAGCATATCCACATGAAATTACTAATATTTTAAGATAGAAAAAAGGAAAGATGGCTAAATAATTTATCTTAACATTTAATATTTGATTAATCAATCTAACAAATATTAATATCATTTCTATCAAATTTCATTTTTTCTTAAATATATATGTTTATTAAATTTTTCATTTTCTTCTTAATTAATCTTAATTATTATTNAACCACCCTATCCACCTCCAGGTTATCCGCCTTAACCAGGATAATAAGGCTAACAAAATTATCCTCCTTAACCAGGTTACCCTCCTTAACCTAATTATCCTCCATAACCAGGATATCCTCCTTAACAAGGATATTAAGCATAATAAGGTGGGTGTCCTCCTTATACTGGTTATCCACCATAAACAGGATATCCTCCATAATAATAATTAAGATGTAAATATTATATTAAAATTAATCAGAGATTTAATTTGTTGTCAATGCATGGCCATTATTTAATAATTTTCCAGTTACAGTAACAATAGATGATAATTAATATGTTGATACTCTAGTTAGAAATGCATGTTCATAAGCATTAATAAATTATAATGCTGTTAGAGGATTAAAGATAAAGCCAGGTTAATCTAGAAACTAATTTTGCAAGGTATTTTAGTTAAATTAATTTCAGGCTGAAATTATTCCTCCAAATATAACAATAGCTTAACTTGCTAATTAACATCAAAAAGGAAATGAAAAAATTTAAGTTCATTTAGATTTGATGCCATAGATTGGATAACCTATTGCATTATCTCCTAAAGTCACTGGTTTTGATTATCAATCATTAGATTATTTTAAATAGAATCCTAGAGCTTTTGGAGAATCTGTATGTGCTATGTTAAATAGTGATGGTGGAATCTGTTTAATTGGATTGGGTTAAGATATGAAAATTAAAGGATTGATGGTACCAAATTCAAAATAAGAAATTTAATAGACTATTATTTCATTACTTAAGGATCACATCTATCCTCCTGGATTCTAATCATTAATTAAAGTATATTAATTTCATTTATTCTACATAGTCTAAAATACACCATCTTATTGATTAAAATGGAAATAAGTCTCAGTTGTCTGGAATTGTTGTTCAAGTAGAAAGATGTCCAAAAACAGATATTGCCTTTACTTATGATTATGTCTTTTTCTATAGGAAGGGAAATGCTAATGAAAGAGCATATCCACATGAAATTACTAATATTTTAAGATAGAAAAAAGGAAAGATGGCTAAATAATTTATCTTAACATTTAATATTTGATTAATCAATCTAACAAATATTAATATCATTTCTATCAAATTTCATTTTTTCTTAAATATATATGTTTATTAAATTTTTCATTTTCTTCTTAATTAATCTTAATTATTATTAATATGACACACTTAAAATATAATTATAAATAAAATGATAGATAATCAAAATAAATAGTATATTAATTTAACGATCATTATAATAAATTATGAGTTAAGGTTGAAAAGTATTTATTTCTGATAATAATTTAAAAATATGATAAAGTTTTCTAAAAAATCAAAACAATTTACATATTATCAGGTTGTAAAATTTATTAAAAAAATTGATGATTAGGAATAAGAATGTATTAAGATGTGATAATATATTGGTTGATAAATTAAGAGTAATTTGATTATGATTAATCATCTACAGTTGGGATAATTATTATGAATGAATAAGAGATTGTGTATTAAAAATAATAATAATTAATATTAAAATGAATGTGTTATTAAGTCGTTTTTAATATAAATCGTTTTTCATTATTAAGTTTATCAGAAATGAAATACATCTTGATTGTTTTGTTGGCCTTAGCAGCTACAAGCTCAGCATCAAAAACTTAAGACTAAATTTTAGCCCTTTTATAAGTAAATATTGATTTAAAAGTATTAGACAGGAACAAAAGCAAGTGATGCTATTGATACAGTGTTTGGATTATTAAATGATTTGAAATAATCAAACATTGATGCATAATTTGCAGCTGATCAAAAGAATGAAACAGATGAATGGGTTGGTGCATAGTAATAATATATTGGAAATATTTAGAACAATTGAATCATTCACCAAAATCAAAGCATTGAACTAAAAGTTATTCTAATAAGCAGTTGAGAATAGAGCAGAATATGAAAGTGTATTATAATAAACCAAAAACTATCTGGCATGGAATGAAGCTAGAAGAGATTCTATTGCTGCTAAAATTGAAACACTCTAAGACAACTAATGTTTCAGCAATTAATTATTTGTCAAATCAATTAAACATAACTAAGAAGCTCTTGAAGTTATCAAGCTTTTGAAACAAGATGTTGCTGGATACATAGTTAATGGAGATTCATTTGAATTTACATAAGTTTAAGCTTAATCTGTTGCTGAAAAATTAAAGTAATACAGTAATTTGTTCTAAGAACATCAAATCAAATCATTCTTAGCCTTAGCATAAGAATAATAAGTAAATATTACATATTAATATTAATAGGAATAATCATCAGGAAATGGATCAACCTTGGCTGAAAGAGTTTTGGCAGTCTTAGAAGGATTACATGCTGAATTAGAAGCCTCATTAGAGAATTTGAAATAAAATGAAATCAATGCTTCATGGGAATTAGCTGGTTGGGTTTCATTATCTGAAGCTGAAATTGCATCTTTAGAAGTTGAATATGAAAGAAAATAAGTATTTGCTGATAGAACTGCTACTGTATTTATACATTTTTATTAATCTATAGTAAATCTAAGCTGCATTAGCTTAATAAGCTAAATCTAAGATCATTTTATAAGAATCATAAGATGCTTTAGATCAAGCATAATCAGATTTAGAAGCTAAGAGAGCTGACTATGAAGAAGCAAAAGCTAAAAGAAATGAAGAAAATGCTATCTTGGATGAAGTAATCATCATGTTCAAGAAATAAGTTGCTTCATGGTCTGGAAGATGATATCTTTGATAGATATAAACATTATGTCATTTATTAATAAACATCCAATCACTTATTTTAAAAGATAAAATTAAATTACTTCTTATAATTATAACATCAACCATTTTTTGTTACAGTATTAATGTTCTATCCTCTTATGATGAGAAATCTAAATTAAATTTATAAATACTCACTCTCTTTCTTCATTTTACTTTTCAATTTTATCAACTTCTTAACACTCTTTATTATCATTTTTGTATCTATTGTCTATGTTCTATTTAGCCATTAACTATTCTTCCTCTTCAATGTTTTCTATCAACCCTTAATTCAATGTTTCTTTTAGTGGAATTAATAAAAATCCACATAACATTCCAATCAATCCAAAAACAACCATGGGGTGAACTTTCAACTATTAACATAAATTATTTAAGAAAGTTTAAACAATACTACCAATAGAGCCTCCTGCTGAAATTAATAGTAATGCTAAAGATCTTACAACTGAAGGAAATAATTCAGATACATAAACAAATCCTAAAGCCCAGATTACACAAATTATAAATCTCATCAACTACAATATTATGTAATTTTCATACTCCTGCCAAAATGCCTTACAATACTACAAAGAGTGGATTATCAAATTTTAGTAAGAAGTATTAACTTAATAAACCTACTAATACCAGTCCTAAAATTATATTTCTTTTTCTTTTTAATTTTGTTACAAGAAAATCTTGATAATAATAATTGTATATTTACCTGTTATTAAATAAGCAGATAATTCGAATAGTGCAATAATGTAGTTGCTTGTGAAAAAGTTAATACCTAATTAATCACTAACGAAACTGATTCCATAATAAATAAGTTAAATTCCAAAAAACATCATGACGCAAGCTATAAATACATATCTAATAGACTTGTATTTAACAAGATCCCATGCTGTATAAATCCTTTAATTTTTTTCTTTAGATTTAGGATTTGTGATTAATTCATCATTTTGAATAGGTTTACATTGATTAATTCTAGCAATTTTATTGAGTGTTTAAACACATTGTGTTTTGTTTTTAGAATATAAAAATTAAGGAGACTCAAATACAAGTAGATTAGCAAAGTTTAAGAGAATTGTAGGAATTGCAGCAATTATAGCTAATTATCTCCAATCTGTAATATAATAAGCCAAAGTGATTATTGTAAATTCACCTATTGCAAAGAAAACCTAGAGACCTACATTTTAGAATTCTCTGAAATGTCCTTCTTATAATTAAATTGTAAATATTACAGGAATGCTCATTGATTAATGAATAATGTACTGTTATAGCAGGATTACCTCCAAAACCTAAAAGAAACAAAGCAATTGTTATCATAAAGAAATTTTAAGCAGACTAAAGAATTAGTAATTATAAGTAACTGCTAAAATTAATGATCCTATTGTAGTGATAGCCCAAGATAGAGTCAATGCCAGTTTTCTTCCATAATTATCAGCTATAAATGAAAAGATAAAGAATCCTGTTAGTGAGCCAAAATAAACAATCGATTTAATTATTGATTATAATGTCTATTCGCAAGGCAATAAAGTATTAAATGCTATATTTAATGAATTACCAACAAGAAACTCAATTCTTGATTAATCTTCCTAAGACTATTTATTTTTATTACACAAATATAAGATAGACATTTTTCATCCAGAATTAAAGTAGAACATTCATTTATACAATTAATATCGTTTTTGCAATCAATTGTTGGTTAGATAAAATAGAAAACAGGAGCGAAAAGAATCCATCTAGGATTATTATAAATTCATACGTGGTTATCATCCATTATAAACCAAATATGACAAATGTTCTTTTTTAGTAGTAACCTGATGATCCTACTTAAGATAATGCTTAATCATAATTTAATTATTTGAATTCTATTTCATCAGTGTTATCCATAGATTCTACTTAATCCTATTATTCAACATAAGCATTGTTTTCTTATTGGTGATCAATATCCTCATACATTTATTAAGCTTTTGAATATATAATAAAATTTTATATAAAAATACGTAATAATGATAATGAATATTATTTAATCAATAAAATAATTATTATAAAAAAATATGCATATCTAATTTAAAGTATTTAAGGATTAATTAAATCTAATTAAATATATTATTTATTTATTTAAGATGAATATTATAAGAAAAGCTTCCACTAAAATTTTGAGACCATAATTCAATTATTAAAAAGTGATTCTATTCCCTGGAGATGGAATAGGCCCTGAAATCTCTAAAGCTGTAATCGATATATTTGATGCTGCTAAAGTACCAATTGAATGGGAATTTCATGAAATTCATAAAAAGAGAGTCACTGATCAAGGAGATTTGATTACTGAAGAAACTCTCAAATAAGTGAAAGCTTTAAAATATGCATTAAAAGGTACAAATATTATAATATATTCAGGACCATTTGAAACTCCAATTGGAAAGGGATATAGATCTATAAATGTCACTTTAAGAAAGAGATTATAACTATTTGCTAATGTTAGACCATGCAAATCTATTAAAGGAGTAAAAACCCCATATCCAGGAGTTGATGTTGTAACTATTAGAGAAAATACTGAAGGTGAATATAGTGGTTTGGAACATGAAGTTGTTCCTGGAGTTGTTGAGAATCTCAAAATAGTTTCATATAATGCTTGTTAGAATATTGCTTAATATGCATTTGAATTTGCAAGAGCAAATAGTAATTTAATATATATTAATTCTAGATAGAAAATAAGTTGTAGCTTGTCATAAAGCAGGTGTTATGAAATAAGGAGATGGATTATTTTTAAAAGTTTGTGATGATGTTGCAAAAAATTATCCAGAAATTGAGTTTAGCGAAGAATAAATTGATACTATGGCTTTCAAATTAGCTAATGATCCTACTAAAATAGATGTCATGGTTATGCCCAATCTCTATGGTGATATTGTCTCAGATCTATGTGCTGGTTTGATTGGAGGATTGGGTTTAACAGCTTCAGGAAATATTGGAAAAGATTGTGAAGTTTATGAAGCCGTCCATGGAACTGCACCAGATATTGCTGGAAAAAATCTTGCTAATCCCACTGCCTTATTGTTATCAGGAATTATGGTATGTCAAGATCATTTATTATTTAGATGTTAAAAGCTATGAGTTTAAATGATTATGCAAACAGAATTGAAAATGCTACATACAAAGTTTTGGAAGAAGGCAAATTTTTGACTGGAGATCTTGGAGGCAAAAGCACAACAACTGATTATACCAAAGCCATCATTGATAAATTGTGATCAATGCATATCTAAATACATGTTTATTATTCCATTAATTTTTTTAAAACAATGAAGAAACCTTTATATCTATCAGAAATTATCTATTTCATTTTGTCCATTGGAAACATCATACAACTTCTTCTACTTTAAAACCTGCCAATTATAACTATAGTTTTGATCTTAATTGCTGTTGGCATTTTAATTATTAATCTTGCCATCAAGATTTATTATTACTCAACTGATGATTCATCTATTATACTATTGATGCTTAACACAATTACTATAATCATCAGAATCATAGCCATGGCTAATATTCAATAAATTATCTATTAAACAGATATGTATTGTATTTTATTTTATTAGTTTTTTTGATTGCTTCACATTTTCATCATACAAAACTCAAATCATAAGTTCAAATTTATCTCAGCAATTACCTATACAATTCTTTAAGCCTTATTGGATTTGAATTTTTATAGAATTATATTATCTATAACAATCTTTCATCAAATGATTTAAAACAAGTAAAATAACCAATTATTATAATTATAGAAACAATATTAATAAATTGCCAGAAACTCCAAGAAAAATACTTAAATAATCTCACACTTGGCATAATAATTAAAATTACATAAATAATTAACTTCCAAATGACTTAAATATCAAATGTATTTCATCTCAACCTAATATGCATATTCAATTTGATTCTCTCATAAAAGAAGATACCTTTGAAAATTTAAAAAAAGTATAAGATTTATTTCATTTACCTTATCTAATAACAGACAAGGATGCAAAACCTATATAATATAATTCATATTTTATGAATGCTTTTGAAATAAGTGATTAAAAACATATTCAGTATAGAATCCAAAACATGAAAATATACCGTCTTGATAAAAAAAGCCAAAAAGTTGTTAAAAAAGTCTTCATAGAAAAATAAATCAATAATAATTTTTACTTAAGTTCATTGAGCTAACCTAATATTAATCAAATGTTGAGCATTTCTAGCTAACCTATTAAATTACACTTAATTCATGTTCTATAAATTATGGATGCTTAAAATTGTTAATGTTCTGTCATAGATTTCTAATCAGAATTTTTAAGAAATGTTTATTAAATTGATATTAAGCTTATTTAAGGCTATTTTCTATTTATTTTCACTTAAACATAGGAAAGAGATGATTATAAAAATAAAATAAACACTAAGCTTTTAATGAATTAATTATTTAGAAGTTTAAGTCATGAGTTTAGTACTTCACTAAATTGCATATAAATATTGGCTGAAAATGCAGCAGAAGAGTTATAAGAAACAATTGTGTAAAAGTATATATCACCTTTATTAAATTCATGTAATATAATAAAATATTTTAGGTTATATATTAAATAGTATTGTATAAGATGTCAAAGATTTTAGTTTGATTTTATCAAAGAATTTTACTTTAACAATAAAAAATACAAATATATACAAATTAATTAATGAAGTTACTGCCCTATTTTAATAATAATTATAAATGAAAGGTTTGAAAATTAATATTATAACAAGCAATCTTTAAATTCATACAGATGCTTAAAGAGTGAGATAATCTCTGATAAATTTATTATCAAATGCTTAGAAATTTACATTTTAAGTATTAAAATAATCAATTTTAGGGAAGTATAACAATTACTGCAACTGAAGAAAGTATTAAAGATACTAAATATGTTAAGATCTCTGTAGAAGATACAGGACCAGGAATGGATAATGAAACTCAACTTAAATTAGAATAGTTTTTGAAATCTAGTTAAAAATGTAGATATAAAGAGAAAAATCAATCATTTGGAATGGGGTTATTAATCACAGAAAAAATAGTTAAAGGTTTGTCTTTGAATTACGAAGGTGGTATACATTTTGAATCTAATGTATATTAAGGATCTAAGTTTTGGTTTTTAGTATAAGATTTAAATTAAGAAGAATTACCAAACTAGAATTCTAAATAGACAATTCGTTATAACAAGATTAATTCTTCTTATAGCATTTCAAAATATGATTAAAGTTTCCCTGTTAGTCCTACTTTAAAAGATATAAAACACCAGTTTTCACCACTTTTAAATCATAGATTTAACAAGGATGGTTAGAATTTATTATTAAATTAAAGCAGTTCAATGAGTCAATCTGAAAGTAAATATTATTAAGAGATTAATTAGATATATCTTATCAAGAAGAAAAATTCGACTGTATTCTCAATCCTTATATTATGAAATAAGGATTTTAAAAACCTTTGAAAAATATCATAGAGTTAGAAGAAACACCTTCTATTTCAACAAAAATATTAATTGTTGATGATGAATTTGTAAATGTTTATGCTTTAAAAATTATGTTAAATCGTCTAAATTATTAATGTGATGAAGCCAATAATGGTTATGGAGCATTAGATAAGTTTATGAAAAACTAATATAAACTAATTTTTATGGATATAGAAATGCCTACTATGAATGGAGTTACAGCTACTAAACAAATTTTTTAGTATTGTGAATAAAACAATTTACAAAAACCAATAATAATTGCATAAACTGCATATACAGATTCATTGACAAAAACAGTTTGTTATGAAGCTGGAATGAACTATTTTTTATAAAAACCAATCCATACAAAAGATATTAAGTAAATTCTTGATGAAAAATTGTGATCTATTATTTATATCAATATTTAACTTTTTGTTGATGTTTAAAACTGATTAATACTTTTTTTATTTTATCTTTTGGTATCTTCTTCTACTACTTCTAAACTATAAATTTAAATGGGTGATTTTATACCGGTTTTACTATTTTTGATATCTTAAAATCATTTTTGATTGTCATAATTTTCTTCTTTATTAATTTTCATCTTTAATAATTCTATCTTTGTTTTAAATTAAATTTATTTTCTTCATATATCACTTCATTTTCCTTATTCAAAGATTTAATATTTTAACAATTCTTTAAAGTTTAAATTAAAGGTATATATTCTATAATATTAAATAGGGATTTTATTTCTCTAAGTTTTCTACTCAATCTGTTCTTCTAAAAAAGCTTCTTTTGATTCTCCATTCCATAAGAATATCTGCATTTGATATAACGGGAATAAAGTAATAATTTTGGGCTATAATTGTATTTAGAAAATATGAATAAAAAACTAAATAGAATAAAATTTCTCTATATAAATGGAAAAATTTATTTATTTTTACACAAAAATATTTAACAAAACAAATTTCTTATGTGTTCTAGAGATATGTCGTATGATGTAATGAATGTCAACAACAACCAATTAATAGGTTACTCAACTTAAGTAAGAATATATATTAATTTTTTAGCTAAAGGAGAAAACAGATGCATCTAAACTTAAACATTCGATTAAAGAATAAAAAAATATGGTAATCGATGGTGACATGATTAATGAATATGTAAAAGTAGTTCATACACAATATTCTAATGGGGATAAGAAAGTTAAATGCACCTATAAGACACAATTAAATTGATGAGAAATAATAAATTGATTCTATCACATGTATAGAATAATTTTAATAATATCATATCCATATAAATATAATTTAAAATAACAATAATCAGTGCTCATATAATAATCACTCAGACTTTTGCAGAAATATCATCAGTTCAAATAATGCAAAATAAAGTTAATTTTTCCTTGGAGTCTTTATATCCATATTAAAAAATAAAATTTTGGAATAAAGAAAATTTAGATGGAGATTTGGATTAATTTTACATTTACTAGTTCATGGCCTCATTTTTTATTTTTATTCCCATTATTTTATTTATTGTTAAATATATATATATATATATAAATGTCTCAAATCAATATATAAATATTTACTTATAGAGAATAGTAATGAGTAGACAAACAAATAGACAATTCTACAAAGAGACTATTATTTTGAGAAAGGTTAATCAGTATCTACAAAGATGCTATTACTCCTAAGACAAATAATGTAGATAATATTTAATAGAATAAATTTTACGATTTATGTGAAGCAATATATCAATTAGGAAATATATTTTAAAAATAAGATGCATCTACGCAATCAATTTATTCAAAATTTAAATACCATACATGCTGGATAAAAAATATATGCTGATAGAATGCCTAGCTCTAAAAATATAAAAATGGCTTACTGGGTTTGGCCAGATGGTATTTTACCATATATGATTGATGAATCATTTCTATAAGATATGAGAATTCAATTAGAAAAAGCAATATTAGAATTTCAATAATAAACACCGATTAGATTTTTAAAAATACAAGATCCTTCTAAATATAAGCACTATTTAATATATTTATAAGATCCAAATAAAAAAGGAGAAGGTTATGTAAAGAAATGTGGTAGGTAGCCAGAAGAAGTAGGAAAAAGCATCAAACATGAAGTGTTTATTAATCGTACTGCAAGATATGCAACATATCTTCATGAAACTATGCATATTTTGGGCTTTATGCACACATAATGTAGAGATGATAGAGACTTATATGTGATAATAAACCCAGGATATGAAGAAGTTAATGATTATTAAAAGCGTCCAAATTTCTAAATGATCGGTAATTATGATAAATAATCAATTATGCATTACAGTATAGGTAATGAATGTAAAATGTAACCTCGACCAGAATATGCTGGTTAAACTTTTGGATATGCCGAACATTTAAGCTCTTAAGATATACAAGTCATTAAACTGATTTATGGACACGAGAAATGTTCTTATAGTGTTTACTAAGCGGAAGAGATAATATAACTCTATTGTAAATGTGAAACTTGTAATTTAATTGTTTGCATCCCATGTGGCTTAGTATGCCACAAAGAAAAAAATCATAAAACAAAAATGGAAAATTAATATACATAAGACTATAAATATAAATAATTGTGTTGTTAATGTGGGATGAATAATCATTAATGTAATGGCTAGAATCAATTCTTATTAAAATGAAATGATTTATACATATAATAAAAAATAATTTAAATAAAATTATTTAATATTCAACATATTATTATTAATTTAAAATAAAGTTAGGATAAATAAAATAATAAATCTTTTTTTGATGAATTCTCTTATTTATCCAATAGATGAAATATAAATTTATCACATTCTCATATACTTACTTATTGGGACAATAATGTAATGAATTTGAACTTATAGCAAATCACCTTAATATCATTAAAGAAAAATCTATAAATTAATTTAAGTAATAATTAAATGTATTGAATACAGTTACAAAATTCATCATAGTCATTTCGAAAACTCTTTTAAGAGTCAATATAATTTTAATTATTTTAAATGAAAATTTATAATATATCAATAATCTCATTGTTGTAAGAAAGAGCAAAAATATTTCAATTTATTATTTTTCAGATTAATTAATAGTAATGTAAAATAATGTTTATATAAAAACAGAATGAATTGAAGATTTTGCATAAAAGAATCATAATCATTAATTAGTTGACATAATTCTTAATAATAAAATAAATCTCATTCCCTTAATTTGATACCCCTTTAGATTATAATTTTTAATTTATATTGATATTTTAGCAAACAGTAATATTAATCAACTGCAATTTATTTAATATTTATTTTTGTAATATGATTTCAAATTTAGATTAATTCTTCAAATTTTAAATATTTCGATTGAAAGATTTTAATTGTAAAAAATAACAATTTAAAAAAAAAATAACTATTTTTAATCTATAAAAATGTTTGTAATTATGTTTGAGATTTTTGCTTATGCAAAATTAGAAACTGTAAATCTAATAATTTTTATTGACATGATGTATTATTATTCAGAAAAGAGTTTAAAAGAACAAAACTATTACAAATGTTAAGGTAAAATTACACTAAACTAAAAGGGTAGAAGAAGTGATTCTAATATAATATATTATTCTTATTAATATAAGTAATGAATATTTAATCCGCTTGCAATCTTTTTAGCTTTATCAAATAATTCTTTATAATAATTAGATTATAACTAAAATTAATTGTACATTATAATGCTTTCTATAAATAAAATTATTAATTTAATTTAAAGATACCTTTATAATATAAAAATGCTTAAAGCTAATGATTTTAACAATTCAATTTTAGTTTACAATAAATTAAGACTTGTTCATCGGTACTTTTAGAAATAAAAACTTGCTCTTGTTATCAATTATTCAAGTATTCACAAAATGAAGTTTTCAATTTATGTTATATAAAATTATCAGTTTTATTTTATATAAAACCCCTTATATTTTTACAAAACTTTATCTATTGGATATGAATCTAGTCAAACATATATTTTCTTGTTTAAATAAAATACCAGCATTTCAGTTTTAGATTCTTAGATTAAAAAATAACTTAATCAGTGGAAACTGAATGGTATCTTTAGTAATTCTTAATCCTTAGGTAACAGACAAAACTATATAATTGTCAAACTCAACTCGGCATTTCACTTTAAATGTCGTATATATGAAAAAACTTAAAATTTAAAAAAAAAAATTTCCAAATATAAAAAGCTATTTTAAATGTTTATTTGAAAATTTAAGAAAATAGTGAGATTAAGAAAAAATTTATGCATTTTTGAAATCTAACTAATTTTTTTTAAGTCTATATTCAATTTGAAAAGATAAAAATGGAAATAGTTGGATAAATGAAAATCAAGAATTATTTAATTATTCAAAAAATAAAATTGTTAGAAAAAATTGTTGAATAAAACTCAAAATATAAGATAGAATTTACTGATCATTTAAACAAAATTACTAAGAATAAGATTATTAGTCAGACTAGTTGAATAATCATGGTCGTTGTTAATTAAAGATTTTTTAACAAGATTAAGATAAGATTGAATTAAAAAACTATTTTGTTGAGATTGAGCAACAATAAAGATATTCTTAAATAGTGATTACATTCTAAACATCAAATCAAGTAAAAATATAATTTAGATATATGTAAAAAAAAAAGACAACATATATAGATTTAGATGTTCAATATAGAATTGATCTTTTTTAAATATAATGATTTAACCGAAAAAAACTGTTGGTATTTTAGAATACAATTTTTTAAGTATCTCATTCATCAAAAATATTTGAAATGATGAGTTCTAAAATAAGTTAGGCTATATTAATAATGAAATTTAGATAATTTAAGATAAAACTCAAATAAGAGTTCTTTATATATTCTAATATATATTGGTTTTTTTCAAATTTTTATGCCATTTCTAGGCTAGAAAAAAAATGTTTTTAAATTTCTTTTAGTAGAAAAGTAGGATCTAATGTATTTTTGGGTTTTTTAAACTACATTTCTATTGTTTTACATTCCAATTAGATTAAGAGATAGTAAGGTTAGGGGTTTATCGAATAATAATTAAACTTTATTGATTATCCCCTTCAACACAACTATTTAGTTTAAATTTGATAATTAATATCTTATTTTTTTGATTGTATATTCTGAACGTGCTTATATTCATTTATAATAATAGAGATTAACTAAATGGAGATCATATTTTATTTTATTATACCAATTAGTTCAAATGAAATCCTGAAGACCTTAATTATAATTTAATCCCCAAAAATGAAAATCAGAAAAAATACATATTTTTTAGATGATATTAAAATTATCAAATATCAATAAATATTAAGAAAAATTATTTATAGGAAAAATTAAGAAATTATTAATTTCAATTTACAAATAAATTAATAAAAAACTGATTCTTTATTAATATCATTTAGCATAATTGATAATTTCATGTAAATTTAATCTTGTATTTTATTAAATATGAATAAAAATATATATGTAAATAATGAAATTACATTTTTATTGAATTTTCATTTATATCCCATCTTCCATATTTCTTTATCATATAAAAATTCACCATCATTTTTAATGTGACTTTAACTAAAAAAATAAATATCAAAATAATACAACTAAAATTAGTGGATAAATAAACCCATCTAACCTGACTTATCACCACCGCTAATATAAAATATATTAGTTATTTACATCAACTTCCACCTTCCCTTTTCCTTTTAATAAATATCTCATATAACAGCCTTATTTCCTTATTAATATTATTGATTATTACTAATATAAATTTATATCATTTAGTAAAAACCTATAAAAACAATCTGCTAATTCTATCCATTTTCCTTTTTTCAAAAATTAATCATATAAGAGATATCAATATTAGTTTCTTAATATTAGTGCAATTATGTTATATCATAGTTATTTTATTATTTTTTATTAATCTTATGACTTTACATTTAAATTGTAATTATAAACTCAAAAGATTATATCTAATTATTATCTTTAGCTACTATAAAATAGAATTGTGAAAAATTCAATTAAAATGATAAATTTTAATCAATATATATTCTAAATTTCTCATCTAACTGGAATGAAAAAAGTAATCATTTTAATTTCTAAAATGGCATTTGATAAAAATATTTTTTCTTAGATATAATTTTATAATTTAAATATAAATAAATGTATAATAAAAAATAGTTTATAATTAGAATAAAATTTATTTAAGATAAAATAATTTCAGGATTTTTAAAAAATAAATAAAAAATTAAGTAATAATTATAGATTAAATTATTAGCTTTATATTTTGAAAGTAGTCATAAAATTATTTTACAAAATCATATCACAATATAATTAGAAATTACTTCTGAACAAAGATTTTAATGGAGAATCATTCTTATTTTTTTAGGTTACGCCAAGTCTACATCACATCAATTTTAGAAAAATGATATGTTTGTTTCATTTTAAATACATCTAAATTCCAGTAGTTTATAAGGAAGGATGTTTGATATTCATAAGATTTTTTAAATCAAATAGTGAGTAATTAAAAAATATTTTTAATATGAACAAATTTTATATTACCTTAAAAATATCTTCTGATTAAGATCATAGACTCTCTTAAATTATTCGAATCATAATCGATAATGAACTAGATAAAAACTAATTTCTTGATATTCTTAATCAAATTCATGATTTTTAAGATTTTTGATTTACTTCCGATTTAAAAAGATTTATTGTATAAATTAAATTATTTATCACAATGAATTTTTACTTTTTTTAGGGTTATTAACATTTTCTTATATAATGTTTCTTCGTTATTGCAACAATTTCTTTAGATGCATTCCTAAGTGATTTTAAAATTCTCCTTGAAACACTTAAGCGTTTTTGGCTAAATACAATTCTTATTATGAGTCTTGATTGTCTAATTGGAGTTTTAATTTATTTTACTATAAAAGTTGATTATATTATGATAAAATTTATTTATGCTTATTATCTTCTAATATGTGGATAGATTTCTCGTAATAAAAAAGTAATCTAAGCTAATTTTTGGTACCTTTTATGATCTTATTATAATTATTATTTTTCATTTTAATATTTGTGATTGAATCAATTTTTTCTTTCATATTAAATAATATTTGATTTTCAAAGTTTCTTTACTAATTTAAATCAATTATTGCTGTAAATTATCCCAGCATCATTCAAAATTTTAAATTTCAATTGGCCTTTCTTTAAACATTTGCATTTATCATTCATATAGCCAGCAATCAGCATCTTAATACTGAAATAAGAGAATTTGTTTAAATATAATTATTATTAGTTTTCATCAAATTTTAAAATTTAGATTTCTTTAATTCTTAATCCTTCTGAGGTTTTTATTTCTATTCCCTCTAATATGAATTTTTATTTGAATAAAATCTAATAATTCTATGGAATATTAGGATATCGTACATGTATTAGCCAATTAATTTATTTTTAATAAATTGATAGTTATATGCAAATAATTTAATTCAAATGAACTTTTTTATAAAACATGCCATTTTCCATATTTGTTAATTATTTGGAGTAATTATTACTTTAAAAATTTAATTATTCATATTTAATTTTATATTTATATATTTATAGTTGATTATGCTATATACTAGAACCAAGAGCTTAAAAATATCCTTAATAAGGGAAACTAGATTATTTTCATTTGAATATAAGAAAAAAATGTTAAAGCATATTTATTAATTGAACAAGAGACTATTGGAAAAAGGATTGACATAAAGGATGTATCAAAAGAATTTATGCGAATAAGAATAAATATAACCTAACGCAAATATTACATAAGCGATTAACCCTTAAATAAATTTTCTAAACATAAATAATTTAATTGAGTAACGATGTTGTTTTGATGATAAACAAACAATCTTTTAAAAAAAGCAATTTTGTCTAATTTGGAACTTAATTAAGTAATTAAGATTATATTTATGGCTTTTCATATATTTTTGCTAAATTTTTCAACAGTTTTATCGTTATTGATTTTATATATTTAAATTATCACTATGTTTTTATAAACCATTTGCCGCTGTCTGATTATTAGATTTACAATAATACTTTATATGTAGCAACTTTATTAAGGTTGTATTAAAATAAATCAATACCATCCTGTTGGGTGTGCTAATAATAAATACCCTATTAATATCTTGATAACTATTGTCAGAATGAGTAAATAAATAAAATATAAAAATTGTCAATCAAGAAGGAAAGAAAGAAAAATCATACTTTAAAAATCTCTATTTTTTTAATCAAATTCTAAATGATCTTAAGATTATTTATATTCAAGTATAAGAGTTTTAATATATTAAAAGGATTAATAGATCAATAAAGAAGGAAAAGTGAATGTTTTTTTCTTTTAAACTAATCTTTTTTAGAATGATATTTGAAAAGATAAGCTATAAATTAGAATTTTAATGGATCTGAAGAATAATATAAATTATTAATTAATTTCTAAGTTTTATATAATTCGATTCTAAATATATAACTTTTCTAAAATAATAAAAATAATAGCAAATATTAAAATGATGTAACAATTTGAAAATGATTCGAAAATATCTAATTTAGATATATCAAAGTGGGAATAAAATACAAAAGAATTAGAAATTTATGATAAATGTGAGAAAATTAAAATTAAAATTATTTTTACAAAAGATTACAAAATTATCTATTCAAGGAATTCTGAAATTTTACGGGTGTAATATTTAGTTATTATAATAAAAAGCGATATAATCATAGATATTTCTAAAAATCCAGAAATACTGATTAACTTGGAATTGATTCGATATTTTAAATGGCAAGGTGAATATGGATTAGAAAATAAAAAATGTGGAAGGTGGATAGCGACATTTTAAGGAAATATTCTAAAAGATGTTGGTGGATACTTTGTTGATGGTTTCAAGCAAGGTATATGGAAAGTAATAAAAAATAATTTTTGGACGTAAATGATACTAATTGATAAAAAAATATAGTAAAGCTAAAGTTTATTTGATTGGTGAATATTATAATGATTTAAAAAGAGGGCAGTGGAAATATATTTAGGATGCCAAGATTATGTACTTATTCTAAATTATTTAGTTACGGTGGGTATTACAATAATGAAGAAGGTTATAAAAAAGGAAAATGGGTAGAATTGGGGGAAGGATTTTATTGCGATTCCTAAATCATTTATAGAGGAGAATACAATAAGAAAGGTATTAAAATCGGTTAATGGGATATTCTGTAAGATAAAAATAATGGCTAGGGATATATATCAATGTAATATTATAAATATAAATATGTTAGCGGTTGCGGGTACTATCATATTTATTCTGGAAATAAGATTGGAAGATGGGTAGAGTTGGATGAAAGGTTTTAGATTGATAAATAAGTTATGTATAGTGGTGAATATAATAAGAATGGTAAAAAAGTAGGTAGATGGGATAGTATGTTTTGTAAATACTATGAACAGGAATATCAATAAATGTAAATACTAATTAAATATATTAATATGGTAGTGGTGGTGGTTCTTATGATAATTTATATGGAATTAAAGTCGGAAAATGGATAGATTTGTGGGAAGGCTTTAAGTATAATTCTTAAATCACTTATAATGGTGAATATAATTAGGATGGTGTTAAAGTAGATAGATGGAATATTGAATATAAGGGAAAATCATTGTAATTTATAATTGTGAGATGATTTGTTAGTGGTGGTGGATTATATGATAGTTGTTCAGGAAATAAGATAGGGAAATGGGTAGATTTGGATGAAGAGTTTTGGAGTGATAAATAAGTCACCTATAGTGGTGTATATAATTAGTATGGTAAGAGAATAGGTAGATGGGATATAACATTAGATGGAATATTAATGTAAATATTAAAACTATAGTTTGTTAGTGGAGGTGGATCATATGATATAGATTCTGGAATTAAGATTAGGAAATGGGTAGAGTTGGATGAAAAATTTGATTTGGATACATTAATCATTCATAATGGTCAATATAATATAACAGGTAAAAAAGTTGGTAGATGGGATATTATGCAAGATAGAAGTGGAAATGGAGAATATCGAAAAATGTAAATACTAAGAATATAATATGTTAGTGGTGGTGGATCATATGATTGCACTTTAGGGATTAAGGTAGGTTAATGGGTAGAGTTGAAAGAAGGATATACATGGATTACTTATGTTGGTGAATATAATATGGAAGGAAAAAAAATAGGTACATGGGTAGAAATGGATAAAAATGAGAATTAAAAACGTGGCTAATGTTAATATAACCATTGAATAGTAAAATTAATATTATATTTAATATAATCTTATTTTTGTAGACATTGAACTAAATCATTCATTAATTCTTTTCATTTTAAGAGCATATTTTAATTTTATTCTTCATCATTTGAAATAATTTTTTTCATAGATTGTTAACAAAGCATTCAAAAAATGTATCTAAATAAATAAGTATATATAGTAGGCTATTTTTAAAAATTATAAAGATCAATAAATTCAAAATAAATGTTATTCTTAAATTACCTTATTTTTAGTTGATAAAATATAGCCTTTATATTTACAATCTTTTTTCATAATGTTTAAAATCGATGTTTATATTCCTTTATTAATCAATAATCTTAACCTTTTTAGATTATTTCACATTTCTGATTATCAGGATTAACTATTAAATTTGATTAATTGGATGGATCTATAAATTAAACTCTACAAAAAAATTACCCTTGCAAATTTAATTTTAAGGTTTTATAAATATATCTATTTTGCTTTTTCAGACCTATACAAATTAGTTCTAAAATCAAACAATAAATCAATATATAATCAATTTCCTTAAAAGTAAATGTGATTAATAATCTTATTAAGACATTATTTCTATATTTTAGGGTTCTTCCTCTTACTGTAAATTATCGAAAATTTTAAGTACTTCGATTTATTTATTTCTGATACTTTTACACAAGTATTATAATATAAAGAGATACCTTAAAAATAATAAAATAATTACAAACCTTCTTGAAATTCATTTTTATTAAATATAATATCTATTCATCAACCATCTAATTTTTAATTAAATG